GTATGAACAGTTATTAACTCTAGCTTGAAGAACAATAAATAAAAAAAGAGATGAATTGTATTTAAAGAATATCCCAACACTACTTTTAGCTTTATACGCTCGCAGACAAAAGGGTACTAAACCGTCTCTGGGTCAGTGCCCCTCCTGTCACTGGGGTGGAACCCTCAAGGCTCCATCTCAGTACCTTTAGTCAGGGAACATAACTGAACCATAATCCACTGAAATGATATGTTCTAAGCTGTACTGACTCCACACACCCCGTCTCGTCTCCAGGCTTTTATTTTACTGTTCTGTTTAAAACATTCGGTTATGAAAAGGTACAAATACGAACTTTTCACCTGGAAAAACTTATTTAAGGTTCACAATCAGACCTTAAAACCACTGTTGGAGCTTTGAGGGAACATTTACACTGTTTGTACCTTGAATGAAGGAAAAATGTACCTGAACAGAACCTTCATTTCTAACAGTGTATGGGAAATGAATGTAGTGGATGCGTGTTACCTGGTGGTGCTGTACGCTGATTATCACTGATCAGATTTGCATATGCCTGTGACTGTGCATGTGAGCGTATACTTGGAAAAAACTGTTAATGTTTATGGCACTGTATAATACTCTAAATATTTTTAACTCAAATTAATGGAGCAGATCCCACATAGTGACAGAATGTTCAGCCCTCCTCTGTAATGGAGAGAGCGCGCAGGAAAGTTTACCATTTGGGTTCTTTTTGTAAATACAATCATTGAATTTTATTCATTTTATTTAAGCCTCCTAATTCCTGTGACTTCTATGGTGTCTAAAAAAAAAACAGATCTATTTGAAAAGGTATTGAGTCGAGTTTTAACCTCTTATTCTCCAGGGTATATTTTGTTTTGTCCATCTGAATTTCCATGTCCAAATCATAAGGCGAATTATTCAGTAACTGCATGAAATAAATGTACATTTTTATTTGATTGATTTATTTTTTGTAAAAGCTCCCCTCAAATTAACAGAACATGTGTTTTATGATATACATATTTCTATATGCTTACAATTTACTGCTGAAAGCCAAAAATCTGAGACGCTCTTTGTATTATTTTATAAAAATAATGTTTACAGAGCAGATCACTGAAGAGACGCCATCTGTTTATAGTTTATAGCTCAGATTTGAGGAAAAACGGGTTGATTTTCAGTAGAAAAAAACTGAGTTCAGCTTCTTTTATTATAAGGGTTTAAAATTACATCACCCATCTATTAGACTGGAAAGAAGACAGTTACAGCCTCATACGACCCCCACCTTTAGAATGAAGCTTATGAAATATGAAAGTTATGAAGAAAAAGACGAAGTGCGTTTTGGAACCACCGGTGGTCTCAAGGAGCTGAAAAGGTTAAACAATCTAAAAACGAATGATTTACTCTGATGTAATACAGTCTTTATTTCCGATTCGTGGTAAGACTATAATGCTTCTGCATTTTGAAGGGCCCGTATGTTGAGAAGGCAAATGTTCCTCACTTTTTTAAAATAAGACTTTGATGTAGTGTGTAAACATTTTTGAAGTTTCAAAATGCACCATTCACTCCCCGCATCATACAGTCTAGCTAAGCGCTTTTTCATGATTCTCATGTCATAAAAAACGTTTACATATGACTGAAACTGTACACTGTACGCTGCCATCTCACCATCTTGCTGTTTTCAATGAGGACCAGGTGAGGTCCATCGTGGCACCTTCTGACCTGCTTCTCTGCAGTGAACGGCAGGAATGAAAGAAACTGCGCAGGCAGTTAAAATAACTGTACTGTGAATGTGTTAAACAGAACACAACAAAACAAAAACACCACAGGCCAATCATTACCACGGTACACTTTGATCACTTAATGAATTTAATTATAACTCATTCCATCATCAACTTTCTGTAAAATACAGTGCAGAATGGAAAAAAAGGTAAGCATAATAAAAAACAATAGGAACAATAACAATGATGTCATTATTTTCATTTTTGTTGTCTTTGTTATGCTACAGACATTGTCAATTATTTATTTTAATTATTATTATAATTAACTTTTAAATAAATGTATTTATTTAGACAAAATGAGGATCAATAATAATTAATAACTGCAATTATTATCATTAAAAAAATAAAAAGGCATAAAGAAATAAATATTTATATTTTATTATTTTTGCTCTTAATGTATTCAAATAATAATAAAAAATCTGAATTGTACAGTATAATGTATAATGTATGTAATGCAGCTCAAAGTGCTTTAATGGGGATTAAATCTAATAAAAATAGTACAAAAAATAAACAAAATACAAAGACAAATGTAACAAGAATATAATAATCACAACATTATGTAATAATTAACTAAAAAGCATAAATAAGGACCTTATTAAATGCATAATCAGTAAAAATAAATAAAAAGTGTGGAATTCCTGAAAAACAAAGTTTAGAAAAACATCTTTAGTGGCCTTATAAAATTATGTTTTGTGGTTTCTTGTCTCTGTTTCATGCATAAAGCAAAATGATGAAACATCATATTCGAAGGAAATTTGATGATTTACTGTTTACTACTACTACTACTATTATTATTATTATTATATTATCATTATTATTATTATTATTATTATTACTCAGTGAATCTGGTCCCTCCTTTAAGTTACAGAGGAGCTTCTATTTCCAACATTACAGCAGTTTCAGGACACAGCTTCATCACATCATTTTCTGTACTGTTTCAGTAAAAAGCTTTTATTTTGAAGCTACCATAAGGGCACAGTCGGAGCAGCCGGTATAATTGTGAGGGATGAACAGAGGAGGTTAGTCATGCGTAAATGAATTAGAACCGTTTTCACTACATAAACCTACACAAATGTCTTGAAGGGACCTCAGAGAAATATATAAAAGAAAAAATGTCAGATATGAAACCTTAAAAAAGGTACTTGGTCTGTCTGACCTTAAAGATGACTTATTAAAAAGTCTGTTCCACTTGTTTAAGCAAGGAAAGCGACTCTTTTGTTCACTGCAATGAGGAAATGTTAAAGCCAGATGCTTCTGATGTTTGTGGCTAATATTCAAATGAACTTTAAAATTGGTTTTCTTCCTGATGAGCCTTTCAGATGAATAGCTGGTAAGTGAGGAACATCGGAACATGTTTTCCCACATTTTTCACGATAAGTAATTTGATTACCAGTATTTCCATTGAAACCCAACAAACACAATATGAAACAAGGCTAGTTTTCCAGCAGCCACCAGCTGCGGTACATTGAAAAGAATCTATGGAGTCCCATTTTATGGAAAGTTAACATTTATCAAAGTCACGATCAGGTTAAAATATTGGAAATCGAAAAACATACTGGTGATTCAAAGAATCATTTTACCACATCTACAAATATTCAGAAATAAAAGCACATACTGTACTACATACTCAGTAATATGTATGAAAATTGTATAGGGTGCAGTGTGAATGCATATGGATGTAAACACCAACTACATATAAATGAGAGCATTTTATTTGATACACATTTAATTAAACAATATCTATCTACAATATCTGATCAGTTTGTAGCTGCACTACAGAACTCAAAATTATGAAACAATATTTGTACATAAAATAAGTTCGTTATATAAGAAAAAGAGCTTATAATGCATTGAAAGGTTATGAATCAGTCCGTTTGTATCCTGTAGTTATTGTAAAAATGTACTGTTTAGCTACTGTAATAGTTCTGTATCATTTAGTTATTATAACAGTAAAGGTGCTGCAATAGGATGTCAAAGTGCTTTTGAATAATAAGACAATAATTTTACAAATAATTTATGCTTAATATACAGCACTGAAAACTAAAGATTCAAGCACACTACAGCTGTGAGCAACAGCTGTTCAAGCCACTTAGAACTGAATCATGACTGAAGTCACTCTGTCTGCACTCCTACAAACTTGTTCCTACTTAACATCAACCTACAGTTACGTTTACTCCGTCAGTTGTATCTGGTAAACTGGTTTTCAGAGATAAACTGGTTGTACATGAAGCACAGTGTAGTGTAGCGTAGATGGACTGGTTGCAGTGTCTCATCAGAACCACTGAATGTGCTTTATGGACCAGCGAGTACAATTAGGTACAAAAAATAATTACTTTGATCAGGTAAGACTGAAGTTAATGAGGCACCTACACTCATATGCAAAAGTTTGGGCACCCCTGGTCAGATGACACGTTCTGTAGGTTTTACAAGTGAAAATAAGTTAGAACTTCCTCTACTACACACCTTTGCTGCACACTTTCTAAAGCCCAATTACTATTTGTTTGCAGAATTTAACACATTGTGAAAAAAAAACAAAATGCGGCCTGAGCAAAGGTCACGGCACATTTTATATTTTATGTTGTACGTAAATAGAAATTATGCAGAAAAAAATGTGGAAAAAATGCCATTTTAAGTTTCGTCCTGTAAAGGATGCGTGAACTAATTTTCACTTCAAAAATAAACAAAACATGTCATTTGACCAGGGTGTACAAACATTTGCATACGACTGTAGTTTCTATAAAATTTCATCCCCAATGTGCGTGTGCCAGCCCACAAGACTTAAGTGGTCAGACTAAGCCTACTTTCACACAGCAGGTAAAAGTGGCCCAAATCTGATTTTCTCACCAAATCTGATTTTTTTTGTTTGGCTGTTCAGATTATCTTTTAAATGTGATCTGTATCATCAGTCTAAACAGATCAGCTCCTAAACTGACCCTCATGGGCAAAAGAGCGTCACGCTGCTTCACGGCTCATCCAGAGGTAAACAATCACGACCGCCAACGAACGCCAGTCGCTCCCGGAGGATCAGCTTCATCTTCACCAGCATCACAGGAGCCATCATGAAGCTTCACTGACTGACAGCTGGGCTCATCACCCAGAATGTGTTTGAGCCGTAAAAAGGGCGCGGTCACTTCTTTGTTTGGTGTCATCGGATTCTTTAAACTTTGCTTTCAGACTTTTAACTTTTATTTCAGAATCTGAAAATCAGATTCAGTGTGTTTATCTGTTCACCCTGACACACATCTGTGTCACATATGAAGAAAAAGATCAGATTTGGGCCACTTTTACCTGCTGTGTAAACGTAGCCTAATGGCTTCCCTCTGCCAACAGCTTCCTCCACAGCAGCCTAGGAACAACCAGTGCTGCAGCCACAACCACCCCTCTTTACCACTTAGCATTCAATAAATACATAAACTCTGCATACAGACTGTGGAAGTGCCACCAAAATGAACCACTAGTAGCTACAGCTTAAGTCATGATCCAGCCCTCAATTAAACACACTTCACTGGAAAACTGGAAACTGCACATAATGAGTACCTTTAAATGCTTTGTATGTCACTTACTTACAGGTCATGTATACTGACAACATATTACCCACTTAAAAAACATTGGAGCTGCCGTGATATCACGTGTCTTAATTTATACACTTTTTGTCACTGTTCATATCTACGTCTGAGGTGGGCTCCTGAGTGATCGTTCTGTCCGTACACGTGTCCCCTGCAAGTTAAAAAGATCAGTGTTACATCATCACTGCACAATAAATGAAGTGAACACACACAGAAAGGCACATAAAACGTCTGACATCCTGGATTTTCAACATCCCCATTTAATAAGACAGTAATAAGCTGATCAGATAGAGGAGGCAAAAACAATGAAAGAAGAATGGGCTTTAAAGAACTGGAGAACCTAAATCTGTGCTTTCTTTCTAATTAAGTGAATCTTGTTCTCGCAGGCAAACAGTAAACATGTACTAAGTATACAAGAATAATGTTCCACTGACCAATAAATGGCCAATATATGTCACCATACTTCTCCCCTGTCAATGTAAACTGAGTGGTCCTAATGTTGGGTAACGCTTCTGTAAGCATTCCCCTGGCCAATCACAAGGCTGATGTCTGTTGCTCCGCCCACGCAAGTTTCAGAGTCAGAGAAACTTTGTGAGCTAAAGCAACCCTGCATTACCAAAAGCTAGCAAGCTAGCCCACCTGTCTGTAGCTGCCTGTCGCCCATTCATTTGTTTATCCACACAAGAACATTGTTCGTTCATCCTTTCCTTTGCTTGTTGCTTCGTCTGTCCATTTGCCCGTCCGTCCGTCTGTCCGTCCGCACGTCTGTCCGTCCGTGACTTTTTTTGGTCCAGTTACCGTCTCAGAGCTGGATAATGATTTTAGTTCTGAATGAGTGGCGGAGCAGGCTAGGAGTGTTAGACAGAGAGCTGTCAATCAAGCTGCTCATGAGCCACACCCACAAATGTCTAATCAGTGTTTTTTAAGCTACGTTTTATCATATTTACATCTTATATTTTTGATTCAAGCTTTGCTGGATTTTTTATTGAACATTTTAGCATCACACAGACATTTTTAATATTTTACTCTCAATCACGAACATATCAAACGATGCTCCAGACACACCAGAGTAAAATGTGGCCTGTGCAAAAGCTCACATTTTCTAGTTTTATTTTACCAATATGCTAAACTCAAATAAATAGAAATTGTGGACGAAAAATTGCAGAAAAAACACCATATTTAAGTGTTTAATTGATAACAAATAAGTGCAAGAAACTGCAACATAACTCGATTATTTAAGTACAAACATTGTCAGGTTTTTTCAGTGTTTCAGCAAAACTAAGTAAAGGAAGTAAAACGTAGTTCACTCCCCAGTCTAAACAGTCCAATTATAAAAACTAAACTGCAAAAACTGTTTTTGTGTTGAAACTCAATCAATGCTTGTTTATTAACTATTTTAAAATCAGTGCAGAGTGTAAAGAAGAAACAGTTCCTTTACAAACACGTCCTGCTAAAATTCCTGCTAAAGCCTGAGTGGACCGATAAATCAGGGTGATGAGGCAGTTATTAATCTCATCATTACTAAACGCTTCTGAGTGATGACTGAACTGAACAGTCTCCTCGGTAGTGGATGTGTCGACAAGTGATAGGCTAAACATCAGTGTTAAACTGGACTCATTCCTGTGTTACATGGCAGGTTACAAACATGCCATCAATGGTAAATCACACAGCTACACACTTTATAGACAAGTTGGCAAGGTTCTGTTATCGGGGAGGTGGCAGTGAGATTATGGGAGCAGCAGGTGATGACAGCCAAAATCATGTTGAGCATTTTTAACTTCGTTCAAATATGAGAATTTTTCATGAAACATATTAACAGAAGAGTTACATGATTAAAACTGCCAACCAGTAACAGCGAGAAACAGCATGAATTAAGAAAGCAGAGATTTTCTAATTTGCCTCATCAATATATATTTTAAATTAATTCTGAATATCTTACTTTGTTATGTATTGTGATGTCATACGTCACTGAATACTTTCAGGACAGTGTTTATTCAGTATCACCACTACATCACTTTATTCTGCCGTCACTCTTTTAAAGGAATTCTGCTGAACTCTGCGATTGCTGGCACATAGCAATGAACACTCACCGATGTCTGGATAGCTGTCAAACTTTGATCTGGAAACATTACTTTCCTGGGTGGTTGAAGAGAATCTGAAGGATAGGACTGAGGTGGTGACCCTACTCCAGACCCTTTGAGCTCTCTCTGTGTAAAAAAACAAAAAGGCACAAACTGCAGGATGATCTGGAGTGTAGATGTTTCAAAAAACCCAACATACAACCTTTAACATGCAACCATTAACACGCCTATGATCAGTGAAGACAGTGAGTGCGTTTACATGCACTCAATAATCCAATAACTGCAGAAAATCAGATTTGGTCAGTAATCCGATCAACATGTTTATATGCACTTGAGTAATCAGACAATGGTCTACATGAGTCAGACAGTAATCAGATTTCTGCTTTACAACCAGCCAATAAACTCACAGAAGAAGACGCGACTTAAACGTAACGTAAAACTCAAAAGGCTTTTTTTTAAAAAACATTGCACCACTTTACCTGAAAATATGAACAGACATCATCTACAAGATTAGGAATATTTAAATCCTTCATTTCGACAAGAATGTAGTCAGTTTTAGCACTACTGCAAAAGCGTTTTGTTGCGTCTCACAGCAATGCTGCTCGCTTATTTCCAGTACAGCAGTCTGTTCTGTACATGCGCAGACTGAGAAATCCGCAGACTGAGAAATCCGAAAGAAATCAGAGTAAGAGTTCACATGCACTGAGAAATCTGATTACTGAGCTAAAATCCAGCCTCTTTATTGGATTTAACCCTTAGAAACCTAGAGTAATTTGGGGTAACTGTTTGGTATTTGGGTCAATTACAAATGCAGTATAAAGTATTTACATGTGACAGTCACACGTCATATGTTATTTTCAGGAGACCCTGGGCTACTCAGATCATTGTGTGACATGTAAATGCTAACAGAATCTTGATATCTTTATGAATTTGGTTAATTTTTTGATCAAAAATTTACGAAGCACCTGCAAAATGTTGTACATTTTTGCCTATAGAGATCTTGGAAAAAGGTAGCACCTTAGATACCTTTTCAGAAATTGTTAGTCTGGAGTGTCTGTGAGCTAAACGTGCAAAAAATTTGATGGTGATTTATTCTGTTGGTCATTATTGAGTGAAAATAAACAGTTAGCATAAGGCGGACATGTTTTCATTGATTTTCTGTCCTCATGGATTCATGCTCAGTGCTAAAACTCTGATACACAGCAAGACAGGCTTTATTTTTAATCGGATTTATAGATCGTAGTGTGGTACATGGCCATTTGAATAATCGGATAACTGCAAAAATCTGATTATGATCGGATTATTGAGTGCTTGTAAACACCCTCACTGAGACTGTATATCTATGGTCTGACTCATGTAGATGCGGAAATCTGATTTTTGTCAGTTATGGGATTATTAAGTACGTGTAAACACACTCAGTGATCCATGTCTAGTAAATAGTGTAGTAGAGGACAGACCTGGGAGCTCCCCCAGCATGAAGTGTTTCCGCCACTGTCTTCTGATTTCTTCCTTCGCAGCACAGCGGAACACAAAGATGAAAAAGCCTGGAACAGTCAGCGGTCAGCGGTCAGCAGCCTTATTCCATACACACTCTTCCTTTATTATTGTCTCTATACACCATGTGTTTTTCCTATGTTTTGTTTATTTATTGTCTGTTTTTTTCTTTGTATTGACTGCTCAGCTACACTACCACTGGGCAAATTTAGCAGAGCAATTGCACAGTCATTAGCTTAGCAGCAGTTTAGTCTCAGTTTAACGCGTTTCGCTAAACCATCAGCTTAACCCTGATTGCTCTGACAAAACAAGTACCAGTCTACCTGATCTGCCACTAAACCAGATATACTGTCAAATGACTTCATGATCAGGCCAATTTAAGCAAAAAAAGGCATAACATGGACGTAGCCATTTGAAAACGTTCAAATTTGTCGGTCAGTGTATTACATAATTTGTAATTGAACCCTGTCTAAATTTCACCCTATGTATTAAAATAAAAATAAAATATAATTTAAGTTTAAATTAGTTTATTTATACTTACAGTCAACAAAAATAGCCTATTTAATCAGGCCTAACCCAACACAGCACCTGTGTACAACGCTGTGTACTGTATCTCTATTCATAATTTAAAGTGCATCAACTCAAAAAACAATTAGCCAAAATGTTTGATGATTATCCGACATGCGTGTGCAGTATTCCATCATTTGGCGATCGATTAGGATGAGCCCTGTGTCCCACAACCACAAAGAGCCGCACAGCTTTAATACTGAACACGGATCCCAGAACAAAGACAACGCATTTCACTGAGCTGCAGGTCATTTTAATTGTTCAGCTTAGCTACTGCATTGTTTCTCTCTTCATTATTTCTTTCTTGTTTGTGTGTGTGTGTGTGTGTGTGTGTGATAGGGGTGTGGCATTTGAAAGTGCCTTAAAGTCTAGTACACATAATGGTGGAAGGTATATAGGCCTAAGTATGGCATATAGCTAATATGTGCTTCAATTTCAATAATCTGGCTTTAAAACTCAGCAAAACTGTCTTCAGCAGGTTTTAGACAAACCTAAGGTAAAGCTGAGATACAGCGACATCTAGTGGCAGATGTGTGATTTGAGCCACAGCAGTTGGGTTCAGTTTAAACCACAGGTCTGCTTTAAATGGCAGCTTCTGAGGACACAGGTAAGGAGTTTAGGAGCCTAGGTGACTCACTGAGGCTTAAACACGGGTTAAACTTGAAACTACAGCTGAGCTAATGACAGTGCAGTTGCCCCAGAGTGACTACACTGATATTTTTAATGGTGGTCATTGTGTTGCACTTGAACTATGTCTTTTTGTTTGATTAAGATATTGTCTACAGCCCTTGAATCTTTGGTGCATCACCATGGTCACATTATCTCTGTACATACATACATACATACATACATACATCATCTAAACCGCTTATCCTTCTGGGTCGCGGTACATTATCTCTGTGAAAAAATATATTTTTGTGTTTTGAGAACTTTATGTTAAGCAACATTGTGCAACAATGGAATGGATGTAGCCGGTAGCAAGTGAAGAAGATTCATTATTGCCGCCACTGCAGTTATCATTGCTTTTCATTTTTTCATTGTTGTTGTTTAGAGTATTTTTGTTTGTTTGCTTATTTAGACATCTAACTGATGTAGTATTTAACATGTGTGCAATATTTAGTGCCCAGAAGCACAAAATCATGTCATGCAGCAGTCAGTGAACAGTTCTGTTTTAAAAGGAAAGGAAAGCCGGTTCTGGGTGATATTTTACAATTCCTTAGCAGAACTTAACTGACTGAAAATGAGTGGTTAATGATGTGGTAATATTCTGATAGCAAGTTGTACTTACCAAAAATATATGCAAATTTTCTAGTTGTTATTAAATAAAAAGTCATTGTAGCGGTACCAAGTCTAAATAAAATGGTAAAATAATAATAACATCTCTTATTACTGTTATTATCATTATTATTATTATTATTACATAATTTACATCATTTTATATCAGGGTTATTACCCTAAAAGGTACTGGTTTATGCTTAGAACTGGTTTATGCTTAGTTTCTCACCCATTATGTCTTTATTCCTCTACACACAGTACAATGTACAGATATAGTTACGGGCTGTAATAACAGCTGTAATAACTAAACGCTACTGGAGCTGTGAAATACAAACTTACTTCTTTTCAGTTACTGCATCTCACATCAGGTGAAAACATCAGTTCTACAGAATAATGTAGGAAATTGCTGCATTACATTGTAAATATGACTAAATTATAATTAGTCATGGCTGTTCTATTATTTTTATATGTAGGTCCACCTACAGAACAGATGAGGTAAATATACTGAGGTCACACAGAATCAGAGCTGGAAAGTGTGGGTACCTTATTATTTAGTAACTAAAAAATTAGCATGTAATGTTGTTACAACAACAATTACTAACTTCTTATTTATTAACAACTCAATAGGTAAGTACAACTCGTTACTATAATATTACCATATCATTACCTACTTATCTGTAAAGTGTTACCAATTTTTTATGCTTTAGCCTGACTTTTGAGTGTAGTTACTTAGTTTGATTAAATATTTAGTTTTAAAAATCCATTTTTTCATATTAAATGCTGTATCATTTCTTTCCTTGTTGCACATTGTTGTCTTAAAAAGGATTCCCATACGCATAATTAAAAAAATTATCTTAATAATTAAGCTGGTTGGCTCATTACTGAAAGTTGCTAAAAGGCATTTATTGCTAAAATGAAATGATTCTAATCCTATATTCCATGTGCAGTACAGCAAGTGGGCCGACTAAATGACCGTGTAGTTCAATAAGACATTACCCTGCAGTGAATTACAGATGGCGGACAGGTAGGTGAAGACCAAGTGAGCAGAACCCCAGGAAAACAAACCAAAGATCCAGGTGAGGCCCAGGAGCACAGCAAGCGCGGTCACACTCCAGATGTCATGCAGCACGGTCCGCTTACGAGCGAGATGGGGGGTCTTCTTCTTAATGCGACACATGAGTGTCAACACCACTATAAACATGCTGAAGTTCATCAGGTAGGTAACTGAGAAATACGTTCCCACCACAATACGGAAAACGTTCATGTCTTTCCACCAGCAGCTGCGTGAAAGAGGACAAATGAGGTTAATTTAAAGCAAAAAGGTTAAAATAAAGAAAGAAAGACAGCATGTAGCATGTTTAATGTCTTTAAAAGCTACGCTACAGGAAGCTGTTTCATGAATTATCCAGAAAAACGTTGCCTGATGCTCTAAAATATACTTTCTTTAGTTCATTCATGGTGGAGAGGTACATACAGGGTGTTCTGAGACAAAACAGTACCAAAAAGAAAGCTTATTTTTCAGATTCACCACTGTTTTATCATCATCAACGTTATATATAAAAACTCAGAAGACAGGAGTTCAGTTACTGGTAGTCAGAGCCTAATAAGCGGCACATGCAGCTGTTTATGGCCCTGTGGCCACCAGGGGGCCTCCTAACAGCGTCTGGGTTACTACTGTACCATTATGCTGTCTACGATTCTCAAGTGAGAGGACAAAGGCAGCTAGAATGTCTCAATAAAGACAAAGTGTGGAGAAAAATATGAAAGATAACTATGTTTGGTTTTATTTTGCGATGTTAATGTTAGGATTTTTTTATTTGGTCTTTTGTTGGAAAACAAGAAGCAGTCAATCTGGGTAGAAAACACCAAGATGGTTTTCTGTAATTAAACTGTTACTTATTAGAATCTCAAACGGGCATTTATTAGCATCCAATTATCAGTAAACAAAATTAGGCATTGAGTACACCTCCTTGTACCTGCTCTGTGGGGCTCTGACCTTACAGAACAGGGTAAAGTCTAACAAAGTATGCAGAGAAACAGATGGACTACATTTAGGCTACATGTAGACAAGGAGGTGTACTTGTTGAAGTGGCTGGTCAGTGTATGTGGACATTAGCCAAATTAACTACCTTTAGCTAATCTCACCAACATCATAGAAATTAATGTTAAATTGATTTAATTAATTGAATCGTGATACAGTTAGAGTACAATTAATTGTTGAGTCCTAGCAGCAGCACAGGTTAAAACATTCTCTCCACTTTTATTTTGAAACTTTTTACAATGCGTAGGTCAGGCGGAGTACCTAGGCAGATAGGGCCCCCCCAATTGCTAGATTTTAGATGCTGCTGATTATGTTGGATAATGCATAAAATATTTGTGTTGTGAGATTGTGACCCCCTGGTTCCTGTCAACACCATTTAATGAAATCATAAGTTTCTAAACAATGCACCATTTCACATCGAACCACTCTGAAATACCTTGTTAACATAATTTTTTTTTTAATAAATCATGGAATTTCCCATTAATATGCACAACCCCAATTCCAAAAAGTTGGGATGCTGTGTAAAATGTAAATAAATGTCAATAAAACAGGACGCAATGATCTGCAAATCTCATAAATTCATATTTTATTCACAACAGAACATAGAACACATATCAGATGTTGAAAGTGAGACATTTTACCATTTCATGAAAAACATTAACTCATTTAGATCTTGATGGCAGCAACACATCTCAGTTGGACAGGGGCAACAAAAGGCTGGAAAAGTAAAAACAGCTGGAGGAGCGATTAGCAACTAACTCACATGACTGGATATAAAAAGAGCATTTTAGAGAGGCGGAGTCTCTCAGAAGCAGGGATGGGCAGAGGTTCACCAATCTGAGAAAAACTGCGTCTAAAAATTGTGAAACAATTTCAGAAAAATGTTCCTCAACGTAAAATTATGAAGACTTTGAATATCTCACCATCTACAGTACAGAGTATCATCAAAAGATTCTGAGAATCTGGAGAAATCCCTGTACGCAAGGGACAAGGCCGATGCTCAATATTGGATGCGTGTGATCTTCGGGCCCTCAGGCGGCAGTGCATTAAAAACAGGCTCCCATCCAGACAGCGTCTCTTTCAGGGAAGGCCTTGCATATTTCAGCAAGACGATGCTAAACCACACACTGCATCTATCACAGCGACATGGCTTCACAGAAGAAGAGTCTGGGTGCTGAACTGACCTGCCTGCAGTCCAGACCCTTTACCAACAGAAAACATTCGGTGCATCATGAAATGAAAAATCCGGTAAAGAAGACCCAGGAACTGTTGATTAGCTAGAATCCTACATCAGACAAGAATGGGACAACATTCCTCTCCCAAAACTCCAGCAGTTGGTCTCCTCACTTCCCAGACGTTTACAGACTGTTGTTAAAGAAGAGGGGATGCTACACAGTGGTGGACACGGCCCTGTCCCAACTTTTCTGAGATGCATTGCTGCCATTAAAGTCTAAATGAATTAATGTTTTTCTTGAAAAGGTAAAATGTCTCACTTTCATCATCTGATATGTGTTCTATGTTCTATTGTGAATAAAATATGGGTCTATGAGATTTGAAAGTCATTGCATCCTGTTTTTATCTACATTTATTTACATTTTACACAGCGTCCCAACTTTTTGGAATTGGGATTGACCTTGAACGCCACGAGTGCAGTTGTTCAGGCTCAAGCTAGAAAGAATGAAAATTTCTGAAGTTGTGGAGATATTCCTCCCTGATTCCTTCCCTCCAGGGCAGTGGGCTTCCAGGACCAGGGCTGAGAAACACTGGTTTAAAGGACTGTTCAGAGTGAACGTGTCTGGGCGCCAGTATATACAGGATGACAGTTTTGCTTGAAATGTTAATCAGAGGTTTAAATTCATTAGTTGTATTCAAAAAAGATCTAACAGTAGCCGTTTGTGAACCAATAGTGCCAGCAGGGGTCAAGATTTCTGAAGCCTGATTGCAAATAAATGAATGCATGACATACTCAGTTGTTACTTGTTGTTTAACCTAAGAGATAAAAAAATAATCAAATGCTACTTGCAAGTATTCCACGGATCCGTTGTCCAACATAGTGCTTGTAATTCCATAGACTGATTTATCAATAGCTACAGGAATGATGACCACAACCAGAGGAACACCTTTGAAGAGAAAGAATATATCAGGTTACACAATACAGAACACAGAGAGTCAGCATAGTGGAGCAAAGTGCTGAACCACATACCCCATCCAACCAGCGTTACTTTGACCATGAAGTGGGCGACGTAATTGTTGAAAACTTTGACAATGGTCAGGTATATGTGTACAGACTCCAGCGCTACCCAAGTGAAAGAGACCAACAGAAAGTAGCTCAGGAAGAAGACTGTAGGGATGCAGAGACCCACACTGTCAAGCTGCTTAGCCAGCAACGAGTCCAGGAAGAACACCAGGTTCAGAAGCAGCAGGGCAAAACACAGCTGGATCAGGATTTTATTTGGGACGACATTTCTCAGCTTCCTATAAAAGGGAGATGTAAATAATTACAATTATGATAAGTTAGGAGTGCTGACATTTTAAGCACCATATGCAGGTTTTTATATGTTAAACTTAGCAAATAAACAGAAATGACGCCATATTTAAGTGTGTTCTTTGTAGAGGACACGGTTCCTTATTTTCACTTAGAAAATCTGCAAAATGTAATTCCACCAAGCTTTTGCCAACATCTATATTTGATGTATACACAACTTTTGAATTCTTGTTTGTGTAGATCAGCACTTCACAGTGCTGTGTGAGTTGTGCACTTCATACAAAACTCCTCAATTAACAAACTTATCTATAATGAACACTGAACAAGTTGTAAGACAATGAAACTCACTCTGACCGCAGGTACATAGCCAAGGTGACCATGAGAAAAACGGAAGAGATGCCACAACCAATGTAGGTTATGGTGTTGAGGATGATAACTTGTTGGTAACTTGTTATTGACTGATTGGAGAAGTCCTGGAAGAGAAAAAGACGACACATAAAAATAAATAAATAAATTAAAGGTACAAAATGTACATGGTGGGGTGAAAGGTGGTGACGATGCCAGCACACCCTTCCCAGCTGAAATGGGGCCTGTGAAAATTCTAGTAGGATGAATATGAACTATTTTAAAGCTGCACTACGTAAGTTTTGGGGATTTGTAGAGAGTGGGGGGGGGTCGCTATGTCAGTAAAATGTCTTTGAGACGGGACGTGTGCAACATAGCGCGAAAGCCCTGGTTCGCAACAACTGAGAACCGGCACCCAGACTGCAGGTCACATAACGCAGTCTCGCCTGGCTAGTAGCTAGGAAAAGGCAAAGAGAGAGATTTAAGACGAACATCTGGAAGCTAATGGACTTATTCGCATTTATAAGCAGCGCAGTTGGTTTCCTGGTATGTTAAATCTGCATTGAGAGACTGTGAAACACTAAAAAGTTGTGAAGATGTCGGCTTCTCTTTCGAATTTCCCCGTTCCACCAAATGGTGCTGCATTTACAATCGGCTCCTCAGGCAGAATTTAAGGTGAAACGGGAAAATTCAAACAAGAAGCTGGTGAATGAGAAGCGACTTCAGCCTCGTAAAACAGACAGATGTTGAGAGACATTTTACAAGAAACTGATCTACTTTTGAGGAAAGCAGCTATAGTTAAAGCTTAAAGCAGAGTAAAGTAAGTCTGTGTTTTAACCTATACTAGGACATCAGCACATACTGGACATACTGGACATTAAATGTTGTGGCTCCAAGGTGGTTTGACTTTTGTTGAAAGGACAAAATGTCTCTTCTTAACATTTGTGTTGTGACTCCTGACCGAACCTGGCTTTAATGCAGAGGAGCCAGTCGGATTTCTCACTCATCCTGTTGTGTTTTTGTTATGTGCCGCCACAGACAGTCCGGGCGCTGCACTTACCCACTTCCAAGTTCCGCCTTTTGCATTCTGTCAACATTACGTTTTAAATTAAAGTTTAGAAAATCAATTTTTGTGACATTTGTGAATCGATTCAGAATCGTCCACGTCTGCATCGCGATGCATCTAAGAATCGAGTAACCATGGCATAGCTAACTTGCACAATTTGCACCATTAATGTTGAACACATTTTGGAGGATTGTTTGAAAGTAGTTAAGAATGTTTGAGAAACAGTTTTTTTAAATGACATTTTAAAAACTTTAGGAAAGTACGACAGAGCAATGTGAGGCTGTGTTCAAGACTAGGTCCCCATTTACACCTGGTCTCTTCATGTGACTAGTATCTGGATTCTTTCCTGATAAGATAACAGCCACCTGCATACACTTGGTAGTTGAATGCTTTCCGATTTCAGAGGGTTTTAAATCGTGCCTGAATTTCACTTCATGAACGTTGTGGCATTTTGCATTGTCTTGCTGGAATATTGGAATATCCATCATTCGTTGTGGTTTTCCTCTTTAAAGACAAAAAAACAGGATGACTTGAATGAAAGTCATAATTAGTTCTCTTACCAGGAGCACACCAAAGTTGGTGAGATGGTCACAACTGCACACAGTCTCATTCTCAGTGCTGCTCAACACAGTGCAGCCATCAGAGGACCAGCCACCAGAGCCACCTGCCAATCAACAAATCAATCAACTCATCAAAGAAACATCAAACAAATTGGAATATTTATCAGTGATGAAAACAAGAACAGTGAAAAATTAACTGCCACAATTAATTCGACATTATTATAAATCGTAGTCCTCACTGTTTAAGTCATATCTCCAAAATGTACAGAACACATTTTTATCCTGTGAACAGAATGAAAGGAATACAATTAGACAACAGTGACAGGCTATAATGAACCTATTAAGGCACATACTGTACATAACGGTTCATGGTTCATTTACCGATGAAACAGACTTGGTGTTCCTCAGGGTAATGCTCACGTTCTCTTGCAGTCTGGAGATATTGAGGTTAGCCACACTGGAGGCCAGAACTCCACTGACCAGCTTGTTGTTGCTCGGTGCGCCGTGCTGCACACAGCCATGAGAGTAATGACAGTAATTTTATTAAAAATAGCTTTTTATGTATCTGTTTTTAAGTGCTGTGCTGACTTGGAGGCTAAGTATTGACCCTAAACTCATACTACACTTTTAGGACTAAGACAGTATTCATACAGTACCTGCAACAGGAGAGACACACACCTGAAAAAGAGAAGTTTTCTGATAGAAGCAAAACTGTATCTTGGAAACTTGTTTCTTCTCCTCGGGAGAGAAGTTCTTCAGGATGGAGGCAGGGAGAACAATAGAGCCCTGAGGAGTGGATCCATTAGTGGAACCACCATCAACCTGCAATTCAACAAAAAGAGACAACTAAGGAACACACTGCATGCAATAAGTGACGTGCCAAAAAAGTAGTTCCACCGCACACTTGGAGCAAAGAGGCATTTTGAGTTTGAATTTGGTGGTCAGTGGAAAAATACAGATACAGTGGGAAAGCTTTTCTGTTATATGTGTAACGGTGTACAATAGTGCTAAACGGGTTTGGCACCACCTGCTGGTCGGGCAGCATATTACAGCTCCTATATGTATAAATATATATGTAGGTGATTGGGTTCAGCCCCGGCAGTAGTGTTTGCATACCGCCGTGGTGAGCACGGCTTCGTATGTTCAGCTCAACAAAACTGCAAATTACTCTGTAAATGTTCGACTTTTGTCCCTACTGTCTTGAAATACATGTAATAGAGACCAGTATACCTAGTTGGGCTTTTTCAAAACGCTTTATTTAAAGTGTTATAAATTCAAAGCTAAACCTGAACTGTGCTAACATTAGCCTGTTTCTTTAGTTGTATGCTGGCCGAAACATGGGCGGCACGGTGGCGCAGTGGGTAGCGCTGTCGCCTCACAGCAAGAATGGCCTGGGTTCGATTCCCGGCCGGGCGACCAGGGTCCTTTCTGTGTGGAGTTTGCCTGTTCTCCCCGTGTCTGTGTGGGTTTCCTCCCACAGTCCAAAAACATGCAGTCAGGCTGATTGGACATGCTAAATTGCCCCTAGGTGTGAATGTGTATGTCTGTCTGCCTGCCCTACGATGGACTGGCGACCTGTCCAGGGTGTATCCTGCCTTCTGCCCAATGACAGCTGGGATAGGCTCCAGCACCCCACCGCGACCCAGAAGGATAAGTGGTTTAGATGATGGATGGATGGCCGAAGCATGAACAGAGACTTAAACTGTGGTTGCTGTACTCATTACAGGAGGCAAATAAAACTGTGTGATGGTGTCCATCACTGACCAGTGTGGACGAACACCCGATAGAAGGGTTACATATAGGTAGAAAGCATTTAAATCAGGCTGTGAAACAAACTGTTAAATAAGTTCTAAAAATCAAAATTTCATACATCACAATTAGATGCAGTCATTCAAAGGTGTCATCAGTTATCAAGCTCTTCTGATTTACACCATATCGATACAAAAGGGAAGTAGTGCATTTTTTGTTTTTCAAACCAGAGATGAACATACAGTTGAACATCGTGAGCTTACTCCCGAAATGTGTTCCACCACCTTTCACAATGATTCATTCTCACGTTTAGCTGATAAGGACAGTTTTTAAGGTGGCTGGCACAGGATTAGGATTAGCACTCACCACTGGGGTCTTACCTGCAGGCCGCTGTCAGTCATTGTGAAGGAGGTCTTCTGAAAGTTAGTCCCGTTCACCTTCTTTACCCCCAGAGTCAAAGATGGTAAGGGAATAATTATAGGCTCTTCATTCACCTCCAGCTTTTGTAGCAACTGCTCTATATTGTTTATCAACTTGTTCAGCATCTTCGTATCTGGCCTGTTTGATAAGGGTGGCAGAGATAATGAAACATAATGGGTTGGCATGACTTTAGTTATTATGACAGGCCGAACCCACTTTAGATAGAACACCAGACAAAACCACTCTTATGTGGACATTTTGGCCAAATCATTAAATACAAAAAAAAAAACACAAAATAAAACTATGTTTGCTTTAGCCCTTCTTCCAACAGAAATCTGACTGTGTGCCTCAGTTCCTAGGTGTGTATGTAGAGAAATACTACATGAAGATACACTGATTAGGCATAACATTCTGACCACCTCCTTGTTTCTACGCTCATTGTCCATTTTATCAGCTCCACTTACTATATAGGTGCACTTTGTAGTTCTACAGTTACAGACTGTAGTCCATCTGTTTCTCTGATACTTTGTTAGCCCCCTTTTACCCTGTTCTTCAGTGGTCAGGACCCCCATGGACCCTCACAGAGCAGGTACTATTTGGGTGGTGGATCATTCTCAGCACTGCAGTAACACTGACGTGGTGGTGGTGTGTTAGTGTGTGTTGTGCTGGTACAAGTGGATCAGACACAGCAGTGCTTCTGTGTCTGCGGCAGTGCTGAGAATGATCCACCACCCAAATATATATATATACACACATAAATTGTTTTCATGTGTCCTTGCACTACTCTTTGTGTATACCTTTATGCCTGTCATGGTTATCTGTGTACTATGTACTATGTACTGCTAACGTGCTGTCATTAAAAAGGCAATTGTACTGTTACCATTATTCTGTGTTATGGCCTAAAATTAGCTGAAGAATGCAGGCTGACTTGTTTAGGACTCAAAGATTAGGACTACTGACTTGGGACTCGACTGTCTCTGAATAATGATGGTACAAGAGGTATGAGTTTATCAAGTCCTGCATTGGCAGTGATCAGCATTTTAGAGAAAAATGTGTAAAGGACCATTATGTGGATTTAAGGACTGAGTTACTGCAGTTTCTGAATTTTACTGTAGGAGAATCTGTCCCACCCGTAAGTTTGACCCACCTCTGGATGGGCAGGCTTTTTTCTAACTAGTCGCTGGTCCAGTTGTCTTTTAGATCAGCGGGAAATGGATTAGCAAAAAACAGCAGGGAGCAGATCACTTGTGAATGGGCTGAATGTAACATGGTGTAACATGGAAAACTAAGCATTGCCTGTCAAGGCGCAGCTAGGGAACGTTTTCTATGCCCACAGAGCAAACGGAAAGAAAGTGACGTAGTAAGTAAAAATATTTAGTAGATAAATCATCAATAGATCAATAACAAGGTGGCAACATAAAGTGTCCAGGATCAAAGTAAATAGCTACACAAGGCAACACAGGTTATGCAGACAAAGGGATGCAGTTCTGTGGTTAATAACTTTACTGTACTGCTGGGTTGAGATCTGGTGACTGTGAACTGCACAGCAAATTATTTACATATTTTTATATTCTTCAAACCATTTAGTGACCATTTGTGCTCTATGACTCTTAAAGATCTACCTTCCTGCTTTTTTCACATCCAACTCAAAACCATCACACATTTAGCTTCCTGTAAACTTTAGGTCCAACCCTTATCGATCCACACCCCTGTGATGAACCCTCTATCATTTAGATCTTAGAGTGACTTTTAAACCTGCTGTTTATTTCTCCCACAGAGAAAACTGCTTCAACCTGGAGCTTCTAATACGGGCATGAAGCCGACTACAGAACAACTCATGACTTCAGAGATCTACAGGAATGAAGGAGCTCATCTAAATATGCAAAGGCAAGACCACAAAGGGCTGTGGAAATAGTCAACGGAATGATGTACACAGTTCCAGACAGATGTATGTTCAGTTTGGGCCCTGTTTACACCACGCACTAACATGTGTTTTGTGTCCAGATCTGAATAAACTACTGTTTTTTCACAAAAATTCTCCTGGCCTGCACACTTTCATTGACCCACTCTTGGTCTGGAGAACTTCAACCTCACGTGTCCATCTTTCCTTTCATCCATTATCCCCTCACCTGCTCATCAGTGCTCAGCATAAACATTTCTGTTCACATAACTGTATATGGATAATAAAAACGCATTGCATTTACACTCAAGATCCATCTCTGACCACCTCCGAGTGTAGTCTGAGTGATCTGATCGTAATCCACAGTGCATCCTGGGGCTGTTTACACCTGGCTTTTCATGTGGTCAAGTGAAATCTGAATGTGACCCTACCACCAGAAATGCATGTTAATGCAAGGTGTAAATAGGCCCTGAGAGCACTTTAGGATCCCAGTTTTGAATTTATGAATATGAACTGAGGTTGTCATTGGATTGGGGGGTGTTAGATGAGGGTTGGAGTTCAAATCTGCAGGACGGCAGATCATCAGGATGAGGCAGGGTATCATAGACTAGTGTTTTAGCATCATTGACCTTGAGGAAAGGCCAAACGCAAGCAAAGCTATGAAAAAATGCAGTCTGGGTAAGATACTTGTTGTGGGACTTAGATGTAAGTGAAGAGTCAAATATAACGTCAGGATTTCTAATAACTAAGGTTTCATAAACAATTCAATTCATGAAGATGTTTAAAGAGAGAGACAACGGGATTGGCTGTGTCACTATTTTTGCAGTTCCTGATTAAACAACAAACCAGTCATGCATAAGCAAAGCAATGTAACCAACATACCTGTTTGACTCACCTGTTAGTGGGCTCAGTACTTTCCAGATTGTCAATTAATTTACTGGAGCCGTTGATAATGCTCTTTGCCACAGTGCTGTTAATGGTGCTGCCATTCAACAAGTTATCTATGTTTTCCAGCAAAGTGTTGAGTTCTGATTGTGTACAAGTACAAGCAAATATCAATAATGATTCTAAAACCTTATCTGATCTATTAAAAACATTTCTGTTTTTGTCTACATTGATACACCAAAAAACTTTCCAACACAGTCGTGAGAAATGTAAGGGAAAAGGGGAGAAATGAGTCAAAGTTGTTGCAAATCTTTGCACCATTTACAGCAACAAAATAAAGGTCTAATCTGAAGATCAAATAAAGGGTCTTGTGTCTGTCCAATCAGCTCAATTGCTCAGTTCAATTGCTTGTTACTACATGAAGTAATTTTTTTAGGTTGAACTGTGTTCTGAGGTTTTCTGGGTACTATTTTGTCTCACAGCACTATGCATGTATCCCTCTGCCATGAATGTCTTTTAAAAATACATTTCAGGCCAAAAAGATTTTGTAAACTATCAGAAGATGATCGTAAAACGATGTCAACATACTTGTACACATTTAATGTAATAACTTCTTGTGAGATAAGCATTAAAAAGCATTGAACACTTCATACGACTGGTTCCTATCACCACTGAGAACAATTCTGATATGGGAAGTTTCTAGAACAGCATTTCATATCAAACTCACATTCTTTACATCTTAATGATTCAATTATGATGACATTTTGAAATATCAGTAGGTTTCCCTTTAATTTTAGACCTGTGTGTGTTCAGGGAGGGTGTAAGTTCATACCTGCTGATGAGTTACTTGCTGTTGAATTTGTTATTGATGTCGTGTTGGTGCCACCTGTTTCTGTCAAAGTCAAAGTCATGAGAAATGTAAGGGAAAAGGGGAGAAATGAGTCAAAGTTGTTACGTTGTTAATTTTTTATGCACCATATAAAGCAGCAAAATGAAGATCTAAAGATCAAATCATAGATGAAGTTGATGAACTTGATGTTGTACATCTTTCTGATGTTCTCACACAGCTTAGGAAGGTTGTTTCTGCTTAAAGGTTAAATGTTAAATTCTGATTTATTAGTAGATTTTGGTGGAATGTTAACAAAGTAGAACTATGGATTTGTTTAAAAAAAAAGTGGAACTCCTCTTTAAATTCAAACCTGCGTGTAAAAGAGTTTAAGTTGATTTCTGCTGAAGTCCTTTCAATATCTGTTCATGTGCTATTTGCTTTTAAAGATATTATTCATACCTGGGAAATTTGTGGTAAGTGCTCGGACAGTAGCTCTTGTGTCTGTAGCTTTTGTGCCTGTGTTTGATGTTGTTACACTGCTTGAGGAAGGTGTTTCTGCATAAAAGTTGTAGAGAATTTGTGGACATGATAGAGAAGTTAGAAGAAATACAGAGTTAATGTATAAATAGAGGGTTTTGTTCCAAAATGCCAAACAGTGCTTTTATTCATGTGACTCTCAGGGCCTGTTCATGGTATGCTTTGCTGGGAGTGAGCTTTACACATACAAGAAACGCCAATGCCGCATTATGATTCATACAGACTTTATTTGATGTGTTATTTTCAAACTGTGGTCCACACAGTAAAAAATACTTAGCTTAGATATACTGATCTTAGATATTTACAAGGCTTATGTTATAATAAATTTAGACCAAAAGGCATTAATTGAGCTCAGCCCAAAACCTACTCCTAACCCTGGCCCTAATCCTAACCTTAACCTTAACCTCAACACAAAACCTAATCCTAATCCTGGCCCTAATCCTAGCCCTCAATGTTTTTGACATGTTACTGAGAGTATGTTGAGTGTTTGTTTCATTTAAAAAGAACCACTCAAAATAAAGTGTCACCCAATTAAATAAAGTTATTAAATAAACGTTTTGCGTTTTAATAACGAATATTATGATTTTATGTCAGTACGGCTGTTTAAAGCTGTGTTTGCTATTTTTGAATTATGTGCAAAATCAGCAACAATTTGTCACTGACTAATAATTTTCAACAATGTAATGATTGTTTTGACAAAATGAAATGTTCAATCACTTGTTGTAATAAAATAAGTGTAATTGTCACTCAAAGCAAAAGAATTTTAGTCTAAAGTCAGCTAAAAATCTGAAAGGTGTTTTTAACTCTGACTTTGAACCAGTTTGGTTGAATTACCCATACAGCATTTTGGAATAAAACTCTTTAAATATAGCCTCTATATGGTTTACTTTTATATTATCTCATCTATTTGGTGGAACATTTCACAGATTTTTTAGAATTTCTAGTAAAAATGTAATTCTTGATACCAAAAATTAAATTTTTACTAGTGAGAATTAAATTCTTCATATCAAAAATGACATTTTCACTAGTAAAAATTCACTTTTTGAGAATTAAATTCAGTTTTTATTAATTTCAGTGGAAATTAAGTTTTCACATGTGTAAACTGAATTCCTGATATCAAGAAAGGATTAAAAGCTAAAACGGCTCGTCATAAAGAAAGGCTATGAACTGATACCTGGTGAACTCCTCATTGTTGCTGTTGTGCTTGTGTATGATGATGTTCCAGTGGTTGAGTTGCTGTAATGGAAAACAAGATGGACACGTGTGAACTGAAGACCAGGTCAGTTCTGAGCTCACTCACGTAATCAATAAAAATAAGAATTTCTCTTTGAGCAATGATAAGGAAATGATAACCAACTGGTTTCCATAAATGCCTTTAAACCTGATAAGCTTAACCACTAACCATCTGCATTTTGTCACAACAAAGCTGCCCAGGTCCATCAGTATGAAGTCATCATCACTGAGGTTAAAACTCAGTAAGGTGAGGTTTGATGTGCTGCTCCGGAAAATCATATCTGAAACTCAGAATAATGATCCCTCAGTTATGCTGCTTCTATAACTGGAGTAAAGCATTACGCAGGACATACCGAACAGTACAATTTCACACAGTTTGAACATGTACTATTCACATGTATGAGACACAATATCAGTGAACACAAAGTACTGACATTATAAGGAGCATGTAACTTATTAAATATCTACTGTCTATTCCTGCACATACCTACTCTGATATTATTGTCTCCCATTGCACTTAAAGTGGTTAACGTTTCTCTGATGAAGTGCACTGTATGGTTCACACGGCAGCACTGCTCACTAGAAAATGAAGAACATAGTGTTAAACACAAACTCATGGCTATTCCTGTAACACAGGTCAATTTACACCAACAGTCCACTTCATTAAGTGCACCTCTTTGTTTCTACATTGATTGTCCACCTACCATATACAGTAGTTCTACAATTACAGACTGTAGTCCACCTGTTGCTCTGCATACTTTGTTACCCTGTTTTTCAATGGTCAGGACCCTCACAGAGCAGGTACTATTTGGGTGGTGGATCATTCTCAGCACTGCAGTAACACTGGTGTGGTGGTGGTGTGTTAGTGTGTGTTGTGCTGGTCTGAGTGGATCAGACACAGCAGTGCTGCTGGAGTTTTTAAACACCTCAGTGTCGCTGCTGGACTGAGAACCAGAAACAGCCAGCCAACAGCGTCCTGTGGGCAGCATCCTGTGACCACTGAAGGACTACAAGTTGACTTACACAAACTGTGCAGCAGCAGATGAGCTATCTTCTCTGACTTGGTGGACCATCAAGGTAGGAGTGTCTGCTGTGCCTGATCCACTCACACCAACGCAACACACATTAACACACCACCACCACGTCAAATGTTACTGCAGTGCTGAGAATGACCCACCACCCAAATAGTACCTGCTCTGTGACAGTCTGGGGGGGTTCTGACCACTGGAAAACAGGGTAAAAGGGGGCCAATAAAGTATGCAGAGAAACGTGCACCTATATGGTCAGTGGAGCTGATAAAATGGACAAAGAGTGTAGAAACAAGGAGGTGGACTTAATGAAGTGTCTAGCTGTTGTATGTCTCTGTAACGTGCTGACTGGCATTAACTTAATAGTTACAAAGCAACTATTTACATTAAATTATGTACAATATTTAAATAATGTACGACGTTGATACTGTGGTAAAGTTTAGCTTACTTTGTGGCAGATTCATACAGCATGGAATTCTGTGTGAAAACAGGTAGAAAGGATAGCAGCGCTAATTGGAAAATATTCTAAAATATTCAAATAAAGCACGTAGGCCATGCTTCCATTTCTAACTCAAAGTTAACTTACGGATGTGTGGAGAGAGGTGGATACGTTTTTTAAGAATGCACACTGAAAATGAAAGTAATAAGATAATAAATTAGGGATGGTTAACAGATCATTGTCATTGTGGCTCTTGCTATGCAGTTTCTAATAGCATTTTGCATTAACGCAAATGAAACATGCATAATATACATTATATGTTCAAAGCTGTGTAGACTGCACAACCCTTTCTTCTGAAATCAGTGTTAATGGAATTTGCCCCCCATTCCCACCTCCTCGCTTTTACTTTATACTGGATGTTGGAGCATTACTGTAAGGATTTGATTGCATTCAGCCATTAATGGGGTCAAATGCTGATGGTGGAAGATCTCTCTAGTGAACACTGGAGTTCTGGGCATGGTGACTCATGTGTGGTCATGTGTGATCCAGAGTGTCAATGACGGGCAGTGATTTTCTACATAGATTGTACAAACAGTATGTTTGCTGCTAAACGCCTGTATCAGCAGATGGCACAACTTAGGTGAGCAGTTAACAGTTTGATTACGCAATCAATTTCTCTGTTTGTCCAAAGAAAAACAAGCATCTGCAAAATGAAAAAGTGTAGAGGAAAACTTTCTTTACTTTCAGTGTAAGTTAACATCAAGAGATTTTATTCCAAATCGTTTTGGAGCATTTCTATTGGTCTATTTTTTTTTGTTTGTTTTTTTTTGGACAGTGTCGAGATGGTCACATAAAAATGCTGGATTTACTAGCAGTCTTGGTAAAGATGTGACAATGACATTAATTAAGAGCCTTTTTTGATTACCAGCTTGAGTTTATACTACAAATTTCACCCATTTGCCAAAGAAAAAATAAATAAATATATATATATATAAATAAATAACACCCTAAGATATTTCCGAAAAAATAAACAAAATTATTGTGGCTAATAAATCTTCTATAAACTTCTTATACCAGTGGTGAAAGGAACCAGAGGTCACAATGTGTACAACACAACACTGCCATTTTGATTACTATCAAAGAAGACCAGGGAACCTAAACACATCTTCTGAGTTTTTTAATGTAATGTTGAAGATGGTAAAAAAGTGGTAAATCTGTAAGTATCAAAAAACTTTGCTTCCAGGCATCAGGCAGCGTTTCATAACCATTTCATGTAGCTTTCAGAGGAATTAAAGTGATCAGACATCGGTTCCACTGTGAACAACAGTAGCTCTGAAACCTTCTCTAGAATGGCGCGTTTCACATCAAACCACTCTGAATGACTTTGTTTATATCTTAAGAATTTCATTCTGCAGAAATGTAGATATTTTGCTGGAATTTCCTTTTAAGGTTAGACCTTCTAACTGCAGATTTCCTACAGTTAATTACACGATTGTTGTCTTGTTAATATTGGGAAAAAACAGTTTTAGCCTTCTACTTTGTGTAATGGGGTCTTATGTTTGATGGCCTCTGTCAAGGATGGAGGAACTGTCTGTTGAATAAAGGCAAAATTTGAAAGCTATTAAACTTGGCTTCTCTGAAGGCTTAAAAGAAGCCACTTTCTCATCATCATGTCTTAATATGACAGCACTTTTGGCCAAATAAGTTGGTGTGAAGGGAAGAAGCAAAAGTTCAAAGACAGATAAATTATTATAATTACTTATAATTTAATTATACATTTTGTTTTTACAATTTTATTTATAAAGTTTAATATAATTGTGTTAATGTGAAAACAGACACATTTGAGTGTGGCAGATTAAAATTCAATGCCTGTTTTTGCATCTGCATGTGTCTATACATGTGTAACGTGTTAAAGAAATGTTTTTGAAATGTTAGTTTAGGTTAGTTCTTCAGCAAGTATTCACAGGTTAATCTTATAAGGACTCTTATTGTGAAAGCAGGGATAGTTTTTCTGGGTGGGGGGGCGGTGCTATGTGTGCAGAGCAGAAAGCTCTGAGAGGCAGTCAAGAACTGAGAGCTCAGAGAGTGAAATGTAAGCTGAGTAGTGAGGAACTGTTAGAGAAACTCTGCTTTTGTCCAGCGTGGCTGTGGCCATCAACAGCAGGTTAATAAAGCACCAAGACTTGTGTGAAAGCTGTGTCTGTTTTAATAACGGTGAACTGCACATGTAAAAATGCTTGTAATTTTATACACATAAACAAATCTTTATCACTTGCGATATGTTTTGCTCCTACATGTTAATGATGACTTTTAAAGTAATGTATTTAAACTTTTAAAACATTTTTAGCTGATTTTTATCTCTTATACATCAAACATTCTTTTCATGGAACGAGTCTTCTATACTCAAATGTGTCAGTGACACCACATACAACATAGACTCACCAGTGATGCGTTGCTCAAGCTGGGTTTTGTGATTCTGAAGCTGATATTGCTAAATCTGTAAACTGGACCTGTAACAAAGAATATTGGGATAGAAAGACATTGGGTCATTTAAAATTGTCACAGTTCCCATTTATATTAGTTTGACTTTATAAGAGTTTTACCACTGCAGCTGGACAAACACACAGGTCCAGTTTCTGAAAAAGAAAAGCTGACAGTAAGACAAATGCAATAATGCATAAATAAATTAATAATAAATTCAATAATGTCTACATTTTCATGTGGATTTGGTAAAATGTACTAAAGCCAGTTTTCTAAAACCTGATAATAACGCTGTAGTCAAGACACATTAGAGGGGCGTCCAAATCAAAACCGAGACTTTAGAGTAGCAATATTAAAGTTCAAGTCAAGACCAAGACTTTGAGCCCGAGTCAAGACCTAGACCTGATGACAAGTTCAAGTCAAGACCGAGACCTAAATACAGTCTGAGTCAAACCAAGACCTAAACATATTGAGTCCAAGTCTAGACCAAGACTACGTAGCTGTCAATTCCAAGTCAAGACCAAGACCTGTACATACTGACTCCGAGTCAAGACAGAGGTTTTGTATTAGTCGAGTCTGAGTCAAGACTGAGACCTGAACACATCAAGTCAGAGTCACAGCCAAGATTTTGTAGTAGTTGAGTCCAAATCAAGATTGAGTCCAGGAGCAGTGAGGCCGATACAAGATACCTATTAATAAACTATTTTCAATCATATTACAGTCCAACTTTGCATTGTAACTTTTGGAGGTTACTCTCCATCATTTCGTCTCTAAAACTAATTCAGAATCATCACTAAAGTCAACTGAATATAAACCAAACAACAAACGTCCATTTCATTATTAAAGGAAGGCAAAGCAAGAATCACAATCTTATCAGGGGATGTTTGAATTTTGGAACTACTGAACATCAACAAACAAATAATACCCAGTTAATCCATCAGGGGGAACATCAGTTCTTCAACCAGAACCAGCAGTGAGAGTTTATTTAAACATATAGAAAAAGGACTGTTTTATTGTGTTTGAAGGTGTTGCTGATATTAAATAATAACAGAAAAATAAGTTGAGTTTCCAGTCACCTCAGACGGAGACGTTCAGTACTACTACACTACTCGACAATGTTCACTAGCACTGCACAATACTGGACTTTGCTATGCAACTAAACCAAATTCATTTCAGCCATTATTGAACAGTAGATGTGTGTAATGATAATATCCTGCACATCTGAGCAAATCAGCAAAATCACGATTATACTGAGTGCAAAATTAAAAAATTTTAATACTTAAAGCTCATCAGAAAGTATATTTTTTGCATTGTAAGGCTTTTAGAAGACCAGTCAGCATTTCCTAGACAGCTTTTTCATTTACACAGTTACAGCATATACAGTCTTTTCTATGTATACAATGTAAAAACAAATAAATATATAAATTATTTTCTTAAAAAATCATGCAGGTTTGTTGTGACAGTAGCCACACATTTTACACACACTGGGACTGAGAACAGGGATTGCATATAAAGGGATTTTTACAGGGTAGTAATTCAGATTAGCTGTTCACATGTGTTTTCTCGACACTCCTAACACTCCAAACACTCCTAACACTCCTAAAACTCCTAATACTCCAAACACTCCTAACACTCCAAACACTCCTAATACTCCAAACACTCCTAACACTCCTAACACTCCTAAAACTCCAAACACTCCTAATACTCCAAACACTCCTAACACTCCTAACACTCCTAAAACTCCAAACACTCCTAATACTCCAAACACTCCTAACACTCCTAACACTCCAAACACTCCTAATACTCCAAACACTCCTAACACTCCTAACACTCCTAACACTCCTAAAACTCCAAACACTCCTAACACTCCTAAAACTCCAAACACTCCTAATACTCCAAACACTCCTAACACTCCTAATACTCCAAACACTCCTAACACTCCTAAAACTCCAAACACTCCTAATACTCCAAACACTCCTAACACTCCAAACACTCCTAATACTCCAAACACTCCAAACACTCCTAACACTCCTAACACTCCTAAAACTCCAAACACTCCTAATACTCCAAACACTCCTAACACTCCAAACACTCCTAACACTCCTAAAACTCCAAACACTCCTAATACTCCAAACACTCCAAACACTCCTAACACTCCAAACACTCCTAACACTCCTAACACTCCTAAAACTCCAAACACTCCTAACACTCCTAACACTCCTAATACTCCTAATACTCCAAACACTCCTAACACTCCTAACACTCCTAACACTCCTAATACTCCTAATACTCCAAACACTCCTAACACTCCTAACACTCCTAATACTCCTAACACTCCTAATACTCCAAACACTCCTAACACTCCAAACACTCCTAACACTCCAAACACTCCTAATACTCCTAACACTCCAAACACTCCTAAAACTCCAAACACTCCTAACACTCCTAATACTCCTAATACTCCAAACTCTCCTAACACTCCAAACACTCCTAATACTCCTAATACTCCAAACACTCCTAACACTCCTAATACTCCAAACACTCCTAACACTCCAAACACTCCTAACACTCCAAACACTCCTAAAACTCCAAACACTCCTAACACTCCAAACACCCCTAATACTCCAAACACTCCTAACACTCCTAAAACTCCAAACACTCCAAACACTCCTAACACTCCTAATACTCCAAACACTCCTAACACTCCTAAAACTCCTAAAACTCCAAACACTCCTAACACTCCTAAAACTCCAAACACTCCTAACACTCCTAATACTCCTAACACTCCTAACACTCCAAACACTCCTAAAACTCCTAATACTCCAAACACTCCTAACACTCCTAAACCTCCAAACACTCCTAACACTCCTAATACTCCTAACACTCCTAACACTCCAAACACTCCTAACACTCCTAAAACTCCAAACACTCCAAACACTCCTAATACTCCAAACACTCCTAACACTCCTAAAACTCCAAACACTCCTAACACTCCTAAAACTCCAAACATTCCTAACACTCCAAACACTCCTAATATTCCAAACACTCCAAACACTCCTAACACTCCTAAAACTCCAAACACTCCTAACACTCCTAACACTCCTAAAACTCCAAACACTCCTAACACTCTTAAAACTCCAAACACTCCTAATACTCCAAACAATCCAAACACTCCTAACACTCCTAAAACTCCAAACACTCCTAACACTCCTAAAACTCCAAACACTCCTAATATTCCAAACACTCCAAACACTCCTAACACTCCTAACACTCCAAACACTCCTAACACTCCTAAACCTCCAAACACTCCAAACACTCCAAACACTCCTAACACTCCTAACACTCCTAAAACTCCAATATATATATAACTCCTATATATATATAACAAATTCAATTCAATACAATAATATATATGTTGTGTATATGTATACAGTCCATATATATGCATATATATATATCCTTTACAGAAAAGACTCTTCTGCACATTTTAATGCACAAATATGTTATCAATTGATTATATTTGCTGAATTTAACATATTAGGGGTAGAAAATGTAAAATGTGGAAAAATTACCAGAAAATATTTGAGGCTGTTCCCTCTAGAGTCTCTAAACCTATTCATGAACAGTGTCAGTGGTGGTTTTTACTCTGTGCCTCACAGAGTTCAGCCTCACATAGCAAACGTTGCTAGCTAACACCTCTGAAGGTGTCAGGCTGACCCCACCCATCCCTCACACAGACTTTTTTCACTGCTGCCGTCTGGCAGAAAGTACCGGAGCATCCGTGCCATCACTGCCAGACTCTGCAACAGCTTTGATCCTCAAGCAATCAGGTTTTTAAACTCACAAGGACTGAACTAACCCCCCTGCCCCCGACACACACACACACACACACACACACACCTCTTTTGATGCTCTACTTGCATCTATCTGGAACATTGCTGGTAATACTGTGTTTACACTGTTTTACTACCTCAGTAACTGTTTTACTACCTCAGTAATCTGCTGTGTTTATGTATGTTATCTGACGAAACTTACAGATCACATCACGTCAAATATGTCTGCACCTTATTCCACTACCTCATGTCCAGAAATCTGTGCTGTGCCGGTGCTACACTGTCCGGTCTGTTTACTGTGTCTAATGTCTGTTTAATTTATTGTATTTATTTGTTTTCTAGCTTAATTTTTGTTTGCACACTGTCTGCACGTTCACACTTTGTACTTTTGTACTTTTGTACTTTAGTTCCTTGTGGCACTGTGTTGTTCCTGGAGGAACGTAATTTCGCTCCACTGTGTTCTGTACATAGATGGAATGACAATAAAAGCCTCTTGACTTGACTTGACTTGTTTTCAAACCCAGTTCATTTTCAAGTCTGCAGGTTTTTCTGATATTGTATGTTTTTCATTTGGTTTCACACTGAAATGTGCACCGAATCACACACTCACGTGTTCGTCGCTACGCCAGGTAGTAAGACAGCGCACTAAAACAAACCTCAACTTTATAGAAGAAATTTGTAGCAACTCAACTCAAATCTGACAAACGACCCAGTCTTCAGACCCAAAGTCCTATTTTCCAGAGTCAGTGTGCCTCATTCACCTCACTGAGAAGGTCGTAAGAAAAGGTCTGCGTCAGATTCATGACGTGTTCTTAAAGCACAGAACTGTTCTCACCTTTGTCCTCTTCAGTGTGTTTAGATTCTGTTCTTTGCTAAGAACCAAGAGGACACTGGTGAGTCAGAATCTTCGTCAAAACTGTGTAAATGGGTTTTAAGAAGAAATTTCTTCCGAAGAAAGACTGGTGAACGAGGCCCGATGTGCTCGAATGTTTGTCTGGCACTATATGTCGAAACTTAAATTCTTGTAATAAATTAATCGTCATCCATCCCAGCCCTTCTTTTTACAGCATTAGACCAAAATAGACTCCTGAGTGTTGTTTGTAGTCAGCAACATGACCAAATAAGACTAGACCAAAGCCATTTTCTCTATGGGAATAATGAACAGGGGTTTTGACAAATGACCACTGTTCCACCCAGCGGTAAGCAAAATGTCATTATGGCCCCCAAACACATACGCCCCCAAATGTCACTAGATCCTATGAATTACAGTCATTAATGAGTAAAAATACGAAATATGAAATTTAACATTAGTTCTGGGGAACCAATGACCCAATCCCACCTCTTTTCACCAGTGTATGTGAGAAATTATGAAAATATGTCGATTTGGTAGAATTTGTAATCTGATAAATAGTGTACTAATTTAATTTTCTAAATGTCCAAAGTGTGCAGTGCAAACAGTGTAAGAGAATGAAAAGGTGTCTGGTCTTACCTGAGTGACCTTGCAGGACCAGCGCAGAGAGCAGGACAAAAGCCATAAGTTTTGGCTGCATGATAAACCATCCGCTGAGAGCTGCGCTCATTATCCATCCACAGCTGTGTAAACAGTCCTAAACACCGTAGCCTTCTAATTGAGACTTGCTCAAGACTTGACATATACATCCCACTGTAATTCAATACTGGTGTAACACGTTAGCTGTAATACAACACCAGATAATAATACCAGCTGTCCGCAAGTTCCTGTTCAGCAGAACAACATATATGCAAGTTATATGTAAATATTGTACCCAGGGATGGAAATTATGGGCTTAAAGTTTTTTTGTTTTTAAATCTTGAGTTATATTGTAAAATGAAAAGGTTTCAAAAGTTTTAAGACGCTTTTTGCACATTTTAGACCGACAAAATTAGCAAAAAAAGACTCTAATAGGAGTTTGTTTGGGTTTTTATCTAGTTTTTCCTGCCTTTCTCTACGGTTTTATCCTGAATGTAAGCTCCTCTGATGTAGCCATGATATTAAAAAATAAAACAAAATAAAATAAAATAAATTGTTCTTTCTTTGTAAAGCAGTTTAAGCTGTGTTTTAGTTTATAAAAGGGGCAATAAAAATCTAGTTATCCTCATAATCATTATTAGTACTTAGGCCAAGCAACCTGAGAAAGCCGGCTTCACCAGGAGGTGGTTCAGATTATTCGTGCGGCTTTGCCAGGCAGACTTGACCCACACTGTGAAAGGTTAAGTTCATAAAAGGACTTTCTGCATTTGGATATTCAAATAACCTGAAGGCCGTTTTTTTATCTACATGCTCTTGTTTGTTGATGCAAAGTTAAATATTACATTCTCACAAATTGCATATTTCAAAACTGGAGTTGGTCCAACTCAGGGATTCGGCTCCATGCGCTTCTTTTTAAAGTGTTAGAGGGTTTCTAAAAAATATCCATGACGATTTGCGCGTTTTCTCGTCTTCTTACATTACATGACTTTACAGCCTTCATTTGCAGCCCCAAGCAGGCAGTAAGTGGAAGTGCTGCTCATCATGCTGATGCCCCCCTCCAGACTCAGACCACTTTGTTTAAAGCTCATATATGTGAAATGCTCTGTTCTAGAGTCATAATGGTTCACGCTGGTGTGATGAGAACCACACATCTAAAGTGTTCACTGCCTCTGCAGGCTGCCTTGCAGGGTCCTTAGAGTTATTACATACACTGGTTAGAAACACTGCCTGAGACAGCGAGTGTGTTTACACACACTTAATAATCCGACAACTGCGGAAAATCTCATTCAGTCAGTAATCCGATCAATGTGTTTACCTGCTCTTGAGTAATCAGATAATGGGGAAATTCCAGGTCTACATGAGTCAGACAGTAATCAGATTTCTGCTTTGAAACCAGTGAATAAACTCACAGAACACAACGTGACGTAAACGTAATGTAAACTCAAACTTCACGCTGCTACTTTTTTTTAAATATCGCTCCACTTTACCTGAAAATATGAACAAACTTCACCTAGAAGATGAAGAATATTTAAATCCTTCATTTCGTGTTTGGTTTCAGCGCCACTCCAACAGTGTTTTCCTGCGTTTCGTGACGTCCACTGTATGATCTCACACATACACAGACTGAGAAATCCGATGGAAATCAGAGTAAGAGTTTACATGCACTGAGAAATCTGATTACTGAGCTAAAATCCAGCCTCTTTATCAGATTTCTTATTTGGATTTGTAAATTGGAGTATGGTGTTTACCTGACCATTTGAATTATTTTGGGTTATTGAGTGCATGTATACGCACTCATTGTTTTACAATAGTTTTACGATAAGATTTTGGCCTGAAACATATTTTCAAAATTCCATTAATGGTGGAGAGGCACATGCAGGCGTTGTAGGGCGTGGTACCCACAGAAACCCTACTTTTTCAGATTTACCACTATTTTTCAATTATCAACGTCCAATATATGAAAGCACAGAAGTAAATAGTGTATATATATACAGAATAAATATTCTATAAAGCTATGAAGAGGAATTGAGAAACATGTCATCTGCTTCTCTCCACGTGTGATTGGTGGAAGTGTCCATCTACATTCTGTGTGAAACTGACCAATGGACACTCAAGAAATCACTAAGGACTGACCATCACGCTGGAGATGCCTCATTTGTACCAGAGACACATGAAATGGCATGCAAAAAGTTTACAGCTGCTGAAGCTGCTGCAGCGGTTTTGGAAAGTAGTGATGAAGATAACGGAGCATTTAGATGTGAAACATATGGGTGTCGTGTTATATGAAGGGTCTTTAAAGTGACTTTAAAAAGAATGCAAAAATCGAGAAAATGCTCTTAGACCCCAGAGGGCTCAGTCGACTTACAATTTTAAGTTGAGCTGACTTCATTTTTTTACTCGTGTAGGTTCACTGGTGGTTCTGGATAGTAAATAAAATGTCTATATCTGTGTTGTAGTCATGGCGACCCCTGGTTCCTATCACCACCACTGTAAAGAGATCTGAGTAAGTAAGTCTGTCTACAATGAACCACCCACATCAAACCACCCACCATTTTACTTAGTATAACACAGTGTAAGTCACTGGAAATATCTGCTTAATAAACTTACATCCTAGTTTTGTACGTTAACTTTCAATTTCAATTAATAAATAAAAAAAAAATGTTTAAACTTAAAAATGAATGACTTAAAATGTTGAGTTTACTGCACGTCACAAGTTAGGAGAGCAATGATCTGTGCTTACACTCTGCTGTCTTTGTGATGATTTCATGGTCATTTGTTTTAGTTCAGCAATGCTTCTCACTTTTAAGATAAGACAAACTCATCATTTCACTTTAAGGGTGGTTACCATGGCAACTCAAAACAACCCTCCCTGCTTCAGAGTCAACTGTGACACCTGTTTATGTGGGTATTTCCAGAGGTCAGTATCCACAGTGGGCCCCGCAGTATATCATCTAACATAACGTTTGCATGTCTCGAGATTATCCAAATTGTATTCATTTCCAATCGCTTCCAACGCAACGTCTATTTAAAGTATTACAATGCATATTAATATCAGTCAAATAAATAAACATTAAACCTCCAGATCAAATTTGTTTAAAACAAATAAGAGAGCAGAAAACATACCCAGAGACACTGACATCAAACAAGACACAGACAACATGTAAACGAAGAAGGGCACAGTCGGAAGGTTCCAGACTAGACTAAATAATGTTCAGTTTTCAGTGGGGTTGGGCAGTTTAGTGCATTTAGAGCATCTCTTTATGTCGTCACAGGTGGAACAAAACCTTGTATCTCCAAAAAGGTCACTATTACATCAAACTTCAATGGAAGTTAATGGAGAAATTACTTATTCCTAATCATTTGGGAATTTTTATTGATCCATTCATTTTGAAATTCTGGCACAATCTAAGGGCAGCTGGTGGTTTCACACTGACAGAAGGTCAGAAAATCGAAAACGGAGGTGCAAGGTTCTGTTCCGACAGCAATGATATGCTTCTACACATGCACTATATGGACAAAAGTATTGGGACACCTACACGTCACACCTACAGAAGCTTTTGTGAATCCCATTCTAAATCCATAGGCATTAATATGGAGTTGGTCCCCCTTTGCAGCTCTAACAGCTTCTACTCTTCTGGGAAGCTTTATAGAAGATGTTGACTGTCAAAGTCAAAGGCAAAGTTTATTTAAATAGCACTTTTTACAGCAGGTGTTCTCACAAAGCAGCTTTACAGAAAAATCCAGGTCTGAGCCCCCATGAGCGTCACCAATGGCAACAGTGGCAAGGAAAAACTCCCTAAGAGCAACAGGAAGAAACACTGAGAGGAACCAAGACTCAAAAGGGGAACCCATCCTCCTCTGGACCACACCGGATAGCAAACAGCGTTAGTATAAAATAATATGTGTCGTGGGAATTTGTATCCAATCATCCAGAAGAGCATTTGTGCGGTCAGACACTGATGTTGGGCTCTGTGAGAGTCAGTCAAGTTCTTCCACACCAAACTCACCCAGTCAGGCCTTTATGGAGCTGCTTTGTGCACTGGGGCTCAGTCATGCTGGAACAGGAAGGTTCTTCCCCAGACTGTTCCCACAAAGTTGGAAGCATAGAATTGTCCAAAATGTCTTGTTCTGCTGAAGCATTAAGGTTTCCCTTCACTGGAACTAAGGGTTCTAGACCAACCCCTGAAAAACAGCCCCATATCATCATCCCTCCTCCACCACACTCTACAGCTGGCACAGTGCAGTCAGGCAGGTAACGTTCTCCTGGCATTCGCCAAACCCAGACTCGTCCATCAGATTGGCAGATAGAGCAGCGTGATTGGTCACTCCACAGGATACGTTTCCACTGCTCCAGAGTCCAGTGGACTTCAGTACGACCCTCTACTGCCAATGTTTGTCTATGGAGACTGTGCTTAATTTTATCCACCTGTTAGTGTGTCTGAAACACCTGAACTCAATAATGAGGAGGGTTGTCCCAATACTTTTGTCCATATAGTGTATGTATGTATGTATGTATGTATAGTGGTGTGTTGACAGCGTAACTCTAGAAGCTGACCTACTAAAGTAGAAACATAAACAAAGAGAATAACAATGGGTCAAAAATATGCTCTCTGACTAATAATGACTGTAAGTGTACTGGTTTTTATAAACACTGTGGACTGTTCAGTATTTTATGAGAAAGCTGCTTTCATGTTTTTTCACATTTTTCAGTTTCTGTTTTATTTTTCCTCTTGTTGGGCCTTTCAGATAAGCTGTAGCTGTGTGTGATGATTCTTATGAATTATGCGATAGTGTGTGTAATCCTCTAGTTTGATCTGAGATTTCCTGTCCACACTGAAAAATTTCCACTTCGAATTTACATTCAGACTAAAATGTGTAACATCAACAAATTTCTTGCCAAACCAAGCTAATTTTCATAGAGCAACTCTGTCGATGTAATTTTTTTGTATGCAACCACATGCAACGTTTTATCATGAACCCTTTTTTTAAAATGCAAATGACATCTTGACAAGAATCTTGAGGTGCCACTGATAAGGTAGAGGTAGATTAACCCTTGCGTGGTGCTCAGGTCTGTGGGATCCATATTCAATGTTTACCAAGAGAAAAAATGATGTGATTTATTATTATTTCAGCCTCAGATTCTTGTCCTTTACTCACTTTCTGTGAAGAAATAATAAAATAACCCATTTTCAGTGTCTTCACTCTGTTCACCCCCCACACATTTCATATTACACATGTGGTGTTGGGTGAACCTGCGGGGAGTAAAAGTGTGGAGGTGCTGTGTCCTTCACTCTGTTCTCCTCCTACATGGCCTGCTGTTAGTGTGTGTGGTGTCTGTGTATGTATGTGTTTGTATGTGTGTGTGTGTGTGTGTGTGTGAGTGTGTGTGTGTGTGTGTGTCTGTGTATGTATGTGTTTGTATGTGTGTGTGTGTGTGTGTGTGTGTGTGTGTGTGTGTGTGTGTGTCTGTGTATGTATGTGTTTGTATGTGTGTGTGTGTGTGTGTGTGTGTGTGTGTGTGTGTGTGTGTCTGTGTATGTATGTGTTTGTATGTGTGTGTGTGTGTGTGTGTGTGTGTGAGTGTGTGTGTGTGTGTGTGTGTGATGGTGGACAACATGGACAGGCTGCTGACTGGCTACAGCTGCTAAAGGAGAACCCTACGCTGGACACTTGTGATATTTTAAACATCTGGTATTTTTACATAAATTGTTATGGCTGTTTTGATTTAAATAACAATAATGTGGTGGGTCCAGCAGACCACTGAGTAAAAAACACATTAACACCACACAGGGGTTTGAAAAGCACACAATATATGTTATGACATCATTGTAATGTAGATTTGAAAGGTACAAGATAAAATATTGTCACAGTACAGCATGATGTCTGTCTGGGCATCTGGGCATAACAAAGGGTGATGTTTTTAGTAGAGAGTGATGCGCCTTTGCAATTAATTTGCATTTACAAACTACCAAGCAGGAACACCACATATTTGCATCATAAAAACTTGTTAGAGGAGTTCTTTGAAATAATTTGACAAACGCGTTTTGGCATTTCTGGATTCATTTATTTTTTGACCCGATGCAGATTTCTTTGAAAGGTAACAACAAATAAGGTTAAAAAAAAAAACAGAAAACATCTTAGTTTTGCTAGGATATGAGCAAAACTTCACAAAGACTCGCTCAATCAGGGGAGTATACAGTCATATGCAAAAGTTTAGGCACCCCTGGTCAAATGACATTTTGTTGATTGTCTAAGTGAAAATAAGTATAAAATAACAAATCCTCTACAGAGACACACTTCTGCACATTTTAAGGCATAATTACTGTTTATTTGCAGAATTTAATGTATTGAGGAAAAAAATAAAACACAAAGGGCCAGACTCATAAACCTCAGCAGTATCAGCGCTACGCCATGAAAAACGTGCTTGCGCAGTAAAGCAAGACCTACCCATATAGTCACTGTGGCGGTGATTAGTGCACTGGTGTCTTTTTAACGCTGTCCTAGTCAAGAGCCAATCAAAATTCACATGTAAAGGAGTCCATACATATTAATTATCCATACTAGTGAAGCTCTCTGTGGTTGCCAAAGTGTGTATGATGCATCAAAGGAAATCAAAATGCTCAAAAATACAGAGCTACAGATTTTAAAGGAAGAAGTGCAGCCAAATAATAGTAAACTGTTCAGTACAAATGCTTTTAATTTTAATTTAACATTTTTTTAATCAGGAAATGTTGTTTATACTAGCAAAAAAGATGTATAAAAATCTAATTATAACACTTTAAAATTCAACTCTTAATTGTAGGTATTATATTTTAACAAGTAAGAATTTATTTCTTATTGGTAAGAATTCAAGCCTTTTTCCAGTTTATTATAACTGCAGTCACAATTTTTAATAACATGGATTAAAGTTTAACATTTATTACAAGTAAAAACTACATTGCCATGCAGAAATTCTAATTACTATAGCGAGCTGTTTTAGCTTTTATTTTCTATTTATCTCGATCTTACGAATTCAATTTCTACATGTGAAAATTACATTTCAACATCATAATAAATCGTCATACACCACAGTAAAATCTTATATCTCAAACTCTGCAAGTAAAGCAAACTGATGTGCTAAAATATGCAGAAAATGCCATTTCTGCTTGTTCCCTGTTGACAATGTGTCAACCAACCAACTGAGTTTCACCTAGAAAATCAAGAAAACGTAATTTGGGGGTGTTAAAGCTTTTGCATACAACTGTATGTCCTAATAGCCAATTGGGGAACAGAAGCTCAATTGAGAATCATAAACACTTAAAAATAAAAAGAGGACCCACTGCAAGACGGAACCACACTGCAGAGTCATCTTCCCACTTTTGTGCTGCTTATTTGCTTGCATAATTTTAGCTCCTGGAAAAACTGATGGTACAAAAGTGATCATAGTTTTGCAGCCTGCTGAACTGGTCAGTGAATTCAAATGACCTTCTAATGGTGCTTATGTTAAGAGTGCATGGTTCATCAGCAGGAGAGAACAGATAGACATGCAGAACATAAAACTGTCAGATAGGAAACTTATCTGATGTCTTATTACACACACATATTCTGTTTACTTAATACATATAGTTATGTAATAATGCACATTTAACGGTATAACATATTTAAACATGTAAATGACCTGCAATATATATATGTATATATTGCTGCTCTCAGAACAAAACCTTGTAATTCCAAAATGGTAACTTTACAGTAGAAGGAAAAAACATGCTATACTTTTAATGCAAGTCAATGGAACCAGACTTTTTTCCAAGTCATTTTGGGCCGTTTCTCTTGGTCCATCATTATGAATTTTACAAACAATATAAAGGGCAACAGGTATTTACAAATTATGTCAAAAACCGAAAAACGACAAAAATGGACATACAAGGTTCTGTTCTGATAGCAGCGATATATATATTTGTGTGTGTGTGTGTGAGTGTTTGTGTGTGTGTGTGAGTGTATGTGTGTGTGTGCGTGTAGGTGTGTGTGTGTGTGTGTGTGTGTGTGTGTGTGTGTGTGTGTATATACACATTATTATGAATACTTTATTTTGATCCACTGTGAAATGAATAACAAGCTAAGTCAAGATCAAGAACAAGTATTCCAGACATGAAATGATTTAACTAGTATAAAAATAACAAATACTTTAATTCCACACACAGTAAGACAGTGCTTATCTTTTACTGAAAGCACATTAATCAGTCGTTTTAAGCTTGATAGAACATAGTCTTGTAGTGTTATTGGATATCTGTGATGGTTTAGGGTCGACTGTTAACACTATTATTCAAAGTCTTTATTCAGTATATATGAAAGGCTGAGTACTATTATAAATATTGTATGCATATTATGTACAACATATACATGATACAACATGCACATAATACATGACATTGGCACGGTTTCCAAAACGTGTTAAGATCATCGTAACTGGTAGAAGGAGTGTTCAGTGTGATGCTGCCTCTACCCATTAATGATTATCTTTGTGCTGAGAAGCTTTTGGGAAACCCAGCCTTTGTCATTTGCTGGCTCTCCGGTCAGTAGGATCTCTGGCCCCGGTACCTGTTATTGAGTTCATTCATGACCACATCTGAGCTCGTCTCCTGCGCTGTGATTTCTCTGTCATCAAATGGGCTGCCTATGATTACAGAAAGACATTTTCAGAAAATAATCAGCCTACATGCAAAAACTATCATGCTGTCACTGTAAAACATATCAAACAGGTACAATGAGATCAAAGAATTCTAAGAAAGTGAAATCAAAACATGAAATTCTGCTTTATTAGTAATGATGAATAGACTGATTGTCATTTCTTGGCATTTTTATATTTCATATTCATATTTAGTTTGTTTTACTGTGAAAAAAAAATTCATTTTAAGATGAACAAAAGCAAAACTGACTGGTAAAAAAACAAGTAGTACGTAAAAAAACACTGTGGTATAACATTTATATATATATATATATATATATATATATATATATATATATATATATTTATATGCATACCTTTGAACAGTCCTGGTGTAATTACATGTTTTGATGATTTTCCTAAATATGGCATTTTTCTGCACAATTTCTATTTTTATGCCAAGTTTAACCACTTAAACGGCCAGGGCCCAAAGTTTTATTACACACTTCTACACTCTTAAAAGTGATGGTTCTTCAAGAGTTCTTTAGTAAAGAAAATGGTTCTATATAGAACCTTGAACACTCAAAGAACCCTTTGCATGATTAAGGGGTTCTTTGCATCATGAAAGGGTTCTTCTTTGATGGAGAATGTACTGTAGATGGTTTTAGTTGTATATAGAACCTTTTTTGAAAAGGGTTCTATATAGCAGCCAAAAGCATTCATCTATTGTTACAAGCTTGACATTGTAACAACAGAAGAACCTTTTTGGGTGCTATATAGAACTTTTCAAAAAGGTTCTACAGCACATTCGGAACAAGGAACGAACCCTTTAGTCATGCAAAGAGGTCTGCGAGAGTTCATTGTTCTATCTAGAACCATTTTCTTTACTAAAGAACCCTTGAAGAACCATAACTTTTAAGAGTGTATAATCTAAGAATAGCTCAATGTTTGCACTATTACATACTAAGCCTTAGTATGTAACAATAAAAAATAAAACATACAGTATAAAATGTTCCATAACTTTTGCACAGGCCACATTTTATGTTTGTTTTTTCCAGTATGTCAAATTCAGCAAATAAACAGTAACTATGCATTAAAGTGTGCAGAGGTGTGTTCTCTGTAGAGAATTATTTCACTTACAGCTGTACATTATATGTGTGATGCTATATAATGAGCAATCTCAATTAAACTGTGATAGACAGCGGGAAAGATTTGTGAAGAGCAGGGAAGGAAGAAGCTGGAACAAGTACAGCGGTGTGAGATATGCGGAGAGTAGATGTGGGCAGTGGAGTAGTGACAGTCTAATGAATAAACTGAGGAAGTGCCACGCAGTGGCCGACACTCACTGATCCCCAACGACCTGTCTGATCCTGATCCTGAGCCGTTGCTGACCAGGAACGTTGCAGAGCTGGACGAGTTATTGGAATTTGAAGATTTCACTGAGGACAGGCCCAACCCTATTTACAGAGGATTTCTTGGTCTTCTGAGTGGCAGTGTGACTCCAGTCTGTCGCACAAACAGAAGAACAGGACATCTTTAAACAAAGTTAAATCAGATCACATCAACGAAGATCACATCCTGTGTAAAATGATTTAAAAACCATGCCAAGTGATCAAGTGTACAGTCTGGTGGCCCTGGTCAAATGACATGTTTTGCTGATTTTCGAAGTGTCAATAAGTTTACACATCCTCTAGAGAGACTTATTGGGGAAAACGCATCATAAAATGTGGCCTGTGAAAAAATGACAGCACATTTTTCATTTTAATTTTTTACAATATCGCTGCTCTCGGAAGAAAACCTCGTATCTCTAAAACGGTAGCTTTACAGGAGAAGGAAAAAACACACAGTACTTTAAATGTAAATCAATAGAACCAGACTGTTTTCCGAGTCGTTTTGGGCTGTTTCTCTGGGTCCATTCATCATGAAATATACACATAATGTAAAGGACAACAGGCATTTTCAAATTACGCCAAAGCTGAAAAATGAATGAATTAAAAAGAGCAGAGAGGGAACAGAAGAAGAAGAGACTGAGTGAAGAGCTGAAAAGCCCCAGTGAAGGAAAGGACTGAAAAGTCTCGATAGAAGCCACTAAAAAAGTGGGCAGCATAGCGTTGGTTTAGTTTTTGTGTATTTTAAGTGGAAAATAAAGGGAAAATGGCTGCTGCAAACGTGAATCCTGCCTCCAGTGTCCTCCTTGGGCCCGGGGTAGCGCATGACTACAATGTCATTTGACAGGGAGTGTTCAATGATATGACTGTACTAACACAAACATGCATGCACATACATTTCACTGCAGAAACAATCCAAAGTAATAGATGGACAAAATGAACCTACCAGAGTTCTCCGCCAGCCTGAACTTTCCACAGCACAAATATATCCTCCACTGTCTTCTAACATTCTCCTTCACGGCACAGTGGAACACAAAGATAAAGAACCCTGTGGGAGAGAACAATGGTTCTGAAGATCTACATTCCAGTTTCGCAACCAAGGCAAGGAATGTGTGAGATAAGAAATGTCAAGTGCAGAGTGTCAAATCTATGATAATGATACAAAACTGCACCTATGCCAACGTTACAGGAGCGGTGAGACAGTCCAAATAATGCAATCTGTGTTATCAGACACGAGTCATCGTTATTTTTAAATAGCCCTGACATCACTAAGTTTAACATTCATTCCCTGAAAAAAACAAGGTGGATGTGCTTAAATAATTTATCTTAAGGTTTAAATCACCAAACTTTTTTTGACAGTTTTACTCCTACACAAGGTTTTTGGTAGAGGTCAGCAGGCCTCTGAGCAACTTATGAAACAGAAAACAGAGAATTAAGACAGGAACGCTCCATTAACTACGCAGATATACAGCATAGCACTGTTCTTCTCTATTACACAGTGAACAAAATTCCAGTTGTATGTGGAAACGAGACTATTTGCATCCTGAACACCCACAAAGCCCAAGTCAACAATGATACTATCAATACACAAATTCTAAAATACTAAAATAGAAAGCAAACAAAGTTCTTTATGAAGGCTGGTACATAAATAATACCATACTTTTTTTGTCTAAACGGTCACTTTTTTGTAAAAAAAACCTTCCTGTGCAACATGAGCTCTGTTATGTTTTTAATGAGAACGGATCATGTTGGTGTAACGCTTCCAGGGAATCACATGTCTGACCCAGCTGTTACTAACACTAAACTGATTGTTTGCACAAACCAAAAGGCAGTAAATGCTGCTTATTTAGTCTCTAAATATGATGATTGACTTTTAGTTGAAACACTCTCCTCTTTCCTAATGGAAGGGTTTATTTCAATCTACTGTCATCTAGAAATAAAGTCTGTTGCACAGTTAAACTCTGATCATTCTATGCCAGGCTGGTTCTTATTCATTTGTCTTTTTGTTAACCCTAACCCGGTATAAGAGAGGTTCATAGTGTTTCCCACACATAAGTTATATTTTTGCAGTGTGCCTAGTTATGTGAGCTATACAATCCCCGGAGAACCCAGTCAAACCCAGGCTTAATACCAAACACCTTAATTAGTGTGCTAGCCATGGAGGTTTTGAAATTCTAGCTTCTACAGCCAAATAATGCACTATTTGTCGAATATGGATGTGGCTGAATCCCAAACAACTTTTATGACTATTGTTAGCAACATTATACACTCTCAGGTTGCAGGAGCCAGTATTTAAATTCCTTTGTAGTGCACTATGTAGGGAGCAGGGCACCATTTGAGATTCAGCCCCAGCACAAGAAGAGGGTGCTGTTGGATTGGCACTATATAAAACTCGTAGTGGTAATTTGGTGACCGAAAAGTACTTATAAAGCAAATGTTTGGCATTAAAAAGTGTTATGTTATGATGTGTTCATTGTTATACAACAAAAAAGTTTAAAAAATCATTTATGCAAACCAAATTCCAAAAAAGCTGGGACAGTAGGAAAAATGTAAATGAAAACATACAGCAGTGGTTTGCAAATCCTTTTTGGCCTGTATTCAACTGAAAACATTACAAAGACAAGATATTTAATGTTTGAACTAATTCACTTTTTTGTTGTGTGTGTGTGTGTGTGTATATATATATATATATATATATACACACACATACACACACAGACATATATATATATATATATATATATATACACATATACCGGTCAGACACAACATTCTGACCACCTCGTTGTTTCTATGCTCATTGTCCATTTTATCAGCTCCACTTACTATATAGGTGCACTTTGTAGTTCTACAGTTACAGACTGTAGTCCATCTGTTTCTCTGATACTTTGTTAGCCCCCTTTTACCCTGTTCTTCAGTGGTCAGGACCCCCATGGACCCTCACAGAGCAGGTACTATTTGGGTGGTGGATCATTCTCAGCACTGCAGTAACACTGACGTGGTGTGTTAGTGTGTGTTGCACTGGTCCGAGTGGATCAGACACAGCAGTGCTGCTGGAGTTTTAAACACCTCAGTGTCACTGCTGGACTGAGAATAGTCCACCAACCAAAAATATCCAGCCAACAGCGTCCTGTGGGCAGCATCCTGTGACCACTGATGAAGGACTAGAGGATGATAAGCTCATACTGTACAGCAAGACATGAGCTATCGTCTCTGCCTTTACATCTACAGGGTGGACCAACAACGCAGGTGCGTCTAATAGAGTGGACAATGAGTGGACACAGTGTTTAAAAACTCCAGCAGCACTGCTGTGTCTGATCCACTCGTACCAGTGCAACACAAACTAAAACACCACCACAACGTCAGTGTTACTGCAGTGCTGAGAATGACCCACCACCCAAATAGTACCTGCTCTGTGAGGGTCCATGGGGGTCCTGACCACTGAAGAACAGGGTAAAAGGGGGCTAACAAAGTATCAGAGAAACAGATGGACTACAGTCTGTAACTGTAGAACTACAAAGTGCACCTATATAGTAAATGGAGCTGATAAAATGGACAATGAGCATAGAAACAAGGAGGTGGTCATAATGCTATGCCTGATCGGTTTATATACATATATAAATATACATATAAACTTATTCTAAATCCAATTCCTGCAACATGTTCCAAAAACGTGGGACCAGGGCACGTTTACCATGGTGTTATATCACCTTTCCTTTTAGCGATGTTCAGTAATCATTTGGAAACTGAGGACACCAATCGTTGCAGTTGTGACAGTGAGATTTTTCCCATTCTTGTTTGATATAACACTTCAGCTGCTCAACAGTTCGGGGTCTCCGTTCCCATTTATTGTGCTTCATAATGTGCCGCACGTTTTCAGTGGGCTACAGGTCAGGACAGCAGGTGGACCAGTCTAGAACCTGCACTCTCTTACTAATAAGCCATGCTGTTGTAACACATGCAGAATGTGGCTTGACACTGTCTTGCTGAAACAAGCAGGGACGCCCCTGAAAAAGACGTTACATAGATGGCAGCATATGTTGCTCCAAAATGTGTATGTACCCCTTCACAGATGTGCAGATTACCCACTAACACACCCCCATACCATGACAGATGCTGGATTATGAACTTTGTGTCTGTAACAGTTGGGATGGTCCTTTTTCTCCTTCCTTGTCCCAAAGAACAGGTCATCCATTATTTCCAAAAACAACTTGAAAGGTGGACTCATCAGAACAGAGCACAAATTTCCATTTTGTGTCTCACATAAGCTTCAGCCCAGAGAATTCAGTGTTTCTGGATGTTGATAAATGTTTTCCGCTTTGTGTAGTTAACTGGCATATGTAGATGCAGTGACGAACTGTGTTTATTGACAAGGGGTTTCAGAATTTTTAATGAGCCCATTACAGAAGTATGTTGGTTTTAATGCAGTGTCTTCTGAGAGTCACGGGCATCCAGTGTTGGTTTTCAGCCTTGCCCTTTATGCACAGAGATTTCTCAAGATTCTTTAAATCTTTTAATGAAGTTATGGACTGTAGATGGTGAAATCCCTAAATTCTCTTTCCTCCTTAAATCACTTGTTGAGAGACGTTCTTCTTAAACCAGGCCTACTTGCTCACACAAATTTGCACAAAGTGGAGACCCAATCATGACAACATCACCTGTTACCTATTTACCGGCGGTTCCAAAACAGGTGATCTTGATCATATCATAAACGTCTTACATTGCTGCTGTCCCAACTTTTTTGAATAGGCCACAGGCATCAAATTTGTATTTAGTGTGTATTTACAAAAATCAATAAAATTGATATGGTAAAATATTAAAATCTCTTCTTTGTGCTGTTCTCAATTAAATACCTGTAATACCTGTTATAAATCACTGCTTTCTGCTTGTGTTTGCATATTGCCTACTGTCTCAACTTTTTGGAATTGGGTTTGTATACATTTTTATTTATTTATGTTTTAGCGTATTCACTGGGGTAGTTAAACCACCTCCCTCTGCTACGCCTCAGCGCAAAAGTATATTTTAAATCTATGGGAAAAACTTCATAAAAGTTTTTTTGCTGCTACACATAAACTTTTGATAGAGGTTCTTCAAGGAATATCACAGGTAGGACAAAACACTCTAAATTTCCATCTCATCTGAGACACTTTATTTAGGTTTATTTTATGTGATGTAACACAGTGGAAGGACTGGAAAAGGTGCAGCGCTTACCTTGCAGTGTGTTAAAGATGGCAAATAGGTACATAAAGGGGAGGTTAACAGGGCCCCATGCAAAGAAGGCAAAACCCCAGGTGAGGCCAAGAAGCACTGTGAGTCCAGCCACACTCCGGACGTCCTGAAGGCCACTACGGTGCTGTACGTTATGAGGGTTTTGTTTCTTAATGCGACAAAGCTGAACCATCACCACGATGAACATGCTGAAGTTCAGCAAGAAAACTACACAGAAATATGCCACCACTGCAACGTAGAAGGCAACATTGTTCTTCAACCAACAGCTGTGTAAGAAAAGACATGAAGATCAAAAAGACAGTTCTGCTACACAATGTAATTCAAAGATTTAGGCTAAAGATACTAGATCTGGGCCAAAATTCACAAATCCTAGACTAGCATTAAACACATTTGTTTTCTGTCCATGTAATGCTACTTACAAGTCATCTGTGGATCCATCTTCGAACTTCCCATAGGACACAAGTCCATAGTTGTCCTTATCAATGGCTATTACGATGATGACCACAACCAGAGGAATGCCTTTGAATAGACAGAATATGATCATTTCATATTCCTTCATATTTATACTACAACAAAACCAGAACTATCACAACATCTTTATCAAGATATCAAACAGAAAGGTTAGCAAAGATAACAGAGACAGGACATTTGTCCACATACCCCAGCCAGCCAATGCCAATTTGAGCATGAAGCGAGAAATATAGGTGTTGAAGACTTTGACAAGGGCAAAGTACATGTGGACAGCCTCCAGGGCCATCCAGGTGAAAGAGGCCAACAGAAAGTAGTGCAGGAAGAAGGCTGTGGAAATGCAGAGGCCCACAGCGTTGGGGTACAGGGCCAACCAAGAGTCTAACAGGTACACTAGGTTTAGCAGCAGCAGAGCCAAACACAGCTGGATCAGGATCTTAGACGGCATATCTTTACGCAGTTTTCTACAACAGGAGAAATAAGCACCATTTAATATAGTTTCACAGTTAAATAACCAAATCTTTATTAAGCAGTAATGTCAACATCATGAGAGCTAAAACAAAACTTTGAATTAATGAATCTATATTTTATGGATTTATTTAAGTGCAAGTTATTCTACCACAATGGAAATACATATTTACATATATTATCAAATATATTGAGATTGAACCTGACTAAAAACTGTTATTGTCCATGTGACAGTATGTTGTTTATTTGAAAGTGACTGGTACCAACTCACTCAAAAGCCAAATAGGTAAGCAAAGTGACGCAAAGGAAAATGGCGGAGATGCCACAGCCAATATAGGTGATGTAGGTGAGGATGGTGGCTTGCAAGCGATTCGTTATCCCCTGTCTGGAAAGGTCCTGAGAGGGAAAAATGTCATGCAGGTTGTCTGAAATATGGCAGTCAAATTAATACATGCATTACAGCTATTAAACTGAAATACAATTAACGAACTGACAGTTTACAACAGCATTTAAACATTATGCATTTTATTTTGGTACTAACTTAAGGTGTTTTATTCAATATTACATGTTATTGTCTATATATAGTCATTGCCTGAAAAGTTATCTGCCTTGAGATTTGATCATCGCTTTTGGAATACAAGACATTCTAGGTGTTAAACTTTTCAGAATATTTTCAACAAACTTATGTTATGGTAATGAACACAGTGATTCCAAACTTTTGAATAGTAATATAACCCATTCGGGCTGTTCTTTGGCCAACTATGATCTATGCATCTTCCACAGTAGTGGAACCAATCTATGCATATAAAGCACTTCTAGACACGCCCTGAAGAAGCCTTTGTTGCTGATACACGTGGGCTGTAGCCTGTACGTCTATGTGGGTCACTTTTTTGAACAGAAGAGCGCTTTCCTTCACCTATTAGAGGACTTCCAATATACTCAAAGCAACAAAAAATACAATTTCCAGTATTTTCTCCTTACCCCTGTTGATTAACCAGGACGTTTGGTCAATTTTTATACAGGAAGTATTAAGGTTTCGGAAACCATAAGCAAGAGTATTTGACATTACTTAACAACCTAAAGTGGTCTGAGACAATGAGTGTGTTTACATGCACTTAATAATTCGATAACTGCAGAAAATCATATTATGTAATCAGGTAATGTGAAAACTCTGGGTATACATGAGTCAGACAGTAATCGGATTTCTGCTTTACAACCAGCCAATAAACTCACAGAAGAAGCGACGTAAACGTAATGTATACTTTTTTTAAAAAAACACTGCGCCACACTACCTGAGAAAATGAACATATATCATCTAAAAGATAAAGAATATTTAAATAGTCCTTCATTTCGTTAAGAATGTCGACGGTTTCAGCATCACTCCAAAATTGTTTTGCCTGCTTATTTCTTCAGTACAGCAGTTTGTTCCACACATGAGCAGACTGAGAAATCCGAAGGAAATCAGAGTAAGAGTTTACATGCACTGAGAAATCCAATTACTGAGCTAATATCCAGCTCTTTTTATCAGATTTCTTTATCAGGTTTCTAGATCGGAGTATGGTGTTTACATGACCATTTCAATAAACTTATAACTGCAGAAATCCAATTATCATCGGATTACTGAGGGCATGTAAACAAATTCACTGTGTGTTGATTCAGTCATGAGGTTAGCCTGATGCTCGTTGGTGGCCAATCAACAGCCATCATGCTCACTGGCTGGCCTCATAGCTCCAGTTCGAAACTACAGAGACTTTGAATACCCAATATGTCTTGGCTGATCGACCAAATATAGAGTGAGGAAATAATTTTGTTAATTATTTTTTTTGTCAAACAGTTTCTCTAAGCACTGTCTAATGTATGTGCTCGCATTGGAATACTCACCAGCAGCACACCAAAGCTGGTGAGATGGTTACAGCCACACACCGTCTCATTCACAGTGCTGTTCAGCACAGTGCAGCCTCTGGAGCTCCAGCCACCAGAGCCACCTGCAAATCGACAAATCAGGCAACTAATTAGTTAAGACAAGATAACTCATCAATCAGAAATGAATAAAACAAACAAAAAGCACAGGTAATATACATAATCATTATATCAACATTCTCTGAAGTGCATGCTTAATAGAGGCCAAAATTATTTACATTTAAGTGTTTACATTTAAATGAACTAAACAAATTATTAAAATCCTTAAGAAATTATTCAAAGCAGTCATAGATAATGGAGTATTTGTAATATGATTATGCAGTCAAAACAGCCAGAAAACAACCTTCATATGGTCAGCATGAGTTTTGCACTTTGAAGCTGTCAAGTTTGTAGTAATAGAAGTAAGTGTATTAAAATCTCACTCACTTACCGTTTAAGCCAAAATCCCAAAATACACAGGTTACTGTAGAATTAGCCTGTCAAGAGAATAGCAGCAACACATTATTTACCAAATGGATTTGCACAGGTATTAATAACATATAAAGTATAAAAATTAAAGATTTAGTTTGAAATTAACATTTTGAAATATTGGCACTTTTATGATTCTTTTACTGACCGAAACAGCCTCAGTGTTCCTCAGTGTAATTAGGACGTTGTCTCGTAGATTGGAGAGCGACAGGTTCGCCACACTAGAGCCCAGAACTCCGCTGATCAGCCTGGTTTCATTTGAATTTAGTGCACTGTCCTACACGTAGGCATGGCAGAGATAAAAGCATTACAATTTTATACAAATTAGTACATGTTGTAACTAAGGAATTACAAACATTATGCAAGTTTTATTGGCTACAGAAGTGTATTAGCACGTATGAAGGTATGATATACTTTGAAGCACTAGTAAACTAAAAGGCCTACCTAAGAAGTACTGTGAACTCAAAAAGTGCTAGAGCTACATAAATGTTTCTGGAACATTCAATATACAAACAGATAAGGATAATAAAAGTACCTTGGAAGAGGAGCAGTACTACACACCTGGAAGAGAGTGCTCTTCTGATAGAAATTAAACTGTACTCTGGACGCCAGCTGCTGCTGCTGGGGATTGAGATTGCCCGTGAGGGAGGCTGGGAGAATGACAGATCCCTGAGGAGGCAGGACTTTGGCCTCAACGCTTCTCCTGGACCTGGAGCCACCACTAATCTAACATACATATACCAAAAAGATCAATTTAGATTGCCTTAAATCAGCTCCATAATTTTAATGCCTCTTCAATCGTAAGCTGGGCTTCTCTGACAGCTCTCACAAAAGACCTGGAGAATCTGTTCATGTACTTCCTATTTCAGTTCAGCCACATACTCAAAACAGCAGAACTCCATTTTATTATGTTTTCTGTGACAGTAGCTGATGCCCTACAGCAAAGATGGGGATCTCTGGCCCTGGAGGGATGGATTCCTGCACATTTTGGTGATGTTCCTGCTCAAGCACACCTGATTCAGCTCCTCAGCTAATTACCAGGTTTACCAAACTGTGCTGGACTCCAGCACCCCTGCTCTAAGGGAATATTCCAGCATTTGCCAGCCTAATGTTTCAGATAACATTTGTGTCATACTTCCAATTATTTGAATGTGTTTCCTTGTACTCAGACAAGAACTGAGCTTGTTGACTCAAAACTCACTTACACTAACAGCCACTGGGCAGTCTCTGAAGTCCTCAAGTAAATTTCATTTAAAATATGTGACTAATAATCTACAACCATTGCACTCTAACAATATAGGTCTTATCCATCAATAACTTTTGAGCACTGGAGCAACAAAGTAAAAAGGAGTTTTCTGGAACATTTGCTTTCCCTAAATTCTTCTGGTATCTATGCTGAACTCCATCTACCTACACAGCTTAATTCACAAATATCACTCACAGAAGAATTCATAAAATCTTCTGTAAAAATTAGTTTTGTATAAACATTCACTGACAGAATGTATCAGTTGCCTAATGACTCATCATGTAAACCATATTTTTAAAGGAAAATACTGCAAAGACAAATGTTGAAACTGAGAAATTTGATTGTTTTCTGAAAAATATATGCCCAATATGAATTTGATGCCAACAACACGTTCCAAAAAAGTTGGGACGGGGGCCTGTTTACCACTGTGTTTCATCACAACACTGTGTAAGTGTTTTGGGAACTCCTATCAGAAGTGTGCTTCAAGTCAAAAGGGGTTCAGTTCTTTTCTAAGTACAAGTAAAACACAGAAATTACTGTTCCTAGTAACTGACGCTAAATTACCATTGTGGAAGGTTAGAGATTAGGTTGAAAACCCTGGTCTGTTCCTAAAGGCACTGCAAACTATCATCAGGGTATACAAGTAAACAGCTGGAGCACTGGTTTCTAAAGTATTACCTGCAAATTGGAGGAGTCAATCAGAGTAAATGAGGTCTGCTGAAAATTAACCCCATCCACTTTATCCACTGCCAGAGCCACAGATGTTGAGAGAATAGTCTCACTCTGTCCCTGCACCACCAGCTTCAAGCCAACTTTGTCCACAATTCCAATGATCCTGATCAAATCAGAAGAGAAATAATTTTATATGCTTTTTCAACATATTGACATGGCTGTATAGTATATAACCTGGTTAACATCTAAAAATAATTGGCAAAATATTCTCTAGTTAAAAAATCATGATTTTCAATTATATCGCCACCCCTCACCCCCCTTCCCCAACCAATACACACAGTACGCTGTGGCTTTGACCTACTTTCTATTCTGTTTTTGGTTTATGTTTTTTAAGCATTTTTAAATTGTGTTCACGAAATTTTACTAAATAAAATTCACATTTTTAATAAAATAATATTGAATAACCCAATATCTTTCGAAAACTACTTCACCTGTCATTTAGTGGCTATTACTGCAAACATGTGAGTTCATGAGTATCTTCTGGTGTAGGTTTGTGGCAACTTGCATGCTAATAGCTTTCCCTTATGGAAGCCCTTTCCCACCACTTAAAACATAAAATGCAGCAGGTAATTATTATTTTTATATTTTTAATTGAATTACTATGGAATTATTTTGAGATAATAAGTTGTTATTTTAAAATACTATTTAATTAATTTGAGATACTAAGTCAATATTTTGAGAAACTCTTATTATATTGAAATGCTATATGCTTTTGATAGTCTTACAAAATTATGAAATATCCCAAAATAATGACTTTGTATTACAAACTGAGACAGTATTGCAAAATAATGGCCTAGCAATTCAATTAGTAATTAAAACATAATAATTAGGTGGTAGTATTTTTTATTATTCCTGCTGGAGAAACTTCAGACTGCAAGTGATTTCCATGGAGTATTGAGTAATTTCACAGTTCTCCTAATTCAGGTTACAAAAATACTGCAAATTTTTCTCAGAAAGTACATCACTCGCAGCAGAGACTGTGGGAAATTTACTTTACCGTAGGCAAACGGCTTTTAAAGGCCCATAAAAACATGTTTTAACAGTAAAAGTGAATAAAATATTATGTGTACATATTATTTAATATTATTTATTACCTTTTCCTGACCCTGTTTTCAGGCCGAAGACATGGATCAGAGGAGCCTTTTTTAACTTATATTAGTAGCAGGGCTAGAGTTAACTTAACTACTCTAGGATAATATATCCAGTCACTTTATCTTGGTTGTTTTACCGCTGCAAGTCACGCTGAAGCAACCTGACGTTCCAAAGCATTTATTTTTAGTTCAATCTCAATTTAACGTAAAGTAAAATAAGTAGGAGTGGAAGAGCCATGAGGTAGGTAAAGCTAGCATTGAGTGTATAGCAGAGAGAATTAACAGGCAGCGTCTTGACAAATCTCTCTCTCACTCTGGTCAACAGAAAAAAAGACTATTGAGTGCACATCTGCACACTTTTTGCACACAAGCAATGTGAACTCCAATTTATCAACATATCTAGCAAAAGATTTAATGGTTTAAATTAGTTCTCTCTCAGTTCTCTTTCCTAACACAATTATCACCTGACATCGGCACTGAGCTGCTTGTCAATCATCGATGATAACTGATTACATCGCCCTGATGTTCTGACATGCACAGTATTATCACAGTATTATCACAACTAACATACAACATTTTGTCATCAGTATTGTTCAGAAATCGATTTGCATTACAAAAACATTATGGGGTAGAAACAGTTCAACTCAATGCTCCATAAATTCATCTGTACACTCTTTGATCTATCACTGACAAACCAGTAATAAATACCACTGATAAACCAGTGTGCCTTATTGGCTCATTATACCTCACCAGGCCCACTATTCACAATTATAATGAAAGTAAAGACACTGATCTAAGCAACAGTCCAGCTGTTCATCTCACCTGTTTGAAGTGGACGCCAGCGTCCTTGCTGGTGCATCCAGTAAATTGCTGACAATGTTGATAGACATGTTCCCCAGAGCCAGGCTGACATTGGGCCCTGAAAGAAGTGCCTCTAGCTGAGACACAAGCTGCTCCACCTGGGCGGAGCTCAGAGCAGAAACGTTCTTGCTCAGCTGCAGCAGCTCTTCAGCTTTCACTTCTGCACTGGTGGCCGAAGTGGTAGAAACTGTAGGTGAAGTGGATTAAACGTAGAATTCAGAGTTCTTTTACATTATTTTACACTTTGCATTATTTAAGTAATAGCAAGGATGCAATTAACACCCCAATTGACATTGTTTACCTGATTCAGCTAGACATATCTACAGTGCCTTGCAGAAATATTAAACTCTCTTGAAAGTTTTCTAGATTACAAACGATACTTATTTTGCCAATCAATATTTTTATTGTGAACCTAACATTAATTTTCAAAATGAAGCTGTGTTATTTGTGTACAGATATTTAAACAAAATTAAAAAACGGAAATATCTTGGAAGCACAATAATTCAAACTTTACATATGAATTTTTAGTTGAGCCACCTATAGCTGCAATAGCGCCTTTAAGTCTTTTGCAGTAAGTATGTAGCAGATTTAGCAGAAACACTGCAAGTGACGTTTCCCCGTTCGTCTTGGTTGTAGCAGGTTGTTCAGATTGCTTGAATGATCCTTGTGCACTACAATTTTCAGACAGAGCCATGTTCTAAAAGGGAGCCAGGACTTGACTGGGCCACTGCAGGACACTCAGTTTTTGTTTCTGAGCTACTCTAAGGTTGACTTGACTTTGTGCTTAGACTTACTAGCAGATTGAACTTTGCTCCTTCCATTCTTCTTTCAGTTTTAAAAACATGCTTGTTAAAACTCTGCTACTGAAAAGCATTCCCACAGTACGATACTACCATCACCATGCTTCATTGTAGTAAAGATATTTTATGGATATTTCCTGAGACATGGTCAGTATTAGGCTTGTGCCACACATAGCACTTTGAAATTTGGTCAAAGAGCCAAAAAATGTTGGTCTCATCTGACCACAAAACATTTTTCCACATCTTAGTTACGTTGCTTCCATGCTTTCTAGCAAATGTTTCTTGAGTAATAGTGTTTCTTGCTACTATCCAGACAGGTCAGTTTTATAAGAGCTCTGTAGTCTCATTTACTCCACTTTTTGCCTGTGTAGCTCCTTCAACGTGATGCTTGGGTTACATGTGGCTTCTCTCTCAAACGCACATGTTCCTCGGAATCTGAGTTTTGAGAGGTGATTTTTTTCTAGTATCTGGGTGACGTCATGAAGCCGACTGTGCACTGTGCTCACTGGGAGATCCAAACGTCGATATAATTTTGTACTCTTTTCCTCATTTTTGTATATGTGTTATGTATAACTTTATGTAATATCTCCTTCAGATTTTATTCTGACCAATGATCAAAAAAGAACGTCAAATAAATCAAATAAAAATTAGAACAGATTTTAATTTAGATGATGTTGCGTAAGCAGCAGCTCAAAAGATACAGTAACAAGCATTTGTTATCCCTCACATTCCCAAGTTAGTGGCACTGTGCTTGTAGGTGGGAATGGACAATGTCTGAAACTGAGTTGAGTAAACATCCAAAATAATAATAAGATTAAAAAATTATTTAAATAAAAAAATTAAAATTGTTCACAGTTACTTTTTTTACAGGTACACAGGACTTTCGGACAATTAAAAGTCAACTGTGTCCTTGAGAAAAACCTTGTACATACTATTTATAATCCAGAAAACGTTGACGAAATTGTTGAATACTTGCGCAAGGCCCTGTATATGCTATACAGTGTAAATATATTGCATATATTGAAATGCACTGCATGCCTGTGACACCAGACCAAAAGATCCCAGTATAAGTGGGTTTCAGAAGCCAACCTGTCGCGTTCACTGTTGTTGCTGTAACTGTTGTGTCTGAAGCTGTAGACTTTGCTGGAACAACTGGAGCGGTGGTGTTGAGGGCAGTTGTACTTTTGGTATCTGTTACATTAACCACTGTAGTTACCAACGTAGTTGAAGTGCTCTGAAGTGGGGTTGTGTTATCTGGAGTTGTCACGGTGGTGTTTGTGATGATCTTGGTGGTGGTAGCACTTGTGACTGCAGTTGCTGTGGATAACGGCAGGCTGGTGGGCAGAACTATTACTGGAGCACTGGTGCAACTCTCATTCAGAAGTACAGCTAAATCTGCTCCTTTTTCACTGTAATATAAAACATGGAAAATGAAAGGACAAAAGGACAAAAAGGACAATGGATTTTGTTAAAATTAGTAAATAAATAGCCTATTGTTACTGTGTGTAATAAATCTCATCTACATTGCTGAATGGATATTACAGCACAGCTATTAAAGAGCACATTCATTATTCAGTATGTAAAAGGCGAAAATGTAGGATTAAAGGGGAATTTCACCAATTTGTCAAAATGTCTGTATAATTCAGCCATTAAGATGTAAACAAAGTCATTCAGAGCAGTTTGATGTGAAATGGGTAACTGCAGAGAAACTCATCGTATTTCTTTACAGTGGTCATTATAGAAACCAGGAGTTTCAGTGTTTACACCGCAAATATTGTCATTTTACTTACTATGCAAAATGCCCAGAGAACCTACATATATCTTATGAGTTTTTATATGTAATGTTGATAATGGAAAAATTGTAGTAAATCTTTAAATTTTATGTGGGGACTATTTTGCCTCACAATGCCTTACATGTACCTCTCCAACACAAATGGAATAAAAAAATGTCCAAAATCTTCAAAACTATCATAAAACAATATCTCAGGCATCAGGCAGTATAGCCATAACCCTTTTGTGTAACAGCTTTCTGTGAGGGAGCTGCTAGAGGCATTAAACTCTTCAGATGTCTTCCTTTTACCACCACTGTGAACAATTCTAGCACTGCAAGTTTTTTACTAGAACAGAACATTTCACATTAAACCACTCCAAATGACCTTATTTATATCTTAACCATTTAAGGGCAGAACTTCCCCTTAAAGGACTACAAGACTGACCAGTAATTCAGAAAGCTGTCCAAGTTTGGCACCATACAGAAGTCAGAAGAGTTGAAATTAACAGACACATGCAGGTTTGGTTGCAGGGAGTCCAGATTTGGTTTATTCTCCCAGCTACAAACAGCTGAAAGAAAAAAACAGAGTCTCGATACACTGTGCATAATGTGCTGTGTCACTATACTGAACAAAATGCTTTGTTTCATTTGAACATAAAATATATATTTTTTTAAGCTTTATGAATCCTGATATTAATCATTATGAACTAAATACAGTGCGTGTACACTTACATTTCAACACAGAACCTCTAATTTAAATAAATACTTTGCTATGGTTGAAAGTAAAAGACTAACATATAGGGCTGCACAATATTGACATAAACTACAATGTTTGATAAAGCTGTCACATATCACAATGACGATATGAGAAACGATAAATTACTGTTAAATGTGTCTCTGGCTGGATGTAACACGAGTACAGACATTGTTTTGGGATGTGTAAACAGAAATCTAACCAACCTCCCTTTAAACTCCTCTTTAAACAAACAGCAACATACAAAATTACAAAAGCACCACTTACTATTCTCCAAAATAAAAAGAAACAAAATACTAACAATTGCTAACATCCGAACTGCAAGCACATTGCCTCAACAGCTCTTTTGATAAAGGCTACAAAACCAAATAAATATATCACTGCTGTGGGAACAAAACCTCGTATCTCTAAAATGATAACTTTACAGGAGAAGGAAAAAAACCTACTTTACTTTTAATGTAAGTCAATGGAACCAGTATGTTTTCCAAGTAATTTTGGGTCATTTCTTTTGGTCCAGCACAAAGAAGCAGGCTTGTAACAGTTTGTGTTATGTAATGATGTCTCTCTGGCGCTGCATGTATGAGGTAGTTAGATCTGTTCTGTCATCGCCGATCAAATGATGTATTTATCACAGAAATATTGCGATAACGATAAAAATGTGATTTATCGTGCAGCTCTACTACTATACATACCCATTCTGGTGACAAAGCCATTAGTCTCAATGCCACGCTGGTGTTGCAAAGCACTCGTCAATGCTGAACTGACTGAACACACATCCATGGCATACTTCAGTTTCACAATCACATTGCAGCTGTGCAGAGTGAGAAAAGTTCAGCGCAGTGTAAATGTGCAACCGTCATTATTAAACTGAACATTTATTTGTTAAGTAAACCAGTTCAGTAAACAGTTCTGGCACAAGTAACAGCCTCTGTTCTCTGCTATGTCGTCAGTGACTTCTTCTGAATTAAAGCATATAAATGGCTAATTTACAGATATACTACACACACATGCTGAAACTGAACTTACCCTGTTTTTGATGCACACTGAACTGTAGAATTCTGTAAAAAAAATAAAGCAGATCCTGTTAGAAAGAGTTTAAAACACACTTCTAACTCTAAATATGAAAACATAACTTACTTCATAGATTTTCGAAATGTTATGCCATAGTTTGCATCCAGACCTAATTGAAGAAAGAGTAATATTTCAGGAGCAGAATCTAGCGCTAGAGAGAAGAACATAAAGCCAATATAGGTCTAATATATTAATCTGTACAAAAAATAAAGACGTAGACATACTCAGTAATGTTACACGTTGGTGATCTTAGTGTAAGGGAAATCTGTAGTGTAGAGCAAGAAAAAATACCAGTTTGTACTTTTTACTAGTACTAGTTAATATTACTATAAATAAAATATCATAAATAGACAGGTTCAAGACACGCAATGTAACCTCACCAGTAATGTTAGTTGTTCAGTGTTAAGCTTGGGGTCTGAAATTCCAAAGTTCAAATTGTAATAGGCAGCTATAATAAAGAGATGGAGACAGAGAAACAAAGTTGAGTTAAAACTGTCATTTCAACGATTACTTCATACAATTTTTACAAACTAATTAACAAATTTTAACAAATTTGGATATAAGGAAGTTTTTTAAAAAAAAAGCTTTTTAAACACATCTTGGTAAAAAACGCTTATTTCACTAATAAAGGTGGTATTTATCATTATATAGCACTGACATTTCTAATATATAAACACATACATAAAGCACACTTCCAACAATGTATACAAAAAGAAAGAAAATTTAAATAAAAAAAACATTTATTTCCGAGTCTTACCAGTGCTGTTGCAGTAAACGGAACAGTAACAGTAATTCATTGGCTTTTCTGAGGAACAGAAGAATAGTTATCAAAATGTGGTTAATGTCTTAAAAAAGCTTACAACACTAGTGAATTCTATCAAAATCTACAATTATCACCTGTTTGCATTAGTTTTGCATTATCAAATGTATTAAATGATCATTAAGCAAGCAATGGGTACAATAAGAACAAATGCAAGCACCTACATGATTCAAAACATGCCATGTACAACTAAAACACTAATAAATATAAATAGGATATTCAGAGGCAGAACACAATCTAGCACCCAAAGACAAAAATTACTGATAAGTAGAAAGAGCTTGCGTAATCCTCCTGATAAATCCACTGTATACTGAAGAACTGGTTACTGGCATCATTTGTTTGCTATACATACCATAATTAGAGCTGCAGTTCACCTGGTCCTGAATACCCAAAGTAGCATACACGTACCCACTGTTCCCACTGCTGAAACAACACAATTAAACATTGTAATGTATATAACTGTACATGTAAAATGTGTGCAATGTATTTAAAATGTATAATTTAATTTAATACTGCTAAACAAAGTTCACAGCATTGCCTCTGAACTTACCACGAGATGTTAACTGTGGCATTTGAATTACAAGGAACCTCAGTGCTGAGAGATCCATTACACTTCTCAAAGCTTCCAACTTGAGGCTGTGCATAACCACTGTAACAAAGCCCTTTTGCTGTCGGAAAATCAACATCCAAAGCCAAAAATTTACATACTATTCATATAGTACAGCTCTACCGTATTTTATGGTCATAAATTCATTTTGCTATATATTTTGTTCCAAACAACTTCAACAAAATCATCATATTTCTGTTACCTGCAAAATAAGCACAATTTTGTAACAGATATCAGTCTCTTATGTTTTTATTACATGACTGTGCAATGTTAGACCCATCTCTGTGATGAGTGGTGACACTCACCCACTCTGTCTACCTGGTTTCCTATCACCTGTCCCTGGATAGTGGAGTTAATCTGTACGATGTTTACGATGCGTGCAATGCAGCACGGACTGGTTGGCCGACTCAACTGCAACAGCACGGTGCACTCAGTGAGCCTGTGGGACGAGCAGAACCAGAGGACCATTGGTCAGAAAACACCAGCTTCAGACATTCTGTTCAGCACCATGTGAGGAGATTACAGTGGAAAATACCAACTGGAACTGACCATATGGCCGTCTTATTGTCACATACAACCTCAATGCTCTGAAAACAAAAACACAAAGAGCGGATTACGTTCATCCCAAAATACACACAGTCACAAAAGGAGGGTAAATACAGCACACTGAGGAGCGTCTCTATAAAACAGAAATTGGTGCTTACTTGAAAGAGGCTGGTAGTGGTTTCATTTTCTTTTATTGAGCTAAAAGGCAAACAAGAAGAAAGACACATTTGTCACTGAAGCTATTAGTATGAAAGTCTCCTGTTGACCTTAATTTCACGATATGAATCCTTCAAAAGGCCAGGGGGATAATCCTATTTTTATGTGCTTCAAATATTTTACCAATTAGAATGAAAGAAAGTAGCAAAGCACATTCTAAAAGCATCCTGCTCCAGCAATACTAGCCACTATATTGACCATCACCAATTTTGAGGCTAAGGAGTATTTTAAGTCACTGTATTCATCATTCTCTTAAAATGATAATACAAAAAACACTTTCTGGCTTAAATATTTGCCTATAATAAGGTTCTGTACAATGCCACTTTTCTTGATAAGCAATAATAACTGGTCGTCATATTACCTGTTTCCCGATGTCCAGTTTTGAAACGGAATTGCAGTTACTGAGCTGACATTTTGCGTTGTAGGAGCAGAACTAAAGTTGCCAGATGTGGTTGCCAAGCTGTTGTTGTGTGTGCTATTGCTGGTTTCAGAGGGTGTAAACGTCACTGGCGTTTGTGACGGAGTGGTGGAAGTAGCACTGAGAGTAGAGCTGCATTCACCTAGGTGCTGCTGGAACAGATTCTGGAGCTGGAAAACACATTCAAGATGTATTTTTGAAACCGCATGGATTATATCTAGTGCATATCACCAACGTTCACAAGTACATAAAACTAGCTCTTTGTGTAATAATAAACAGAAACACATACACAAGGTATGAATGATTTGATATAACACACACACCGCTGTAGTATTTATTATTTGACTACAAAAGAAATAGTAATAGTTAAACAATGAGTTATTTTAACAATTACACCTTCTTGAGCCTCAATTTAGCAATATATATTTTTTTAAATCAATCATATAGAATTCCAAGCACCACAGAAGAGCTCGTCCCCACAGTCATGTGTAAAGGCTGAGGCCATATTTTGATGTATAAAACATGTTTTTCTACAATTTTACTTACAATAATCTATACATGACTATGGAATATATGATTTAAATGACATAAAGAAAACAAATGCCAAATAAATATTATAAATATAATGAATGTTGTGGTCTCCAGGAGTCGTGTCACTGGTGTTACCGCGTAACAAAAAATCTCTTATTTTGAAATAAAAGTCACACTGATGACATCACTCGACTTCCTTTTACCTGTTTGCTGAGGATCTATGAAGAAAAGCTCATGGTGAGTCCACTGTGTCTTTCAGTTATCAGAGATTTTCTCATTTAGCTCATGATTTCATATGAAGCTTTTAGCTGAAGTCACTGGTGTGACCGACTTTATTTAGAAAAAATAGAACACAAATGGATTAAATTCCATATTTTAGTGGATATTCCATGACTGACAACATGTGGTTTGATGCTCTGTAGCAGCCGTTTTGTAAAATGCATTTTTCATTAAAAATGTCTCTGGTGTTTCTTTATTATGTGGAACACCAATGAGGATCGGTAACATCTATGGATAGATAGAAAAGTGGACGTTTCTGTAGAATGACCCATATATATATAGACCACGAGTATGCCATTTCTGTACTTACCCATGCAGTAATGTATGACTCATCAGACACGTTTCCAGTTACTTCAACACTGATCATCATCCAGTAGTACACAGCTGCAAGGGACAAACACACACACTTCCTCTTTACTTCTTTCCTTAAACCTTCTTTCCTTAAAGTTTTCATGATTCTAATTAACACAGTACTCACACTGATCGGCACAGTTTTGTGAGAAGTTGCAAGGGATGGGCGTTGCCACTACAACAAAATGTGTGAATGATTAAATATGGGCATGTTATTCTATTACCGCATCTCATAATAGTACAAAGAGGTTTGCTTTATATTCTGATATGAAGTAATAGGCCAATCTGCCATGATTTCTGCACTTAGAAGAAAACTATACAAGATGGCATTTCGGATCTTATTAGAATAAGGAAATGTCACTCTTTTCAATAGCTATTCTATAGGAACCAGGAACCAGGAACTTAGTTACCAGTGGTTACTTAACAACAATGCTATAACAAATGAAAGCCATTGTAATGGGTAAGCCCACCTGTTGTGTTATGTGCAGTAGCTGATGATGTGGTTGTGTTACTTTGATCTGTCGTCCCTGAATCTGAGAGAGGCAAAAGCAACATTCAAATCCCAACAATTACAAGAAAAAAACAAACACAATAACAACAGCTATTGTTTTAAATCATTACAGGCATTAGAAAGACTGGGGTTAGGGTTACAGTTAGGTTAGGGTTAGGCATGTTCATGATGTCAGGCATCGCAGCCAAAAATGAGATGGTTTACAACAACGTTCTAATGTGCTCTGCCAGGATTATATAATGGTGCTAAAAGAAATGAAGGGCGTTGTCTTTGAATAACTCACCTGTTGTATTATGAGAGCTAGCTGAGGTCACAGTCACTGTTGTGTCTGTGTCTGTCACTGACGACGTAGGAGTGGTTGTTCTATTAGTGGTACTTAAACCTTTAAGACAGAGGGGGAGGACGACACTCAAATCACACACCATCAAATACAAAATGTGTTTGTTTTTCTATCAGTTAAGGGAGGATTATATGAATTATATTATATGCTATGAATCCCCACAGCTAAAGACTCCAACACTCAAAATCAGACAGCAACACCTCTCTGCTCTCCCTTACCAGATGTTGTTAGCTGATGTGGAGTTGAGCGCGGGGGTGATGTGGCCGTAGTGGATGGTGGCAGTGAGGATGGAAGTGATAATCCTGGGTGGGGAGAAGGTGATGACACGTTTGCTAAGGTGGCTGAAATCGTAGATGAGTTTTGCTGTACGGTAGAATCAGCCGTGGTTATGGAGGTTGTGTTTGTAACAGTCACTGAAGATGTGAAGTTCGACGACGGGGGTGAGCCCGTGTTTCTTTCAGGTGGGGTGCTTAATGATGAATTTGCAGTAAACGTAGTTCCAGTAGTTTCTGTAGGTACAGTGCTCACTGATGATAAAGACGGTGGTGTGACTTGTGGAGGTGGCATTTGTGTCATGGCAGGTGCTACTGAGGAAAAAAAACGTGTAAGGACACGAGGCAATAAAACGTTTAACAGAGGAAAGATCAACACGTTACGGTCAAAATAAGGTTCTAGTTAACAAATGTTAACAACAGGTAAGATCCAGGGGCCGTATTACAGAAAACTCTTAAGTCTGAGATCATATCTTATCTGCTTTGTTGTCATGGTAACTTCAGTTTAGACTGAATTTAGGACAGAAGCCACTACAGAGCAACAGTTCTTAAGTCTATAATCTCATCTTATTTCCAGATAAGAAAACGGTTTTACAGAAACATCTATATAGATATAATATATATGATAAATATCTATATATCTAGAAAATATTCTAAATATTTTCTTAACTTTAAGATAAACTCCAGAGCGTCTTAACTTCAGTTTAACCGTCTGTTTCTATTAGTTTATGCAGTGGCAGGCAGCATAGTTCACTATAAGTAGCATAATGATATTACATTTATCTACATTTTTCTAATGTTTGATAAAAACTCGTTAGATGAAATATTACAGTGATGGTGGTGAATAATGAGGAGACGGAGCTGAACGTGTGTCTGTTTATTAGGAGGAGTAACGTTAGCGCGCTCGGCTAAAGCGTTTGGGAAATGGAGACTGAAACTGTAGAGCGGCGACGTTCTGATAAACAGCAGGGGGCACTGACACAATATTCTTAACTTTCAGTTTATCGCACTTTAGTTTTATTTGACCTTTTTACATCAGTAACAGTAGCTAGCATTAGGTGTCTGGCTAACTAATTTGATTATGTGTTTACGTTTCAGCTGTGCGCGTAGGGTCGGTTGCTAGGTAACAGACACGACAGTTGATTGTCGACTTCAATCGAGAAAGTTAAAATTTCCTAACTTGAGATAAGATAAGATGCTGTAAGATAAGATTCTTAAATTAAGATCAGATTTGCTTCTGTAATACGAATTTGTGAAGAATCTTATCTTGACCTGTCAGATCTTAAGTTAAGACAAAAAGATAAGAAGTTTCTGTAATACGGCCCCAGGATAACATCTATAAGCGTTTTATGTTTTCTGAAGACAACAAAAAAACAGAAAACTGTATAAATATACCCAAGCAGTGTACAAAACACACATATGAAAGAACAAAACATTAAGGATGTCCGTCTATCCTTGAAACAGACAGACCAGGTGAATCCAGGTGATAGCTGTGCTCCCTAATTGACTTCAGCAATTCATCTTTATCCACAGGAGATATATGAAAAACATTAAGGCCAGGAAAAACTGAGGCTGTGTATAAGAGGGCCAATGAGTAAGAAGAAAGAGTTAAGTACCATAAAAAGAATATGACAGTGACCATGAATTTCAAAGCTGCTGTGTTTGTCAGATCTGGCAGTGTGTGTATCTGGAACAATGTACCATCCAAAAGCCTTTCTTTCTTTAGATCCGACATCACCCAGTCTCTCTCTGCCATTCACTGTTCTTTTTACAGATTCAAAAGCAGAAACTGGCTCTTGTTTGAGGAAAGAGATGAAACCAGTCCAGCAGGTTGACTGGGTTATATTTTGTGTCATATGTGTTATTGTTTTTCAAGCTGACTGCAAAGCATGCGGTCAGTGATTAACGTGCCAGACTGCCACCTGGTGATATACTATACAATACTTTTAAGATGTTTTGTACTTTGACAAACACAAAGAGACATGCAACTCAACACACATGGCCAGTAAAGAAATACATCTAGTAATTGGAGAAAAGAGCACGACTAATATCAACTTCACCACAAAAAGCAATACATCTTTGTTGTCAGGTCTGCCGTAATCAGAATTGCCACAAAGGAACATTAATAGCATCATGTGTGCACATTACCTGGCTTTGCAACCGAAAGATGCATAAGTGACCAGCAATATAACATATCTAACCAACGGTGGATCACAAAAAGCAAAAAGGAAAATATATTGAGGGAAGTAGAGCCATAACATCCCTTTGAGTAATGAGCACAAAATTGATATTTTTGAGCATGGAAAAAAGGAATATGGATGAATGACACTTTTTTTCTATGCATCAGAGGTGTTCTTTAAAAAAGCTAAATTTTGTCTCCACTGCACATCACCTGTTTTCAGATATCATCAACACTTGATACCTTGATAAAAACAATTATTTAATAAAAGACACATTAGTACATTTAAAATTTTTAATGATTTTTCTATGATTGTCAGTGATTAGTTGTCAGTTTGGATAAAGGTAATATCCATCCATCCATCCATCATCTAAACCGCTTATCCTTCTGGGTCGCGGTGGGATAAAGGTAATACATATTTTAAATTCTTTTAGAGCTCACACTTTCATGAAAAACAGAACTTGACAGACACACCAATTTATATACATTTTAGCCTGATACTGCCTTTCTATCATTTTTAATGAAGCATTTATCAAGGTTTTCTCGATTATCTTTTCCCAGCAAAGTATTTTAGAACCTTTGAAAGATTATGATTGGTTTAATATTCATTTAAGCCCATTTTTAAAGTTTGGCCTTTATAAGAGACTCTAATCCTTGATCAAAACAATCAGTAGATAAGTCAATTACTAATATAGTCTACAGTGAAAACCCTACATGATAGTGGAAGTAAGTTGTCCCAGTTAAAGTGTATTTTGCATTGATTCGCTGAATCTACCCTCAAGACAAATGCCCATGTTTATCTGCCTATTATCTGCCTGTTATCTGCCACATGAACATCATTAAAGGGATGGTTTGGCAATTTATACAATATACCATTTATCTCAGACACAGTTGTTATTGTTTAGTTTAGAACTACAAGGCCAACATTGCTAATAAACACTAGAAGTCATTTGTTGTTTTTGGGGGGGGGGGTTAAATACACCCCTAAGTCTTCTCTCAACCCATATGCAGGTCTTCTGTAAGGTTGTGCAGTGGTTTAAAGCACAGTTTGACTTACTGTTATATCTAAAAAATGAACTAAACTTCACCTTGTCGTGCAAGGTGTTGTACTGAATTCCTAATCGCCCACCAAACTTGACTCCCCTTCACATCCATGCATGTCACACAGGCATATGGATTTTAGGTTGTATTCACAATTTAAATTGTTTCTGTTTATAAACATATATATCTTCAGATCAACAGTTATTCAAGAAAAGAAACAAAAAAAATCACAAACGTAACCTGTACCATCTGTGTACCTGGGTGACATGCATGCACACAAATGAAAGTCAGATTCTACAGGGGAGATGGAATTCAGCACAAAAGGTGCATCTAAAATAAATGCCTCCATTGTTCAGATTCACAGAGAAGTTCCGTTTATTTTAATAGTTCACAGCGAGTCATACTGTGTCCTAAACCATACTGAGGCTGTGTGACCTTAACGAAGAGCTGTATGCATTCTGAGTGGGTTGAGAGCCATTTTGGGCATGAACCTCCAGAAAAGATGTATTAGACTATTGACTTCCAGTGTTTGTTAGCAATGTTAGCCTTGTTGCTGCAGCACTAAACTAAAGAACCAAATGTGGACACCAAACTCACCAAACGTAAGTGGAAGATTGTAAGTTGTAACTATTCCCTTAAATAAGTGTGGACATGTGTGGACATTGCTAAATGACTCCATTGTGGATTGCTGCTATAATGGGCGTAGTGCCGCCTTACCTGTGTGAGCAAGCAGGATGAAGGCAAAGAGCAGGACATGGTCCAGAACTTTCCTCGGCCTGCCACGCCATCCACAGAGGGCTGGGCTCACCATTCTTCTGCAACAGAAAGAAGCAGTATGAGAGCTCACTACTAACACAGACATCGTCCCTAATTCATTTAGGTGTTTCATACATTTTCGGTACTTGGATTCTATGTAATGTATTTATCAGTGAGTATTTCTGATGGAAATGTAGAAACAGAATGGACATGAGCACACAGTGGTCAGATCATACAAAAAGATGACCTGAAAATGTCTGACAGTATTTTGAGTTTATTTAGATTTTGGAAAATATCGACAATATACTGCAATATTTGTCCTGACTTTGAGACCGCTAACAAAATACAAAGGTTGATATGCAGTGTTTATGTTTGTCAGACTTAATTAATTTAACCTCAAATAACAATATCTGTCATTTTATGATTCAGTAAATTTGTTACGTGTGTGTGTGTGTGTGTGTGTGTGTGTGTGTGTGTGCATGTGTATATACAACCAGCCACTTATTGTTTCTACGCTCATTGTCCATTTTAGCAGCTCCACTTATTACACAGCTGTCCTTTGTAGTTTTACAATTACAGACTGTAGTCCATCTGTTGCGCTGCATACTTCAATGTCTAGGACCCCCAGAGGACCACCACAGAGCAGACATTCTTTGGATGGGGGATCAATCTCAGCACTGCAGTAACACTGACGTGGTGGTGGTGTGTTGGTGTGTGTTGTGCTGGTCTGAGTAGATCAGACACAGCAGTGCTGCCGGAGTTTTTAAACACTGTGTCCACTCACTGTCCACTCTATAACACTCCTACCTTGTTAGTCCACCTTCTAGATGGTGGTGGGGTGAAAGGTGGCTAACAAAGTGAAGAGAAATAGATGGACTACAGTCTGTAATTGTAGAACGTATATGGTAAGTGTAGCCGGGAAAATGGACAATTATTATTGCTGTTCACTGGCCAAAGTTTATGGGGAAAACGAACACACTGTAGTATTTTAAAATGTATTTTATATGAGTAACTCGTACAGGTTGACACCTATAAACAGACGGAATACAATCTATAATTGTAGAACTACAAAGTGGACCTGATAAAATGGAGAATGAGTGTAAATACTAGATTAGTGTACCTAATAATGTTGTCATTAAGTGATATTTAAAATAACTAAAATGAAATAGAAATGATTTATACATTTTGGGGAGAATGGATCACCCAATTTTAACTGCACTAATTACTATTATTATTATTATTATTGTTATTGTTATTATTATTATGTATTTGCTTATTAGCAATTTCAAAGAGTAGCCTAAGAGGACAAAAATCATATTGCCAAGCCAGAGGTACTTTCAAAATATTTAATGTCATTCTCCTTCTAATTAGTCCATTGCCAAATGTACAGTAGTCCTGTTTTGAACTTGATAAAGAAACTGTGCCAAAAGCTCCACTTAATTATTGTCACTAAAAAAACAGAGGCGCCAATGTTTATTACCAGGATTTGTTATCACTCTACTGTGAGGTCAATCTGACCAGGACCATTATTACTGAAGAAACTCCACGTTTGACGATAGTAGAAGGTAATATAATCTGGAATTATAATTTAGCAGACTTGCAAAAACTACAGACACTGCAGAGTCATACTGGATTTCAAACACGGATCTTGTCAGTAATCACTCAAAGTACAGTTCCTCCTCGGTTAAAGCTAATCCAGCTCAAATAGGGCTTTATTCTGTGGCTGCTTGCTTAGTGAATGTGTGTGTTAGGTTCACATCTGTCTAATTCAAAACACACACACACAAAGTAAATGTACAGTAGAGAAAAGTGACTTATTAGAGGTTACGCAAGAGAACCTTAAGTAAATTACAAACAATATAAAGCAAACACTGCAGCATGAATCACATAACGATTCTGAACACACCTAAAATTGAGTAAGTGCTCTTGCCTGTTCAGCACAGGAAATATTATATCCACAGCTGCAGTGATTTGTCTTATCAATACTGATGTTAATCTTAGATACCAGGCACAAAGTTTGTGAAACTATAGTGGAGAGCACAAATGCAAACACACACTCAGTGGAAGGTAAATGTGTCCTTAAACATTTTTTAACTTGCTTTGTGTTTCACCTGTGAGGTAAGCTTTCTATTGTTGTCTATTTTTATTACTGGAAAAGTCACATTTGTTTCCACCACATGGACAATGTGCCATTCTGTGTCTCATGAAGTGGAGCTCAGATTACAATTTCTTTTATTAAATCTGTTTCTAAATGCATTTTAAAAAGGTAAAATCCAAGGTCTGTTCAGTAGATTTAAAAACAAAATCCATATTACAGCAATCCAGATAACGTAGTACAGCTTGAGCTAAATATTTATTTTTTCATTACACTGTGGACTCATGCTCATACTAGCTGTCACAGAGTGTACACTCCACACCTGAGTCATTACTTTCATAAGATCATGGAAATTCATTAAACTGTATGTGTATTAATCCCTAAGCAATTGGTGAGTTTTAAAAAGCTGATAAATTTTCCTTCCTCATTCAGACGTCTCTCCACATGCTGTCAGTGGTCATTTCACTGTTGTCGGAAGAAAACCTCGTATCTCAAAATGGTAACTTTACAGGAGAAGGAAAAAACATACTTTATTTTTAATGTAAGTCAATGGAACCAGATTTTTTTCAAAGTCATTTTGGGCCGCTTATTTTGGTCCATTCTTCATGAAATTTACAGACAATGTAAAAAACAGTAGGCTTTTCCAAATTATGTCAAAAACTGAAAAACGACAAAAATGGAGAAATGAGCTTTTCTTCCGACAGCAGTGCTTTAGTCAATTCTGTGCAATTTTGATCGATTTGTAGTTTTGTGACTAATCACAAAGGATACTGCTTCTGCTCACGTAGGCCATACTGAATTTGAATAGTTCAAAATGTTCTGCTGTTGCTCACTTTCTAGCATTTTCTTTAAGACCAAAAAAATTATTTAAAAATGTAGTTCCTACGCTGACAGATGCTATATGTGCTAAGAATATAGACAGCAGTTTTCAGCTCCTGAGGAATTATGCTTTTTTACCCATGATCACGTTTATTTTTGGGACTTTTACTTGAGTCTTTATTTTACTTGAGCAACAGTAACGTTACCTTACGAGGATTGGCACTGTGTATGGTTTGGGGCTAACGTTACTCTCTTCACCTAAAATGACCGACGTTCCTCACTTGATGATTTTCACAGAGCTAGAACGCAGAACTTAGCAGAATGTGGGGGGAGGAACTGTTAGTTACCAGCTTCGGCATCGTTTCTCCCGACTTTATCTAGCACCAACACAGGCTGAGTAAAACTAGCTAGCTTTAGCTGCAGAACGCTCCGACCGTTGGGCGCGTGACAGATTTAAAATTCTAGCTAACCGTCAGCGCTGATTTCGGTTTAAACGCTCCGTACTGACACAGTCAGCAACCATGATGCCGTTTTAGGGCCACTGTTAATAAAAATAAAAATGGTAGACTTCGAGAATAAAGTCGTAGAATTACGACATTACAGTGGGATTAATGCCAGGAAAGGTCGCAATAAAATGAGGGGCGGTGAGTCGGTGGAGTTCTACTTTCATATCGATTCACCCATAAAGAAACACTCAGCCTCCCTGTCTCTCCTGCACATCAGCACCAGCCTGTTATTAGTATTCTTTAGCCTGTTCTTGGCTGAAACGGCTGAGCAGGAAACTGTGTTTATCTAGAATAAAGAGCCAGACGGACTCGGAGGAAACTGTCTGTCTGTGTTGTTGAAGGAGAATCTCAGGCAGGGTCGTCTACACGGCTATCGGGGCTCCATCTCCCCCCATTCAAAGAGGGCATGAAGTTTCACAGACAGTGAGAATGATGATCAGAATGATCCACAGAGAGACAGGAGTGAGTGGAGCTCCGGCGCCAGGACAGCAACCGAGACCCCCACACGATATGGCAGCCCTCCTACAGTACAGCAGCCCCCTTTATCCTCCAAATATTACGACTTTATTCTCGACGTCTATTCTTCAGTCCATTAACACAAATGCATAAACGCCAGAAATCACTAGCTTATTAAAGTGATGTTCCTATTATGAGCCCCAAGTTTGACTTGTTCTCATATTGCCTTTTTTCATACTGCACTGATTGAATGGCGCTTGGCAAATGTCTGAATTATGATTAGATGTTGTTTTTGCAGCCTGTCCAGCTCCCTGGAGTAAAATTCAGATGTGTCTCACTAAAACATCAACCCTAGTGCCACTGCTGTCAAGAACTATAGAGTTCAGTACTATATTCTATTTTATAGCAGATTTAAACTACAACTGCATCCATACGTCGTGTCCTTGTGCTCCTATTCAGGACGACTTCACTGACTAAGTCTGAGGATAAAGACTCAAATCTGGGAACGGAGTCAGGTGATCGAGTGGCTGTAGAACAAGTCTGAGCTCCTCTACAGTTTGGAGTTCAGCCCATGCTGTCCATCAGCCCTCTCTGTGTGAAATGACTGCTGAAGCTCTGCTGTTTGGTGATGTGCTGCTTAACACGGACTGAAAACGTCTAAAAACCGGGATGTTTTGTGAGCCAGGTACCTCGTGGGCGGAAGGACGGCTCCACAGGTCAGGTCATCACGTCTGTCAGCGGAGCCGCATCCGTCCACTCCGGCTCGACCCTCTCTCCACGACCTGCAGACTCCTTTTCGGCTTAATAAGCGGATCCAGCCTCTTTAAATGCGGGTTTTCTGGGAAACACCCGTCGTGTCTGAAGCAGACGCTGGATAATCTCTCTGTATTCCTCTGATAGATCGCGCGCGTCTGTGTGTCGTTACCTTGCACAGGTTACCACAACTGGTCTGACGATCTGAGGCTCCTTGGAAGAACGTCCCGCCTCCGCGGGCTGAAATTACGATACACCCTTATCTTCACTATCAGCACCAGCTCTCCAGGAGGTTCCGCCCAGATCTGCATCATACCTGTCATTTGGCGCACACCTTGTGCTGCCCAGCCCTGCAGGCCTTTGTTTTTTTGTCTCACGCTTTGTTTTTGCCTGTTTTTTTTACTGTTGCTGCTGTTACTATAGTAACAGCTATTTACACTAGGCTTGATTTAAGCCAACTTTTATGTGTCTAAGAATTCACAATAATAAGTATAGCATGAATATTTAATATCAGAGCGAAGTATGAGTTGTTCCAGGATGCTTACGTCAGAGTTAATAATTTAATCACTGTATTATGTCTTACAGTGTGACCCGCTGAAGAGCTCATATTGTGGGAAACTGAATTTCCATCACTTTTTTAAAATAAGTTTGATGTAGTACAGGGTGTCCCAAAAAAATTGACATCATTTTGTAGCCTAATAACAGCCAGTTCTCCCTCAAATGATGTCAAATTTTAACAAAATGTGTAAAAACTAACCAAGTTTAATTTTTAATGTTGTTTTTCAGGTTGAAGAATGGCGCTCATTAGAAATGAAAAGGCGTTTTGTGTGTTAGAATATGCTCGAACACAGTCAAACGAGAGTGCAGCGGCATTTTCGAGAAAATTCAATAAAAATGCACCAACTGGAAAAAAGATCTGGACACGGCGCAAAAAACTCAAAGAGGAAGGCTGTCTGTGCAGGACAAAGGGGTCTGGATGAGCACCAGTATCAGAAGATATTACATTTGTGAAGCTGTGAAATCGGTTATAAAATCTACATCCCTCTGAATTTCTTCGAATTTTGATAAATAAATCTTGTGTTTGTTCAACATGAAGCCTATTTTATTTCGTTTGCCAGGACATGTAGTTACTCAGATACTCACATCTCAAATGATGTCAGTTTTTTTGGGACACCCCTGTATATAAACACTGCTAAATTTTCAAAAGGTACCATTCACTCTGCAGTCCATTTGGTCTATGTATGGAAATCGAGCTGCAAAAACAGCCTGTTTTGAATTGGTTGTTTATGTGACATCACACAAATTAACACATTTACTTTTATCTGCCTGTTCAACCATACAGCACTTTAGCCCCACTCATTCACATTGTAGTTATAAGGAGTGTTTCAGTCTTACAGGCACAGTAACAAAAACAGGGGTTTCGGAAAACGGTCATGTAAAATGAATTATGAATGTTTTTGATATATAAACCCACATATATGTCCTTAGTTGACCTCAGGGAGAAACATGAAGTATAAAAAAATTCTAGTTAACCGTCAGCGCTGATTTCAGTTTAAACGCTGAGAAGCTCCACACTGACGCACTCAACAACCAGTCCACTAACACAAAGGCATAAATGCCAGAAATCACTAGAATATTAACGTTATGTTCCTATTATGAGCTCCAAGTTTGACATGTTCTCATATTGCCTTTTTTCATACTGCACTGTTTGAATTGAAAACTGAATTTCCATCACTTTTTTAAAATAAGAGTTTGATGTAGTGTATAAACACTGCTAAATTCTCAAAAGGTACCATTCACTCTGCAGTCCATTTGGTCCATATATGGAAATCAAGCTGCAAAAACAGCATGTTTTGAATTGGTTGTTTATGTAACATCACACAAATCAACACATTTACTTTTTATTCGTCTATTCAACCATACAGCACTTTAGCCCCACTCATTCACACTGAAGTTATAAGGAGTGTTTCAGACCGTCTTACAGGCACAGTAACAAAAACAGCCTGTTTAATCCCATTTAAGATATAAAAGGGGTTTGGAAAACGGTCATGTCAAATGATTTATGCTTTTGATATATAAACCCACATACATGTCCTTAGTTGACCTCAGGGAGAAAACTGAAGTATACAAAAAAGCATCTGTCCATTAAATTGTGTAAAATAATGCACAATGACCACTGGTATAAATATTGGTGTTAGGGAAGTACTTCTTCCGATAAAGACTTCAATATTGAACTTGCACTTCCTGTTTTTAAAGTCCATCTGTCCATTAAATGATGCAAAATTGAAAATTAATGCACAGTGACCACTGTTGTGAGCACTGGTGTTAAGGAAGTACTTCTTCCAATGAAGACTCTAATACTGAACTAACACTTCCTGTTTTCAAAGTCCATTCTTAATCCTTCCCACAATATTCTCCTCCAGACAGATTGTGGTGTTCCTTTGTCGGCCTATTCGGAGCTCCTCTGTAACCTTCCTCCAGAGGAACCCCCAACAGACAGGGAAAGCTCATTACATGTTCAAGGGACTCGGGAATTTCAGAAATGTGATGAGAAATGTGTGACATCATAACAGACGCAGACCGAACTGTAGTGTAGGTGTTGAGCTGTAAAGCCTTTGCTCTGAGGTAAAAAGAACGGAATGGGCCCGTGCCTGTTTTTCTGTGTTAGCTTGGCCTCATGGAATAATAACTTAATGGCATCGTCTATATTTAGATACCATTTCAAGACGACGGTGCTGGAAATACAATAGGCCTGGTGACAAAGGGACATAACAGCACTGAACAAACCCGACAGGTGCTGAATACTACAAAAAATTTAATGTAATGCATATCACTTTTATAGCCCTGAATAAATACAGAGCTAAATCTTAAAATAATAAGTTCCAGATCCAGCAATTGGGTGATTATTCAGCCTGGCCCTGTAGGATCTTGTTGATATTCACCCTTGACCAAAAACCTCATGATTGGGCCCAGTTTTACCATTAGCCTTCTCAAAATGGCAACTCAAGTTAACTTTTAGTATTAAAGTATTATGAATAAATATACTGAAATACAAATAAAAACACACTGGAAAAATAAATTACATATTTAAAATTCCATGTTATCCAGTGAATATAAAAGTGTTGCTCCCTCCTGATACACTTGATACAAATAATAGGAAGATGCCTTTAATATTTCTGGCAATTTTGCCTTTGTGTTAATTAATTGGTTGTTCACTGTGTCACATTTAGGTTTGGATAACTCTAATTACTCTGTTTATCTAATGCTATACAAGGCATGTTTACACGCTTCCAATCCTTAAATCCACATAATGAGCTCCAAAATATTGGCAGCATCACTGTTAACCTCTCAAAATCCTAAAGTTATTACTTATTATTCTTATTATTCACTTCAATGCTAACTCGGTGAGCTATTCTTAAGTTATAGAGGAGTGTAGTAAAACTTTGGGCCCACCGACAGGCCCTTCCCATTTATGGGGTTAATACTGTATAAACTAATACTCATAAACTCATCAGAAGTGTCTAAATTTTGTGCTGAAAACTGTAACTGGTTGTGTGAGAGAACAGAACCTTAATAACACATAAGCAGAAAATAAATGAGCGAGATTTTCATCAATGTTCAATGTTAAACCATCAATCATTCAAACATTACAGAACCCCTGTAATGTGTTTTTTAAATGGTTAACTATTCTTGAATGGGTTTTTATGATTACATAGACAGATATTTGTATCAAGTGTATTACTATAGCACAGAGTTCACATATTTTCATTGAAAACACAGGCTTTCTCATAGTGATCCGTGGGGCGCTATGTAGCAGCTTAGTTTTGTACGTCACAAAGGTGCTTTATAATATATCGCAGTCCAATATAGTAAAATATGGTATATTCTTCTTCGAAATGTTTGGACTGTGCAGTAACCTGTTGGATAAAATAAATAAACAATATTGGGTCAAATATGGCATATAGGGCAGGTCTAAGGATACGTTCACACAGCAGGTAAAAGTGGCCCAGATCTGATTTTCTCTCCAAATCAGATTTTTTTGTTTGGCTGTTCAGATTATCTTTTAAATGTGATCTGTATGCGACATCAGTCTGAACAGATCAGCTCCTAAACTGACCCACATGGGCAAAAGAACAGAGCGTCACGCTGCTTCACGGCTCATCCAGAGGTAAACAATCACGACCGCCAACGAACGCCAGTCGCTCCCGGAGGATCAGCTTCATCTTCACCAGCATCACAGGAGCCATCATGAAGCTTCACTGACTGACAGCTGGGCTCATCACCCAGAATGTGTTTGAGCCATTTCTTTGGTTCACGTCTTCAGATTCTTTAAACTTTTCTCTTAAAATATTTCCCTAACGCTGCAGCCTCGTTCTCCTATGGCTGCGTTCGGACATTTCTTTCAAAATCTCTGTGAACACGGAGGGTTTTGGATGAGTCTCTTCTAATTTTTGTATGGAAATATCACTCCAGATGTTTATGAGGTCTTCGCATCGCAAAATTATGACTAATGTCGAGTTGGATTGGCGGAAAAGTCGCATGAATTCCGATCTGGCTGTTCAGACTATACATTGCCGCAGATCGGATATGTATCGGAATTCAATAGAAAGCGTCTCAAATCGAAATTGAAAATGTCAGATTCAATGTTTTTTGCTGTTCACACTGACACACAGACACACATCTGTGTCACATATGAAGAAAAAATTCGGATTCGGGCCACTTTTACCTGCTGTGTAAACGTAGCCTAATAGTAGGAAGCACTGCACTGCAGTAGCTTATCAGGCTACAGCCTCACCACAACACAGCACAGGTTTATTCCAGCTCACTCAAGGCTCAAATCTGACCTATACACCCTGTATTGTGTGTGGAGCTCTTAGCTTAAGCTACTTTTGCTTAAATGTCTTCATTAGCGCTAGAAGCTAGCGTCAGCTTACTGAGAAGGATGAACCACTATGCCGGCTCACTGATGCTGCACTAGGGCAAGTTTAGAGGATAAAGACACAAATCTGAGCAAGTGAAATCAAGCGACTGGTGACAGAGTGACAGAAAAACAATCTTTCTGATGATTATTAACATTACAGTGGGAGCTTCGTAGACCACTGTCGTCATGCGTCATTCTGTAGTCTGCGTTATGCTGCCATATCAGGAACTCCGGGTCTCCATTTCTCTATGGCCAGAATGAATAGGGTTTTATGACCTCTATCGCCCCCTGTGTTAAATAAAAATGTTCAGAGCCTGATTCATTTTGTCCTGTGAACATATTTCTCCCGAATACCACTGGATCCTCCAAATTATGAGGTTGTTAAAGAGTCTTATTGCTACACGCAAGCTAAAGCTACTGCACATCAGTTTGATGTCACTAAGCTACACCAAACCATAGGCTGTGGCGGAGCTCTGATGAGTTGTGCTACCTTTTCAGACATTCAACCATAGTGCATATTTACAGGTGTACCTGTAAATAAAACCTCTAGGTAGGACATTTCGATAGCCTAAAAGTCTTCATCAAAAAATACTACCAGTTATTGATAACCTGTAAAGTGACCGATATTCTGTGGGTGCATATGCATGGTGCATATTAATTAATAAACATTAACCTTTTCAACTCCTTGGGACCACCGGTGGTTCCAAAACACACTTCATCATATTCTTCATAACTTTCATATTTCATAGGCTACATTCTAAAGGTGGGGGTCATATGAGAGCTGTAACTGTCTTCTGTCCAGTCAAATAGATGGGTGATGTAATTTTAAACCCTTATAATAAAAGAAGCTGAACTCACAATTTGTTTTTCTAAATCTGGGCTATAAACTATAAACAGATGGCGTCTCTTCAGTGATCTGCTCTGTACAAATTATTTTTATAAAAACATACAAATAGCGTCTCAGATTTTTGGCTTTCAGCAGTAAATTGTAAGCATATAGCAATATGTATATGATCATAAAACACGTGTTCTGTTGATTTGAGGGGAGCTTTTACAAATAAATAAATAAATAAAATAAAATAAAAATGTACTTTTATTTCATGCAGTTACTGAATAATTTGCCTTACGATTTGGTCATGTAAACTCAGATGGACAAACAAAAATATACCCTGGAGAATAACACCTCACAAAGTCACCAATGAATAATCTTTGCGTTTACACACTATAAATAATAATAATGATAAAACAAACCTATAATAATAAGTTGTTATTTTTGTAGACTACCTTGTGCAAGAACACGTAAATGTAAAATGATTCCTGTTTTGTTCTTGTAAACTAGGCTACTACGGAATACATGCAGTTTTAGCACTGAAGATTGTGTGAGGATTGATCGACTTGACTGGCAAAATAAATCAGAACTGACTCCGACACGACGAGATCCGCGACGGCTGCGCAAACTCTGCGCAGTTTAACGACCTCGAACACGATCGGCTGAAGTTTCTCCGCGCGGAAGTGAGGAGCGGCCCGGTTCACACCGTGAAGTAAAGTGTGTCGTTTCTCTTCGGCGGGTTTATTTGGCCGTATTTACGAGCCCTAACGGAGCCCTAACGGAGTCCTAACGGTATGTCGCAGACTGAGCCGCGGAAATGCGCGCCTCGTTGAGTAAAGCGCTGCGGTGGTTTTCTCGCGCGGTGTCGGGTTTGGAGGTGACCAGCGGGGTCGTGTTTACAGTCCTGGTCTCCTGCGTTCTCAGCCTCGGTACCGGTTACCTCAACATTTCAGCGCATTCGCTGAGCCTGGAGTCCAGCCTGGTGCTCAGCGGACACGGTGAGACTCGTAAAGCAGCACGCAGTGCAGAACCAGCCCGAGATACCCTGATACTAAAACACGCAGACAGGCGGACTCTGCTTCTAACAACGGCAGGTCTAACTTCTAACAACGGCAGGTCATTTTACCAGCAGGTAGGCAAATAACGTTACATATGGAGCCCTGATGATGACATCCTCTGTAAATAAAAATAATGCGTGGCCACGCCTTATGAACGCGTGGGAACGAGATCCTAATGCGTGGCCACGACTTAGTAAGGCGTGAGAATGAGATGATTAAGTCGTGGCCATGACTTAGTAAGGCGTGGGAACAAGCTCACGGTTTACTAAGTCGTGGCCACCCGTTATTTTTATTTACACAGGATGTTATCATCAAGGCTCCGTATGTATATGCCTACCTGCTAGTGACGCGTGGGAACGAGATCACGGCTTACTAAGTCGTGGCCACGCATTAGGATCTCGTTCCCAAGCTTTACTAAGTCATGGCCACAACTTAATCATCTCATTCCCATGCCTTATTAACGCGTGGGAACGAGATCCTAATGCGTGGCCACAACTTAGTAAGGTGTGGGAACGAAATCACGGCTTACTAAGTCGTGGCCACGTATTAGGATCTCATTCCCAAGCTTTACTAAGTCATGGCCACAACTTAATCATCTCATTCCCATGCCTTATTAACGCGTGGGAACGAGATCCTAATGCGCGGCCATGACTTAGTAAGGTGTGGGAACGAGATCACAGCTTACTAAGTCATGGCCACGCATTAGGATCTCATTCCCACGCATTAATAAGGCGTGGCCACGCGTTATTTTTATTTATACAGGATGTCACCAGCGGGGCTCCATAGTAAGGAGTGAGAATGAGATGATTAAGTCGTGGCCATGACTTAGTAAGGTGTGGGAACAAGCTCACAGCTTACTAAGTCATGGCCACGCATTAGGATCTCATTCCCAAGCTTTACTAAGTCGTGGCCACGACTTAATCATCTCATTCCCGTGCCTTACTAAGTCGTGGCCACTCTATTTTTTTGTTTATCATGTGCTGTGAGTATCCTGACCAATCACAGGCGACCCTGATCACATGATGTAAATGGTTTTGGTTAAGATAATACAGGTCAGTCATGTGAATGGAAGCTCGTTCCCTCCAGGACAGGACAATAAGTCATTATTATACTGTGTTATTGTTTGACATAATTAATTTGACATAGTTGATGTTTTGAGACAATAAGTCATTATTTCAACATAGTATATCAGTATTTAGAGATAGATAGATAGATAGAGATAGATAGATAGATAGATCACTTTATTAGTCACAGAGGGAAATTCCTCCTATTGCAGCACTACAAAGCACAGTAAAGAGCAAAATTAACAAGTAAACAAGTGTTGCCGTACACTATTTACAGACGCACAAATAGAAAGTAAAGATAAATAATAAAATAACAAAACAAAAACAATAAAAATAATATGCAGTACAAAAATAAGACGTAAATTGTATAACTGCTGTGCAGTTGACAGTGCAGTGGTGCACGCCCCTTACAGTGAATACACTAGAGACTGTGTACTGTAACGATAACCTTTATGGATGCGTAAACAAAGTGACAGTGCAGTATGAAATATGTATAAATGTATAATCACAGTGGCAGCTGTTGACAATAATAAATGATTGTTTTGAGATACTTTGTCAACATAATAATAAAAATAAATTTGGACAAAGAGACAAAACAGACTGTTTTTTCTACTTTATCTACTTCTACTTCTTCTGTAGTCCACGTTATGCCCATATCAGGAACTCCAGGTCTGAGCTCCATTTTTCTGTGGCCAGAATGAACAGGGTTTTATGACCTCTATTGAACCCCTGTGTTAAATAAAAATGTTCAGAGCCTGATACGTTTTGTCCTCTAGGTAGGACATTTCGATAGCCTAAAAGTCCTCATCAAAAAATACTACCAGTTATTGATAACCCGTAAAGTGACCGGGGTGGATGCATATGCATGGTGCATATTACTTAATTAAACTGCATTAATAAACATTAACAAATGCCTCACAAAACCACCAATAAATAATCTTTGCATTTACTCTAAATAATAATAATAAAAAATAAACCTGTAATAATAAGTTGTCTATTTTTGTAACTACCTTTTGTAAGAACACGTGATATTATTCCTGTTTTGTTCTTGTAAAGGATGGGCTTCCGTACGTGTCACATGGAGGGTTCACCGCTGTTATTTTAGCATATGCCAAACCATATTACAATATGTACACAGCAGATATATCAGTATAATCCCAATTGTATTTGGTTTAATGTCTCTAAATTCATAAAGCGTTTAATAAAGGAATATAAAGTTTCACCCAAAGCATTGAACTGTGCTTAATATTTGACTTGACTACTAGCAGTGGATGGCTAGCAATGCATATTGGTTGTTATTGATATTATACAGATATTATATAGCCATACCAGCTACCTGAATGACTGCTGCTTTTCTGCTCGATGTTTACGCACCATCTGATGAAGTGAAAGTCTTACCACCTGTTATTCTTTCTTTCTCTCATTCCCGCTCCAGTCCACAGACTCCTCACATACAGCTTCTACCATAAGGATGTTGCACACCTCTTCCTCAGTATCGTGGTGCTGGTGTTCTTCTGCAGCGGATTAGAGAAAGGAATCGGCACAGTGCGATTTCTACACCAGTTACTCCTCCTTTCCACCTGTGTTGGCCTACTGCATGTTCTCCTGGAGCTGCTCCTGTTTTCTCCGTCCTCCAGGAGCGCTGTTTCAGGCCTAATCCCAGTTTCTCTTGCCGTGTTGGGCATGGTGACCATCAGCTCCCGCATGCGGAAGGCACTCCTGCTGGGCGTTAATGTGCCCACTGTGTCTCTGCCCTGGCTTCTCCTGCTTCTAGTCACGCTCTTCGTCCCAAACACTGTGCTCCTGTGCAATGTTGTGGCTGTAGTTATAGGAGAGATGTGTATCCTTTTGACTGGTTGTTGTTTTTGTCCTGATATTTCCCATTTTGTTTGTTAAAATGAAACCAAAACAGTCAAATCTTGATTGAAGATTTAACCTTTTGATCTGTGATACTTTAAAATACATCACAGTTGACATTTTGTTTCTCGAATGCCTGAACACCAGTCCCCTTTTACCCTGCTCTTCAGTGGTCAGGATTCCCATGGACCCTCACAGAGCAGGTACTATTTGGGTGGTGGATCATTCTCAGCACTGCAGTAACACTGACGTGGTGGTGGTGTGTTAGTGAGTGTTGCGCTGGTACAAGTGGATCAGACACAGCAGTGCTGCTGGAGTTTTTAAACATTGTGTCCACTCACTGTCCACTCTATTAGACACTCCTACCTTGTCAGTCCACCTTGTAGATGTAAAGTCAGAGACGATAGCTCATCTGCTGCTGCACAGTTTGTGTTGGTCATCCTCTAGTTCTTCATCAGTGGTCACAGGACGTTGCCCACAGGACACTGTTGGCTGGACATTTTTGGTTGGTGGACTATTCTCAGTCCAGCAGTAACACTGAGGTGTTTAAAAACTCCAGCAGCACTGCTGTGTCTGATCCACTCATACCAGCACAACACACACTAACACACCACCACCACGTCAGTGTTACTGCAGTGCTGAGAATGATCCACCACCCAAATAGTACCTGCTCTGTGAGGGTCCATGGGGGTCCTGACCACTGAAGAACAGGGTAAAAGGGGGCTAACAAAGTATCAGAGAAACAGATGGACTACAGTCTGTAACTGTAGAACTACAAAGTGCACCTATATAGTAAGTGGAGCTGATAAAATGGACAGTGAGTGTAGAAACAAGGAGGTGGTCATGATGTTATGCCTGATCGGTGTACGTGTGTGATATGAGTATGGCTGATAGTAGTTTAGTGAATGCACGGTTTGGGCAGGGGGCTAGCTCATAACAGTTGCACCTACATAATAGATCCTTAACTTGAGGCTTTGTGTTAGATGGCATGGGGTGGTTTTCAGTGTTGGAGATGTCCGAGTCCAAAGCTTGTGTGCTTGAGAAGAAAATGCCTTTCAGGTTACTGAAGAAGATAGCAGGTGTACAGTTTATCCCTGCATCTGCCGAGGAGCGAAAAAAGACCCTGCACACCATGTGAGTGGTCACTCTATTCCTGTGTCATTTATTAAATATCAGAATGGTGTTTGGCCACTTCTGTAGATATTAGGGATGCACAACATAGTGGTGGGTGATGTATTATTCGCAGATTAATGGGAAAATGTAAATATGATTATGATCTGTCTGATATTGGAATTACAGCTATTCATTTTTGTTTATGCCCAGTTTTCTCTCAAAAGTCATTGCCAATTCCCGCTCTGGGGAAGAACGTAATTACTGCCCACTTCTGCTTTGTGACCTAACAGACACTCACAATTGGCTAGCATTGTGCTGAATGTCAGAAGGAGAAGGAAACATAGTGCCCTGTTTTTAGCTACACACACTGAGGCAACACAGTCACTAGGGCTGAACATTTCTATTCTTTTTCAACTTATGAAAATAAGTAACATAATGGACATCACAACAGTCCCATTCATGAAAGTCTTTGAGATTAGATTCCCCATCCAGGCTAGAGTCCTTGGGCAAGACTCCAGTTCACATTGACTATCAGTGCGTCGTTACATCATTGTAAGTGGCTCTGGAAACAAGCATCTGCTAAATACCGTAAAATATTTACATAATGTAAATGTTTATAGTAATTATCAGGTCAGGTCATTGCTGTATCATGGCTATGTAAAATTAATGATCTATGACACTTTTTATATATGAATTTTATGGTGAACATGTTTTAAAATGCAGTAAAAATGTTATTAATATCAGTATCAGCTACAACAGGGTGTTAATTTCAAGTTATCAGCCAGAAATGTTGTTGTTGCAACCCTAATAAATGTTCATTACATGGTGTTTTCCATCACGTTTTCCAGTTCATTCTCTATATGTTGCAGTATGTGGACAATAAAGTGTACTGGTAACTGTTTCAGATGCAGCCCACCACCGGGATCATATCCTGTTCAAGCCTACGCTCCAGCACCCATGTCCACTCCTCAAGCTACAGGGAGCCCACCTAACAGTCTAGATGGTTGGCCATATGCAACCTACACCCAACAGAACTACGCCGTGCCCTCACCGTACTCAGGGTATGGCTTTGGGCACAGCTTTGGATCCAGCCACGGGCATGATTGTGGACATTCTCATGGACATTCTCATGGACATAGTCACCAGCATCTGGCCTCCAGTTCATGGACTCCAGCGGCTCCTCATGCCCATTCTCATTTCAGCCCTCCTGTGAATATGGCTGGGCAGTTTTTTGGTAACCTGCCACAGGTAACTACTGAAGCAATGACTCAAGCTCCTGTGTCAGAGTCTGTGCTGCCTCCTGTGCTGTCCAGTTAGGGCCTTTAAAACCTGACCAATAGAAGCCTGAAGCACTGTTTCTCAACTCTGGTCCTGAGAACCCCCACCCTGCACAGTTTTCCCAGCTCCACACCCGATCCAGCTTATCAAGTTCATTATCAATTATCAGGCTCCAGGGTGTTGAAAGGGGGTGTTGGGATGGAATAATTAAAATCAATGCCGGAGTGTGTAATCGGGAGAGTCAGGAGAATTCCAAGTGGGCCATTAATAATGTAGTTACTTTTATAACTTGCATTTATGAAGGTGCCTTGCTGTGACTGGCCCTCTCTGTCTCCTGTAAAGATAAGATAAGAATGTAAACACAACCAAATATTTTCTTTGGAGGTAATTTGTGGTAATTTTGGGGGGTTAAATCAGCAGAAATCCCGACAGGAATGTATCTGGCATTATTTTATCATATTAACTGCAAGGATTATGTCACATGTATCATAAAAGCTTTTGCCAGTTTTCATTTCATCACTAGTTATTTCATTTATAGCAAATGAATGAAAACAGCCTGATTTTATTTAACATACTAATTTGGACACCACACTATTAGCTTTTACTCAGGTAGCTTTTCAAGCCACAAGGTAGCAAAGAAAATACATGTACAGGTTGGAGTGGGCTGGTCTGCATCATGTAACTCCTGGTACAAAAACAAATCCCACTCCACCCTGGTTGAACATGTATAGGGCGCTGGGCCCCCAGGACTGGAGTTGAGAATAACTGACCTAAACGGTTGTTGACTAATTTTGTGTCCAAATTCTGTGACCAGAAGGAAACCAGTAATATGAGACTGGAAAGCAAATCTACAGCTACTTCTTCAGACTTCCTGAATATTTTTTCCTTATTTTTTGATCATGTTGTTTTTAAACCAGGGTGTATTTCACAAGACAGGAGTTAATCAGACAGCTTAAGCCAAAAGTCAAGCCTTTCAAATCAGAGAAATTATCCAGTTTACTGAGAAATCTGTAATCTGTATTGCCTCATTACCTCACCAGAAGAGTAGCTCTAACAACAATGAAAACATCTTGGCTAACTACTGTGCCTACATTGATAATATAGGTACTACACATCAATATAAAGGTTATGTAAAGTGTGTATATGTTTTATTCAATGGCCTAAAAAATATTGCTATTTGTGTTTCTCATAACAAATTTTCTGGCAAATAAAATACTGCCAAACGGTACACGTAGTGCAATGTTTTGGTTTATTCATAAGCTTTTCAAACTTTATTTAAATAAATAAATGCGATTATGATCATTCATATTTCACGCTAAATGTCCTAATACTGACGTCTGTGCAGTGGAGTGCTTGTGTTCCATTGCCACAGTTTGTAGTGGTATGAAGACTTGATGGGGTCCCGTGTGATGAGGGTCCACCTCCGTTTATCAGTGGTTCATATACATTTCATGCACAGAAGAAATCTGAAAGCAGCTCTGTTTGACTGTCAAATTCACACACTGTGCAGTTCATGCAGGCACTTTAGCTCATCTGGGCACAACAATGTGCCTTCAGGCTGTAACACTCATTTAATCTAAGTTCATAAAATCAGAGGCAACGAGATGAACACGGTCTGCCTGGTTTCAGCTCCAAACGTCTTGCGAGTAGCGGCCTTTAGTCATCAGCCGCTGGAAATAGTCCACAGCCTGAGTGTGTGTCAGGCCTCCAACCTCTTCGGCGATCTCGTGGAAAGCAGCGTGGACGTCCCTGGCCATGTTACGAGCGTCACTGCGGGAGTGCAGAGTTAGAAAGACTTAACCAACCATGACAATTCTAATCAAACACACCATTAAAGGAATGGTTTGGCAAAAATATCTAGTTTTTGTAGTCGATTAGCCATGTTTCTGGATTTTGCTTCTTTAGTTTAGAGCTGCAGTTCTGAGGCTAACATTGCTAAAAAACACTAGAAGTCAATAGTCACCCAAATCTTTTCTTTAAAAACAACCTCAAAACGTCCCTCAATCTGCCCAAAATGCATTAATGTCTCCATTATGGTTGCACACACTGCTTGTAGTGAACAATAAAAAAGAACAAAATTCACCACATAGCTGAACGCTGTGGGCAGCCAATTTAGAAATATCCAACTGCCCGTTGCACACACGTCACACTGGACGCATATGGAAGCTACAGAGTCAATTTTCAATTTCAGTTGTTTTTTTTTAATAATTGATACTTTTATATTTTCTACCTGATGAATTTGTTACAAAATGGAAACAACAGCATGTAAATTTCACCAAACCGCTCTTTTAGACGTGCTTTTTTAATTGGTCTGTGACTCTCTAGAGAAACTCTAAGAGTAAAATGTGGTTGCAAATTTTGCTTCTTACCCACAGACGTATATGTGTACATTGCTGGAGTGGATCAGCTTCCATAAATGATCCTTGTTCTGCTTGAGGAGATGTTGAACGTAGACCTGTGTAACAACACAGTGACCACATACTTTGTTTACATTCAGTGAGGCCTATTTGATTAGTTTGAATGACCTGCAAATGCATCCAAATACAGTTATTCTCAGCAGATGGAATTAATGTAGACATAATATAGAATATCTATACTCGTCACATAAAATCCATAGATTAAAGAAATAAAAAAGGATGTCTGGAACACAAAAAGACCAATGCGATCACACCTTGTGCTCCTGATCCCTGGAAAAAGCCACATGTAGCTGAGTCAGCACACCCGCCTTTTCAAACTCTTCCAGTTCCTCCTGGTAAATGAAGTCCTCGTTTCTATGGCGACAGCCGAAATAAAGTACGGTCTCACCAGTCTCCTTGCCTGTGACAAGACATAAAGATGTGTAGTTATTACTCGGTCTAATAACATAAAACGAAAACAAACTGAACAAATGTTACTTCTTTAAATCCTGGTCTTTAGGCTCTCAAAGCCATTTTCAGTACCTTGTTCTTTCTGCCATGCTCTCTCCTGGATGAAGCCCATGAAGGGAGCGACGCCGGTGCCAGGCCCGATCATAATTACAGGGGTACTGGCTTTGAACGGGAGGCGGAACTGCGACTTCCTGACGTACATGGGCACAGTGGGCCTGGAGCTACTGTCAGTCACTACTTTGTTTTTGAGCCAGTTGGTGGCTACACCCTTGAAGACGCGTCCCGTCTTGGTAGTGTACTCCAGCACAACCGCACAGATGTGTATCGAGGTGGGGTGGACCTGAGCAGAGGAACAGGAACTGTCAGATCAACTTCATAAAGGACAGTAATACATATCACTCATGGAAATCCCCAACAGCAACAGCTACGTAAAGCTTGGCTACAAGGCCCATTTGTATTGAAAACCCTTTAAAAATCCCCTCGATTTTTCCTGATGAGATTAAAAAAATAAAAAGTGGGAAAAAAACTCTGTAAAAGCAAACATGAAAAGTGCTTTTTTTTCAAGGGATAACAGACAAAAACAATGATTTGAATAAAAATCTGCAACACATTTGCTTTGCTCCTGGTGATTATCCAGCAGAGTTTTATTGCAACTCTGATTATAAAAATTGGTTAATGTAAGGACTGTTTATGAATAAAACTGTAGCAGAGGTCACTAATAGGCGGACCGCGGTCCGAGTCCAGAACCAGACGCTGTCCTGTGCGGACCTGGACCTATAAACAATAAACTATGGAGAATTATTTAATTTTGATGGGGTGGTCCTATTTTAATTGGCATAGTTCTTCTAGCCTTTACGGTAGCTTTAGCGGATGCGTTGTAAATATCACACGTGACGCTACTCAGCCAATCAGATCTGTGCATTACAATGAGCACTGAGACTCGAGTGAATGAGGCACACACGGGGGAGGGACTAGGCGAGAAACAGCAGTCGGAGAAGAAAGTGAGTCAGAGGGAAGTTATTTCACAGGGCGTGATCTAAAAAGAGAAAACTGATAAACGTTGTTGAAATATGACTGAACTGTACTTTATTTGATTTGATATTCAGTTGTTGACTGTATAAGATGTTGATATACCTGCTAGGCTACTTCAGTAAACAGTATATGGCACTGAATCATGAAAGTTAGACATTATGATGTTCTGAACCTTTGCTTGAGGAAATTTTCTGTAACTGGAGTTTTAATTAAATACCCCTGCCCTATAGGCTAATACAGGGGTCATGAATCTTATCCACAATGGGCCGGTATGGCGCCAGACAAGCAGAAGCACACTGGACTATGCTTCTTTAATTAGCCTGTTCTCAGACTTTAAACAGCTGCTCCTGCTCGGTTAGAATGAAAACCTGCAGCCACACCCGCAGCACTTTGCGGATAAGGTTGCTGACCCCTGGGCTAACAGGCGTGTCTCAAAGTGAAGGCTGCAGCTGATGTAGGAGAGACTTTCCTAGCTAAGGCTCCTCTTCAGTGCTCTTTCATGAGTATTCAAGACAGTCTGAGCAGGCAGTGCCAATACATCACAACTCACTGACATAAACAGTGTGACACTTTTAAATCTTACTTTGAAAAACATCTTTTACATTTAATTACAACAGGGGTGCGCAACTTCCTGCAGGGCCAGTGTCCTGCACAGTTGATTACCTGCTCAAACACACCTGATTACACTCATCCGTTAATTGCCAGCTTTAGTGGGTGTGTTTGATAGGGGAACAACCAAACTGTGCTGGACACCGGACCTCCAGGACTGGAGTTGTGCACACTTGCATTCCTCTGGTGGTGCAGCATTGTGCCGTTTCTGCCATTTTTCAAACAGCTTTGCGCTGTGTGTGAAGGATTGTGGGTGACTAAATGTCTCGAAGGATACACCAGTTGAGTTCCGACAAAAAAAGACGCTTCTCTCAGCAGAACTCGTGGACAGACTCCTACAAACTAAAACAGCCTTCTGGGGCTTAACAGCCGAGAAGCGCCGCCTTCCTTGGTCACATCCTTGGCTTTGAGACACAGCCTAAATATGCTGGAGCACTGGTTGCCAGCCATGGTCCTGGAAGCCTCTGCACATTATAGTGTTTTTTCTGCTCCAGCCCACCTGATCCAACTAATCTGCATACATCACAGAGTGTCTGTCTGTATATGTCTGTCTGTATATGTTTATGTTCTGCAGATAGTGGCCTTCTACAAACACCCTCTGTAAAATACAGAAAACATGGAGAGGCTCTTTCAGTTATTCTGCTTCTAAACTGTGGAGCTCAGTTGAGCTTTTATTAGACAGTCAAGCTCAGAGCTCACTTTTAATAAACACCTAAAAACGTATCTCTTTAACTCAGCATTTAACTAAAACTCTACGTCTCGCTGTGTTTATCGTCTAATTTGATCTGTTTCATTTTCTTCTGATTCTAAATAAATACTAATGATTTCTTGTATAACTTATCACTTGTCTGTAAAGCACTTTGAGCTGCCACCAGCTATATAAATAAAATTATGATCATTATTATTATTATTATTACTAATCAGCTCATTAACAGATCCTTCTTGATCTGACGTGGGTATGCTAAAGCTGGGAAAACTGCATTTTATATGGCAGTGGGCACTACTGGCTACTTTTCCAGATCTAGAATTAGGAACCCGTGCATTACAGTTCATTACTGCAAGCCAATGAAGTATTTTGGATGATGTTAATAAAACATTTGTTTTTTTAACTGTAAGATGTTTTTGTAACTCTTGCTCAGTGCTTGCTCCCATGCCTTTGGCCTGATGTGAATATGTGTATATTCATTCACATTTCCCAATTTCCTCAAAGAAAGCCAGAGGCCTCACCTTAGCAGACGAGGCGATGGAGTAATAGCGCGCCTGCAGACGAGGTAGAAGTTCACAGAGGTGATCTATGGGAGGGTGCAGGGACGGCAGATCCTCTAAAACAGCCAGGATGTTCCTCTCGGACTCCACCACCCAGCTATGGTACAGAGCCTAACAATCACAAGAGCAGCCTCTGCTTCAGTCTCTGCTTCAGTGTAGGATCATTGTTTCTGGATCTAGACCATTACGTATGAAGCAATTTAGACTAAGAGTATTATATAATATATATATATATATGTTCTTGTTAGTAACTAACATTGCTGCACATTGATTACATATGACAATGGTAGGGCTGTCCCATACATTCCATATATCTTCCTGTACCTGTTGTGTAAAAGCCAGTAGGCTCCCTATTTCTCCTCTCAGTCTTCGTCTGGTGAGCGTGGGGCTCGTCAGCGTTCGTCTAACCAAGTGAGCCGTTAAAAACACTCTGCACTTGTTCAACACGCTTTCAGTAACCAGCTGTGGGGCCGATCATGTTGGCCCCTTGCTGAGAGCAGCCAATAAAAAATAATACATTTACATACGTCCAGACGTTCAGTAAACGTTGTTTACCGTATGGGCGACGCTACGCAGCTAGTCATAGTTCCACATCGGTTGTGGTAGCCGCTCATAATAGCAAGGCAATATAATGAGTCAAGTTGAAAATGTAATAGATGTTAAATTTGCCAGCCGTTAGAGCAGAAATTAGAGATGAAACGTTTGGGACACACCAGAAGATTTCAACACCATTCAGTCTGGAAAGGACAAAAACTGCTCCTTCAGTCCAGAGAGGTTCAAGAGAAAAACATGGCTAACTGTGAGAGTAGCTAAAAAACACTCTTCTGCTTTCCTTACCTGCTCTTGCTATAGTATCACTTGAATTCATTCATGGGTTGGTCACTTTGAGAGAAAAGTTTTAGACAAGTTTGCCCAGATAAAAGATTGTTGTGCATCTTGTCTTTTCGAGCAGTGAACATCACCGGTGAGTCATTCTGCATTATTATAAGCTGTGTTATTCCTAAAGCCCGGAAAGCGTGTTTCCCTACTGTGAAATGTTGTTTTGGATGTGTATTTGCAGACCACAGTGATTGTATATACTGCTAGATAACTCTGGATTTGTAACGAGATGCTGTATAACCAGGTTCTGTGAGATCTAATGTCGTTATCATATCACTCATATTCTCCACTTCCATTCCTGCGTTACGTTAATTCGTGAATTTGTGATTTCATTGATGGAGTGCGTCTGTGTTTGATCAGGTTTGTTTGTAGTTTCATTGACGAGTCACTGCTGCCCCTACAGTTTATTGTGCCCCACCAGGCTTTCTATGCCAGAGGTGCCACTGGTAGTGAGAGTGTGTTGTGCCGGTAAGAAACATTAGGCTCAGTGGTGTCGCTTTGGTTTTTTACACACCCCACTGTCACTGCTGAGAACAATCCACCAGCCAAAAATATCTCAAACTGTGCATGAAAAAAGGTACAGTCTGTAAACTGTACACTTACAAGGTCAGTTTAGCCAGTAAAGGTGTTTTTTCTACAATGATCACAAACTCGTAATGACAAATTGTGTCGCCTTTTACCAAGCGTGCCGGTTTAAGATATGGGTGGAGCTAGAAATAATACAGACCACTGATTGGTCAAACACAAACATCACAGAATAGTAAAAAAGCCGTCAGTTAAGCCAGATGAAAGCCATTTCTAAAAAACACTAGCAAACTAGCCAGAATCGCTGTGGCTGTGACTCGGACGTAAAAACAGATGCAGAGTAAAACATAAAACAGAAACTTCTCCATTATTGCTGTTGTTTCTTGTGTTTCCTTCTTGTGTTACACTAGCACTGCTTAAGAAAGCATGTGACCATCACACAACCTTCAGAGAACTTCTCCGGTTCTGTTATACGGGGGATATCAGGGTACAGATAGTTTTGGGTTCAGATTAGCCACCGTACCACGTTGTACCGCACTTCCTGGTGGAAAAACACCTTAAGTCTACATGTTGATGATGCACTTATGCCAGTGCTGCGCTGAGAATAGTACAAATCTAGTCAGTGGTGGTTCTATGGTGGTCCCTTTTCATCTGACTGACAGGTTAGAGAGAGGCTGACGAACAGTCAGTAAGAGTAAACCTAAGAAATGCACTCATACAGTAAGGGTTTCTGATAAAGTGGCCAATGTGTGCAGGTAGATGTGCCTAATCAGACTCACAGTCCTCCGAAAAAAGGCAAACCTTGTGTGAGAGGTGATGCGTCTGCTACCTTGCCTTCAGAAGAAGAGCAGGCCATCTTGCGCAAGATCTCCTTCTCCTCGGGGTCAGAAGCGTACTGGGACAGGTCAAACAGCACGTTGGTGTGCAGAGGATTGGTGATATCCAAGTAGTGGGTCAGTGCGGTGCGGTATGTGGTGGGGCAGGGGAACGGGTGCTTCTTATTGGCCTCCTCTAAGGGATACAAACACCAGTAATGTACCATTCAGAAAACAGAATTAAAGATAATCACATCCAAAACAGACACCTACATTAATTACTTAAACCGGTTTAAACCTGTTTTTGAGCTGCCATTTACCATCTAGATTCTTCAGTGTGATGACTGTGTCAAGGTCGACACCCAGTCTCTCCCCCAGTCTATTCACCAGTGACACATCGTTCACTGGATAAACAGCAACGTGGTCTCCAGCATCATACCTGTGGTTTTGGGAGAGAGATGCAAATTTTACAAGCTTTGCTTTCCTGCTTTCTGAAGGAAAAGGCTCTGCAAAGTGACCACAACAAAAGAAGCACGCAAAGATAACTTTTAATGGCAGTACCTAATTTTAGAGCCTGAGATATCCAGTTCTAAATGCATCGAATGGCGACTTCCTCCTTTGTTCAGCTTACGGTTAATGACTACAGGTGCCAAGAAGGGATTCTTTGCATCAAAAGGCCTACAAGGCAAAGAAAGTGAAAACAAGGAAGAAAGCCAAGCGTTATAAATAAAACGACACACAAACCAGTAATTATCTTCGTAATTAGCATTAACTATGAGTTATAAACAAACAGTAATCATAACAACAGAAAAAAGTACAGAAAAAATGTGAAAATCAAGCTTTTCAAACAAAAAGGTGATTTTCAGTCAGCTGTGATCAGTAAATTGAGTGGTTGGTTGAAAGGAACTCACGGTTTCTGGTGCTGAAAGCTCAGGAGACGGCTCAGCTCGCCTGTGTACACTTCATTCATATTGATGTCATTGTGGACCACCAGTTCAAACTGCCGAACACTGCAAACATAAAAGGGGTTTATGTCTCTTCCTCGTCTGCTTTTGAAGAACACCTATGATGTCTAAAATACCCACCACCTATTCAAAGCATGTGTGATAGCGACATTGTTATGCAAGCACCCACATAATGGCTTTGGTCCTTCTAGTATGGAAATGAGATGCTGAATATGGAGCACCGACATAAATTACTACTCAGCACGCTGAACTGAACTGAAGCAGACACAGGTCCTGCGTCAGAGGGTCATACTGTGGGGTAATGCCCCACCAACCAGTCATCAATGCACCACTGATCAGTTGGTGTAGTGTAGTGGGTAACACCTCTGCCTTCTACACTGTAGACTGGGGTTTCAATCCCCACCTGGACAAGCTCCCTACACTATACCAATAAGAGTCCTTGGGCAAGACTCCTAACACTACCTTCACCTACCTATATAAAATTGTAAGTCACTCTGGATAAGAGCGTCTTATTATTATTTATTAATTATTTTATTATTTATAAATTATTTGAAATGTGGCTGGAACACTATGACAGTAATATTTTATGCACTCTTTGCAGCTCAGTCTTTTAGCTCATTTGCACTAAAATCTAAACCAAAAATGTCACCTGTAAGTTTGACCCCTGTAGAGATTGGTCAAGGGGTGGTCAAGGTGTGTTTCAGTGTTTCTTGTGTACAGTGTGGTCTGTGCAAACTTTATGGCACATTTCATATTTTAATACTTATTTTTCCCAACATGTTAAACTCAGCAAATAAATAGAGAATTTGCACTAAAATCTAAAGAATGAATGTCATCTGTAAGTTTGACCCCTGTAGAGATTGGTCGAGGGGTCGTCAAATAGTGTTTCAGTGTTTTCTGTGTTGACCAATCAGATGAATGTGAAGGCGGGACTAGTGGCTGCAATCACCAAGCAGGCTAAACTCTTTGACTTCACAGATTCAAATGACCAAGACATCAAAATGACAGATAGACAGCTATGCTAAACAGCATTTAATATTGTCAGTAATATTTTATGACTGTTGACAAAACATTAATTTTAGAAGAAAATTTGTCTATTGATCCTTGAAACATTGCAAAAACCTACAAGAAACATCTTACAAGACACAGACAAATGCACACAGCAGAGCAGAGAGGAATGAGGAGGAGATCAGCGTGGTTTTTAAATGAATGCTGCCAGGCTACAGCCTTTCTAAACGGAAAGTGCTCAAACAGCTTTATTTGTCAGGGAAACGTGATCTTTTGCATAACAGTTCAGATGGAAAAATAAATAAATAATAAAAATCATGTTGCTACTTTTACTTTAGCATTTTTATCACTAAAAGTCAGTCTGATGAAAATAAGCTGCTGGGCATTTTCATTTTATCAGTTGCAATTTGTGCGGAAAGTTTTCTGTTTTTCAGCCTTCAGTAAAACGCAGTGCAGACGCCCTTATCCAGGTAGCTGAATGCCTCCACCTGTAGTTCTCTCAAAGCACAGAACACGGTTGTGTTATTTTATTAGACGCCGTTATTCAAGCGTCAGAAGCTCATTCATGTTCAGTTAAGATTATTATATAAGATTATGATTTCTTTTTCACTTGTTAGTTCCGTCTCCCACCCCACAATCGACGGTGCCCAGCGTCTGCATCCAGCCCTTTTGCAAGAATTATCCCTTTTGTTTTCTTGTTTTTTTACGTTTCTTGGCTTTTTTGGCAGCACAGCGTGTTTTTCCCCCCTGCAGTGGTAGAACCTGCTGGTGCAGCTCGCCTACCAGATTCTGCTGTGTTTTCATAGCTGAACAGACGAAAATGGGGGTGGAGTATCGTGGTATAATGGACTAGTGACAGGTTTCTCAGGCTAATCATAGGTTTTATTCCCCAATCCAAACACCTCTATCAAACAGAAAAGAAGTGGGTTTAATTAGGTGTGAATTATTTAGCAAACAGACAAAACTGTTTGGTACAATAATAAGAAAACTCATATAATTAGTTCACAATCCTTAACTGTTAGGGTACCATTACTGCAGGAAAGGAGTTTTTATGCAAATTTTATTGCACTATTGATAAAGAACCTATAATATAGTTTAATATGGTACTGTATTTTGTTCTCCTTCTTCTGGCTGGTTCTAGTAGTTTAAGTGGTTCCCAGTCCATTTTTTAAAGACCCCTAATCCTGATACTCTTGTTGTGATGCCATTGCTAAAACATTTTTTCTTGTTTTTATACCTGTAATAAACAAAATAAATCAACTAATGCACGTTAAAGTGTCACCGTGTGGATGCACTGTCCATCACCCCCTGCCCACACCACAGAGACTTTTGGATGCTCTGCTCATGGTTCAGTTCTGGCACCAGGCCTAAATAGACAGCACGTGTTTTCTTGTGACGTCTGCAAACGCTGGCAAACAGTCAAACCAAAACGCCGCACAGATACAAAAGAAGAGAGGCGGCACCTTTTGTATTTGACGTGACTGAGTGTGAATGAAATGAATAAAAGCATCGAACAGACAAGAGTACCTGCATTCCTCCTGTGTGGCCTGCACTCCTAAAAACCCGCAGACGGCTGGCCAGAACTGTTCCTTCCATGAAATAAAATCTTCCTCCAAGCTACGAGACAATTTAGAGGTTAACTTCAGAGAAGAAAGTTCATACAACTTCACATTCTGACCACGGCTTGTGTTACAGTCATGAACATTCAGTCAACAGGATCACGTACGCACTTGCCATCATCATCTCCGAGGCCGAGGTCGAAGATTCTTGTAGCCCCCAGTTCTGCCAGCCGGTTATCCGTGTACGTCCCCATGGCGTTGTAGTGATCATAGGTTTTATTCCCCAGTCCAAACACCTTCATTAAACAGAAAAGAAGTAGGTTTCTATTGGATGTGAACTATTATTAACTGAATAAGACACAACAGTGCAGTAAAACAATGTGAAACCCATATAATCCATTTGCGATCCTTAACTGTTAGAGTACCGTTACTGTAGGAGTTCAGTTTTAATGCAAATTTAATTGCACTTTTGATAAAGAGGCTTTAACATCATTCCACCGTAATACTGTTTGTTTGGCCTCCTTCTTCTAAAAGGTTCTAACAGCGTTCTAATAAAGTGGCTCCCAGCCCATTTAAAAAGACCACTAATCTCTACATTTTTGCTCCCAACATAAATGATACAGAAAATGAATATCTGTAAATGAAGATCTGATTTGAACTCAGCTTTGGTGGGAATAAATACAGTGTTGACACTGCTGCACTACAGTCATACCAAAAGTTTGGCTCAAATCGACTTAAAGGTTTTTATTGATTTTATAATAATGAAAATAAGTACACATTTTCCACAGAGACTTCTGTACATTTTAATGCACAACAAAATCATTTGTTTGCTATTTATTTTTTTAACATATTGGGGAACAAATAAAACATACAGTAATGACTGTGAAAACATTACGGCACATTTTATATTTTATTATTTATTTTCCCCAATATGTTAAACTCAGCAAATAAATTGAATATTTGCACTAAAATTTGAATAAAAATGTCATCTGTAAGTTTGACCCCTGAAGAGACTGTATATTTTTTTCCACTTAGAAAATCAACAACATATGACATTTGTACAGATTAAAAAAAGAGAGTTTAAATTATGTGTCTGCTGGACAGCTGGGCCTCTAAAACACACTGATTTTGTGATTTTGTAGTCCAGACACAATGAACAGCAGCTTTGTGAGCAGAACAACTGGCCTTGTTTGGCCAGTCCAGATGTTTCCACTTGGAGAAGGAGTCTGGATGGAAGTGGAGGGCATTCCAGCAGCTCTTTCACTCAGAACAACCTAAACCTCGAGCTCAAGCTCACAGTACAGAACTGTTGGCCCAACAGACGGGCACTATTGTGTTTTCTGTCAGTCCAAGTAATAAATAATAGGTCATTTTCCAGAGCACACTTCACGATGCATTAAAATGTATTTGTCCTTATCAGAATTCATGATGCCTTCTCTTAGTTTTATATGGTTAAAAGAGTCTTTCATGGCTTTTGTACAGAACTCTATCTGCATTAAATGGCTTGAAACAACACATCCATGTGTTATAATAGTGAGGAACAGTGGACGTCAATCACAGGTCAAACATTTATAAACATAAAAAACCTTTAAGCCCTAAAATGTCCTGCTGTGCGTCACCAGCTGTGGGTTCTTGCATAAAAAGGCTTAGCCTAGAAGCGGGTGATATAGCAAAAATATAATATTGTGATATGTTAAGAAATTTTCACGACGCACATGATGTCGCAATATTTATTTTTTGAGATATCTGATCAGTTGGAACAGAGAAAAAAGAACCAGTAGTGCACCATTTAAAAACATTTTTTGAGCACAATGATTATTTTTCAATATTTTGCATACTTTGCTGCACTAACTCCAGTTAAATGGGACTAATTTTGCTTTTTTTATAATAAAACATGCACATTTGGTCAGTGTTCTACAATAATAACAATAATAATAATAATAATAATTTTTATTTATATAGCCCTTTTCATGCCGGTGGCAGCTCAAAGTGCTACGATGCACTGACGATGTCCACCATATACTCAGAAAAGCATACTGTATTATACTGTGCCATAATTTATCAGGATACTGATATATATTTCCCAGCCCTAACTCTACACAGCCTATGAATTTTCAGGGGGGAACAAGCCGCCAGCTGCTTTCTTCAGCTTCCTAAAGTCACTGCTTGTGGTTTTAACAAAGAAGTTACGGCGAGATGGCTGCTACAGATTAAGACTATAGATTGACAAAGATATGCGTCATCATGTAACCTGATCTACAGCCGTCATATTTTCCGCACGCGTTTTCCCACGACTGGGCGCCGGATTCCTGTGAAGCGTCCATACTCACTGCAAAGTGGACTCCCTCTAAACTGTCATCGGTCATCTGCATCCAGTCGTAGAAGTCCTGGGCGTTATCAGTGGGCTCTCCCTCCCCACACGTGGCCATGCAGAACACCGCCAGGGAGCTGTCAACCTCTCTCAGACGAGGGAGCTCAGACTGTAAGAGAAGAGAGGCAGAGAAACGTTCTGAACACGAGGCCAAGGTGATCTGGAATGGAAATGTTGAATGGTAAAATGGCAGTGTAAGCTAAATTCATACTTATTTGTAGCACAAGCTACAAACCAAAGACTTCCACTGAAGTCTAAAGAGTAGATCGTAAAAAAGATCCTTTCTACAAAAACCACTGTAAGCCCAAAAATAAATCATAACTTATCATCTCTCTCAGACTGTAATGTAATGCCCTCTACATAGTGAACATAACATTACAGGGCGTAGATCTACATATATATATATACACCGATCAGGCATAACATTCTGACCACCTCCTTGTTTCTACACTCATTGTCCATTTTATCAGCTCCACTTACTATATAGGTGCACTTTGTAGTTCTACAGTTACAGACTGTAGTCCATCTGTTTCTCTGATACTTTGTTAGCCCCCTTTTACCCTGTTCTTCAGTGGTCAGGACCCCCATGGACCCTCACAGAGCAGGTACTATTTGGGTGGTGGGTCATTCTCAGCACTGCAGTAACACCGACGTGGTGGTGGTGTGTTAATGTGTGTTGTGCTGGTACGAGTGGATCAGACACAGCAGTGCTGCTGGAGTTTTTAAACACCTCAGTGTCACTGCTGGACTGAGAATAGTCCACCAACCAAAAATATCCAGCCAACAGCGTCCTGTGGGCAGCGTACTGTGACCACTGATGAAGGACTAGAGGATGACCAACACAAACTGTGCAGCAGCAGATGAGCTATCGTCTCTGACTGATCTACAAGGTGGACTGACAAGGTAGGAGTGTCTAATAGAGTGGACAGTGAGTGGACACAGTGTTCAAAACCTCCAGCAGCACTGCTGTGTCTGATCCACTCGTACCAGCACAACACACACTAACACACCACCACATCAGTGTTACTGCAGTGCTGAGAATGATCCACCACCCAAATAGTACCTGCTCTGTGAGGGTCCATGGGGGTCCTGACCACTGAAGAACAGGATAAAAGGGGGCTAACAAAGTATCAGAGAAACAGATGGACTACAGTCTGTAACTGTAGAACTACAAAGTGCACCTATATAGTAAGTGGAGCTGATAAAATGGACAATGAGTGTAGAAACAAGGAGGTGGTCAGAATGTTATGCCTGATCCGTGTATCTTCATAGTAACTACATACAGCACCTCAAAGTAGAAAGGAATGGTTTGCATCAGAACAAATCTCTAACAAAGAAGCTGTACTGAGACAGTCTTTAATGAAAAAAATGTTTACTGCTTAATGAATAAATATTGATATAAAGAGAATACTTATGTTACAATATCACATTCTGATCACATTATACAATAAACATACATATCGCAGTCATAAATACAGCATAAAAGAGCTCAGTACCATGTCGTACTCCTCTGGGTCAGCTACCATGCCTTTTATACCGTAGCGCTGGGCATCTTTCACCAGGCGGTTAGCAAACTCCTCAGCCGTGCCCGTCTGAGAGCCATAGAACACTATAACATTTCGGTTCTAAAGGAAGAAAAACAGCTAAATTAATCAATAATCAGTTTAGATTAAATCAACGTCTTAATTAATCTAAACCGAAACAAAAAAGGAAAATACATTTCTGTTAAAATAAAATGGCCTTAAAAACGAAATCATTAGTCAGTAAATTAGCAAGAATTAAATACATAGATAAGGTAACTCAGTACGGGAGAGTTTTTCCCTTTGATTTCTTTAAACGTTGAACTTCCTGTGGATAAACTTGCACACAGCCTTTTACAGTAATAAACTTAGTCAATGTTCTTCTACTCGTCATTTATGGCTTCATACAGTTGAAAAACACTGCCAAGCTAGTTTGGGTTTAATGTGAGACCAAATATTCTCTACAGGGTTTAAATCTGGACTCC